ATCAGGAACTCAGGCTCACGTCAGAACATCAAATCACTGCTCAAAACCCGCCTGTTCAAAACTGCCTCCATATAACTGTTTATTTTAGAATTTTGTTGTTGTTAATCCCAATTAACCAATGCCTTTGAGTCCAAAAAAAGCACTGTATAAGTGTGTGTTATTATTATTATTCTTATACATGACATGCGATATAGAACTTGCCTGTAGAGCCTGTCTAGCATTGAGGGAACATTTAAAGTGGGCTACATAACTTTCAAATCACAGAAAATTAAGCCCTAAAATCCATCTGGCTATAGTTGCTGGCTCTGAAACAGGCTCCATCACTAGTTTTCAGATGCATGCATTGTCACATCAGAGAATTTTCAGGCAGAAAAGTGATAAAGAGAGGCCCACCCTCATTCCATCAATCAGCTTTCAGCCCAAATGACTCACATTCTTACAAGTATGCAAAAGAAAAATGTTAAAGGTAAAGGAGCATGTTATGGTCTGACATGTTCACTGACAAAACATCAACAAGACTTTCTATTGAGATGAACATGTATTATGTATGAAAAAAAAAGGTAACTCAGCTTTAAAACTTAAAAAATTACAGTGATCCCAGTGAATGGCCATGTCAAAGTTAAACAACTTTATACCACTGACCCAATAAAACGTCTAAAGTTGTTCAATAACCTAATTTAATGCAAACCACAGAATGTAACTTTAATCCTAGCCAGGTCAGAAATATAGAAAAATCTATACTTACAACTAAACTAAACATGCAGTATGTGTCTATTATCAGCTAAGATTAAGGCACTGTGTCTTTAAATTGCATAGTACCATTACAAAAATTTAACCGCAACAAATGAATGGAATAAATGATGACTAATGACCCCGGCAACAGTAATAGTCTGTGTGTGTTTGTCTGTAGGCAGGATTGAGCAAAAATGACTGGACGGATTGATCTGAGATTTGTTGTGCAGAAGGGCTGTGATGGTCGGAAGACTGCAAAAACATGTGGAGGATTTGTTTTAATTCCTTCTTGGATGTTTTGAGTAATCTTGTTTTGTCCTGCATTCAAGCTTCAGTGCTGACATAATATCTCTTTCACCTACCACCTACCTCCAACTATTTATCTAATTACATTTTTTAGCTGCCCTCCACCCCAAATGTGAAACTATAGTCTCTTTTTATGCATGGCTTTATATAATTCTTTACCTTAGCACCATGTACCAAAGCAAATTTCTAGTTTCTGACTTTCTGTTACTTATAATGTCAATGAAAAGAATTCTGAATTCTCTTTCGGAACGCAACTTATTAGCGGCACTTTTTGTGGTCATTTATATACAATTACTTTCTGTGAAATCTCTGCATCTGACTTTGCAAACCCAGCAAACAGGTCGATAATAGCAGCCTTTGTGATCTGCCATGTCTCAAGTTGCAATTTCGTTTGAACAGGTCCTAAATCTCGATCCTCTTCCGTTGTGTCTCGGTACTGATGTGATCCTCTCGCCTCCTCTTTCCTTTCACCACCGCGGCCCCTCGCCACCGCCGCCACTACGCCGCACCCCCCTGTGTTTGGAAGTCACACAGTCTGCCATGTGTGTGCTCAAGACGTTACATAATGCCCTCCTTTCACTGCACTCTAGATCAAAGGGAACGGCACAGAAAAACTGCTCCTTGACAATTTTTGTTCCCTTTTCTGCCGTCAAACTGTTTCATCAGACGCACGTTTACCGAGGGCTGACAACGTTAGGCGCTGTAGTCTTTATGTGGAATAGCAGCGAGCAAAAGTGGATGTCAAAATTAATAGGTGGTACAGTTACATTTATGCTCCTTTTCTTTTGATTCAAAACTGTGCCGGATTTTGCAAAGTATTATCATGACTGGTGCATAGACAACAAAAATCTCACAGTGTCTAGTGCCTTGAACATTGCTCCCTGGTGTTAAATGCCCTAGAAATGCTTCATTCAAAATACTATGACATGACTGAGGAGGAATAACTTTGGATTGCTCAGTTTTTTCTCAACATCTGTTTCAGGTCATCAAAGGACTTCACCCTGAACGCTTGAGTCAGTGTTAGAGCCAGAGGGGATTGTCAGTAGACATTTTACTGAGAAATATACCAATATTTAACCGTACTATTTTAAGTCTGAAAAAAAAAAAAAATCAACAAAAGATGTGTGTAAAAATGTGTATGTGTGTGTGCACAATGGGAAAGGTTGGCGTGTTGTTTGGACCCGTGTTGTTCACAGGTGGAAGTCGGACACAACGCGGTGCACCCTAGGGAAATGCATTATTATGGGTCCTGGCACGTTAATGCAAAAGCCTAAAGTTTCTTTATTTAGATATAGAGCCAGCTATGGCTATATACTGTAGCCAGAGTCCTGGATCTACAGCCTGTGTCCATGGGAGTGGATCCCTCTCTCAATGTGGCATTCCCCAAGGACCTCACTTTTTTTTTTACTTGTTCCTGCAAGATGTGTTTCAAGTTTTTGATTCTCTGATCTGTCAGTTGTCATTGTCTTCCCCTTTATTAGTCGATTTCTGAGTCAGGGGGGGTGGCAATCAGAGTGGCCACCCAAGTCTCATAGCACCAGTCCCTCACTGATCCTCCTGCAGGTGGTGGGTCCACAGGAAAATCGCATCTTCGTTATCAATGAGATGGCCTTGGCATTTCAGTGGGAGCTTCAGGCAATGTGGGGTTAAGTGTCTTGCCCAGGGACACAACAACAGACATCAGTGGGAGCAGGTGACATGGGTCGTGGTGGGCTCGGACCCACAACCATTAGGTCCAAAGACCAGTGCTCTACCAGCTGAGCTACTGTGATCCTCCAATCTGTTGTTGGCAAATTGACAACATAGTTAACTTAGTAAAAAGTCTTCCAAGGGGACTGCTGTTGAGATTTAAGGCTATACAAAAACAAATGGAATTGAATAATTCCATTTGAATGATGAATTTCCAATCATAACACGTCCCAGTAGAATCACATCTCACAGCGCAACACTTATCGACAAAATTTTTACAAACAACATTGAGCGCACCTCACAGAGTGGATTAATGGTGTGTGATATAACAGACCACCTCCCTGTATTTGCCATATATAATGACAACTACACCGATGAGAAGAAATCACATGATCCCATATTTAAACGATTAAGAACAGAAGATGCCATTTCAAATTTCAAACGTGATATTTTAGGTCAAGAATGGAATGATATAGAAGTAAATGTGGATAGGGCCTTCAATAACTTAGTTGACATATTTTGCACACTTTACGATAAACATTGCCCAATGCGTAATTTTAATAAAACTAAAAAAACAACTAACAGTCCCTGGTTAACTAAAGGCCTACTTAATGCATGCAAAAAGAAAAACTATTTATACAGGCAATTAATCAAATTAAGAACAGAAGAGGCTGAAAGCCGATACCAAACAATACAAAAATAAATTAACAAACATAATTAGAACGTGTCAGAAAGAATATTACACTAATGTTTTGAATGAAAATAAAAATAATATTAAAGGTATTTGGAGCGTACTAAATAAGATATTAAAAAGGGAAACTAAGAAGGACCCATATCCAAATTATTTCCTTGAGGGGAGAACCACTGTCACAAACATGCACAACTTTGCCAATAAGTTTAATAATTTTTTTGTAGGCATAGGCCCAGAGCTGGCAGAAAAAATCCCTGAACACAACAAAGTTGTTGATCTTAATCTGATTCAAAGAAACACAAAAACCATGTTTCTCGCTGATGTGAGTGGGGTTGAAATAAAAAATGTTGTCAATAGTTTTAAAAGCAAGACATCTACTGATTGTTATGGTATAGATATGTTTATTATAAAAAAAGTAATTGAAGGTAATCGAAAAGCCTTTGACCCACATTTGCTTATTGTCTCACATTCCTACAGATCACTGGTCATTGGCAGAGCCTGGTTATGTACATGCAGGGTATACGGCGGTGATAAACTACTACTACTCTAGCCACAGCTGCCCTGGGGCACACTGACAGAAGGGAGGCAACCAGTCTCTGCCATCGGCCCCTCCAATCGCAGATCTACACAATATGCATTTTAGATCCAGGTAAGAAATATAAAGGGGATAATTTAGGAGAGCTCCCGGATCTCATTGCAAGCTCTGTGTCGCCCAAGTGGTCTGCACAGTTTCTCCACATGCGCGTGACAAGTACCCTGCTGGGGGTAGTTGACGCCTGTGGGGCCTGAGCCAGAAGGAACGCGTTAACAATGTCCTCACTGTCTCACGTGGACTCAGTCATCTTTCACTGCTGAACCCTCTGCTCTCTCAAACTCTCCAAACTCTGACTGGGCCCTCTCCAGACTCTGCCTCCAGCTCTCGGCCATTCTTCAAACAATTCAGTGTTTGAAGATGAAAGATGAAGGACAGAAACACAGCCATTCCAACCTTTGCCAACGCTTTTTTTCCACAAGCCTGTTATTCGTTTAAACCAGGGGTGTCCAAACATTAGTGAGGCCACTTAGAATGTTTCGGCCCCTAGAACAAGTCTGGTGAAAAAAAATCAAACTGCATTTCCATGGCTTTGGGCCTTTGAAATTGGGCATGATATGGTCATTCATTACAACTGGTGCCATTTTTTGGGACACAATTGTAAAACAAAGAACAGTATATACAAATAAAGTAAATTGCTGAATTCCAAAAGTTCAGAGTGTTTACAATGAGATGGACATGACTCAAAGGATAGTTTGTGTTTTAGCAAGGCACTGGGCAGCATTTGGCCCATGGTCCTTGTGTGGACATCCTGCTTTAACAAAGTATTTTAACTGCTCTTCAGATTTTAATGGTGACAGGCGGTTTCTGTACTTTTTAGTTGGTTTTATTAATATCTTGTCTGGTGCACACTGGGGAACTTTTGCAAACATGAAATCTGAAGCTCCAGGGTCGTAGTGTCGTGCTTACTTGCTGCCCGTCGGCTTCGAACTCCTTCTTTTTCTTCGCTCTCCCAAGTCCCTGAGGCCACCAGGAGCGCTGGTTCAGCTTCTAGAGCTTCCTCCACGCTGCGGAAGGGCACCAGGTGCTGAGAGATGACGTCTGAGGGTGCTGCTGAACGTCCGCAGAGCTGTCAGTCCTCCTACTGGCATCACCAGGTTTTCCTCGCGCCTCTCCAGCCCACCACAGCACACAGCACCTGAGAGGCAGCAGACGCACAACTATACATGCAACTTGGATTTCTAATCTGAGAATAAGGGCTGGGCGATATGGCAAAAAAAAAAATCGCCGATTTTTTCTCACCAAATCGAATTTAACGATTATAAATTCGATTTTTTTTTCTATTTAAAAACAAACTACAACTGACAAAGAAATATATTTTCCTTTATGCAGTTTAATCAATTCCCCATAGGAGCCATAAGTGTAACAGGAATTACGCCTTAATAACATGCGTGTAAACGCGGGCGATGGCTCTGCCATTGTAAACAGGGAAAATGTAGCGTAAACAGTTTATAATAACTTCACTTACACGACACTCCAATGGCACCTTCAAAATAACTTAAATCACACAAACAAGGCCCATCTCACATATATCAATCCTATTAAACACATGCATTATTTATGATGGAAATATCACATGTTTATAACAGAGAGTTACTCAAAATAGAAATGTTGTAAACAGACAGTCTTGTTCCCAAAAGCCCCTCGGGTTTTCATGCTTGTTCTTTCAACTGTGCCTGAGTAACGGTGCTGTTGTACAGAACGCATCGGTATCCACATTGTGGCGCTAATACTTAACTTTCATGACTCCCCGCATTGGCTAGCCTTCCAGGTTACATTCTGATGCTGGTAGCAGCAGCTACTGTAGCAGCTACTGTAGCTAACATCTACAGTAGCAGCTTACTGTAGCTAGCAGCCTACTGTAGCAGCTACGGTAGCCTATCAGCTACTGTAGCATCTACTGTAGCTAACGACAGCGGGGAACACTTGTTTGTATCAGAGCAAAGAGAACAATGTGTGAGACCGTGTCTTCCTCCAAAGTGCTGCGGCTTCAGTGGGACAACGAGTGCGTGTCCGCGCCCTACGGACGCGGGAGTGCCTTTGGAATAACGATCGTGGAGAGTCGTGAAAGAATGTGGCCGTACACCGGAGCTGTGTGTGTTGTGTGTGTGTGTGTGGTCTGCGTGCTGGCGATTTAAATAATGTCTGATTTCTTGAACTTTGAAGTGGTATTGCAACAGCACCACTATGAGAGCAGCATCAGGCGCCAGAGGGAGACTGTTAGCATTAGGTTAGCTTTCAAAATGACTGCTCAACACCATAACCCGCGTTAGCGCGTTAGCGCTGTAGTTCATGCCTGTAGAAAATAAAAAAAATCAAATTTTTAAAAAAAAGAAATCGCCCTAAACGTAAAACTCGAATTAATATTAAAATCGATTAATATCGCCCAGCCTTTCTGAGAACACTTTTTAAAGCCCTTCCCAGGCCACGGCAGTTCAGATTTTGGGTCGCTGGAACTTCAAAAGACAATCCAGGACGCTAGAGATTCAACGACATATATGGACTTCATTTATCATCAAAAACCTCTGGGTGCAGCACTTTCCGTTTTTCCAGATTGCTAGTTTTGGCAGTAACTCCACTTTTTATCTCAGTATCTGTGCCTTAAACTACCCTGTCGTACCACACCATAGTAACGAATTACATTTCCGTACAACGGTCTTGGATTTGCTCAACCATTGACTCCGTTAACCATGTGGAGGGGCTAACTCCTTTTTGCAGATTGAAACCATTGAGGCGATTAACCGTGACGTTTTGGAATGCGCCCAAAGTGAGTCGTTAGCATTTAGGCATTTTAGCCTAGCTTGGCCATCTCCTTTGATGCTGACGGAGCCCGTGGGGAGCAGAGCCCTATTTTTGCAGCGATTACATTGCAAACATTCCTCTCCTGCTCGCGGCTTCAATTTCTTGATAGAAAACCAACCACGGAAACTTTACTAATCTCATTCTCTCGCCAAACTACAACCTGCCCGTTCGGCGCAAAACGGATTGGCCGAAGTCAGCTCATCAAAGTGTATATATAGAAAATCCAGATACCACAACAAAAAGATATTTCTAAATAAACGTCACATATATTCCCCTACTCATATTTTGACCAATAAAGTGATATTAGGTCATTTTCCAAAAGACACAACCAACCAAAATCTCAAGGCACAATAAGTTACCACGGCCCACAGGTTTGAAAAACAACTGCCTGAAACTATGATCCACTAATGTCCTTTTGTAGCCACCTCGTTTCATTTCCCACATTAGAGGTTTACATACATCAGAGAAGCTGCAGCCTTTGGTTTGGAGTTAGAAATATTAGGTGTATGACGTTAATACAGCATGATAAATATCTTTAACAGATCAGAAGCACTAATTTTTCAAAGACATCATATTCACTATATTGTCAACCTATAAACCGGATGATTATATTGGGAGGTGATAAAGGCTGAGCTCAAAGACTGCTTTCCTAGAGATTAATTGTGATATAAACACTAACCAATAAAAAAACTACAGCAAAGATTTAGGAAAGGAATCACCAAAAATTAATATTAGAGTGGAGACCTGAAGTATGTTGCCTGCCACTTACAACTACTTTACAATCTAAGTGCATGGAGATACTCTTGAGACTACAAAATTAAAGACATGTACTCGTGTGCTTATTAATGAGTAAGGGGTGGAGCCAAAAAAGCTTGAGGTTATTTGACGTGTTTAATAATTTGTATATAATGTATAATGATGACAGGACATTTAAAGGACAATAGTCTCTTGCTCCCTATGAACCAATATGCTCTATCTGTTATCAATGCATATCATGTGTTTTTTGATTCTCTGATCTGTGGTAATCCCTGAAATACATGATATATCCTAAAAAGTCCTTTACTATAAAAGCATTGTAAATTCGTTTAAATAAAATGTGGTAGTGTCTGAGATGGGAAATGAACCAACCTGCTGAGCCATGTCCGCACTGCATGTCCGCTCCATTCGTGGCTTTCTCTCCTCCAGGACAGACCATGTTTTGGTGGCCTATCCGCCACTTTCTGAGGTCGTTGCACCTCCTGAACAGAAAAGTTCCAAAATGAACTATTTTCTATCATTTCAATACAACTATTTTAACAGACAACCAATTATTCAATAATTCACTAATCTTTTCCTGCACATGTCACAGAAAACATTATATTTTCCTACATGACTATTTCACTTTGCATAATAACTCCCCTTTAAAGTGTCCCGCCTGTACAGAGGCTTAGCATACAGTACCTTGAAGGCCTGCTCCAGCTTGGCGGAGAGGCTGGCCACAGACAACTGCATGCGCTCATGTGCTCGTCTCGCTGCCGCTTCAGGATCGTCGCTCTTGGACTCCACCCGCCTGCCCGATCTCATCCAGGTATGTGTTTCACAACGCTTTTCTCAGACGCTCCAACAGCAGCTAGCTCCTGGCTCTCACCGTACGCCGTGTGCAATTAGGACGGGAGAGGACACATGATCACACGACCACAACCATGATCCCAATGTTTTGATTGGAGAAAGAACATTATGTTTTTTCAGTGGATAAAGTAAACAATCTCCAGCTGAACACTGCAAAAACATGTGAACTTGGTCCTTTGACTTCAGCTCGTACAAGTTCTCCAACACTCCTGTAGTTATGACTTCTCCCAGGTGCAGATCGTAGAGAGTGCAGTTCCTGGGTTTAACTCTGTCTAACCTGAAATGGGTTAAAAACACTGACCGAGGTCGTTAAGAAAGCTCGGTCAGCGGTCTCCTTAAAACTATCTGCGTAAACTTAGAGAAATGTTACCACGAACCTAAGATTCTCTGCTTTAACTTTAAGCCTTGCACCATTGAGAGTTTTTACTTGTTGGTTCTGTGTCTGTGTGGTTTGGAAACATCACAGATAAAAAAAGAGAGCTTTAAACAAGGTGCTTCCGCTATCGCTCTGCACAATAGGACCGTGGCTGTGAGCTGTCCTGTTCTGGAGGTTCTTTTAAATCCAGACATTGAAACAAAGCGCTTAGGATTGTCAATGACTCTTCTGGCCACCCTGGGAAACCATTTACCAGCTTCTTCCCTCTGGGCAGAAGATATCGGTCGCTGAGAGCAAGACATCACCGCTATGCTAACATCTTCTTTCCACAGGCTGTTAGGATGCCTAAACAGCAGCACATAATGTCCTAGCTTTTACCCCTTGTATCGTTTGTTGATCGGTGCCCGACGGTGTCAGCTGTTTTTTTATTCCTGTTTGATATTTCAGTGTATGTTATTTATATACATTGTATCGTGCTTTGTTATTCAGTCGTGCCACAGAAGTACCTTTTTTTTGCAAATGTATTCCAAAGTAGTTTGTATACTGCACATGCTAATAAATGAATCTTGAAACTGTTACCCGTCATCGCTTCATCTTCGGTTTTAGTCTTGAGACGGCAGCCGCGGTGTGAGACATGGTCGCCAGCACTCGACAGTCCGAGAGAAGACGCAGCAGAACCTGAACAGACAAGTTTTAAATAGTGTTTTTATATTAATTTCACATCAATAGCACACAATATTCTGTGGGCGTCTTTAAAAAAAAAAAATAAAAAATCAGTGAAAACATCAAAAAGGCAAGTAGTCATAAGTAAGTGGAAGCAAAAAGTATGGCCTAAATTCAGAACTGCACGGATGAAAAAAACAATGGCGTAACTCAATTTTTTTTCCAAAATTACTTACAACACAAAGAGATTTAAAAACATTTGAAATACAAATCCAGTGGTCTAACTTATTTTCAATGAACAAGATTACTATAGTACAGGGTCAACTCTACAGTGAAGAACCATTTAAGACTAAATAGTTTTGGTCTGGTGTATGAGTTTAGGTGAATGACAAGGAAAGAGAAGTGCTGTAAACCTATATATCCGACATTATCACATAACCATAGATGACGGCAAAGCAGAAAAAGTCTTCGAGACACAAAACCCACCTTCTGAGGTTAGACGAAGCCAGCAGCTCGATGGCGTTGTCCCAGCACCTTCTCCAGGCCCTGGTCCTCACCTTCAGCTCCCGCGGTGGCTTTGTCAGTGTCTGCGTTCATTCTCCGCCACCTTTTTCCTCCAGGACTTTGTTTGCTGCAGACGAAAGGTCACACACTTTTTTTTTGGTTTTAGAGATACACTTTCGTTTAAGGAAATAGTGTGTTTTCATAAATCTGTCTGCACCGGAGAGTTCCTCCATGGAAAGGAAAGAACGAAGGAGCTAAGCATCATTAACGGGCCATAATCTGGCCGTCATAAAGGGCCCTAATCTGTCATCATTAAAGGGCCCTAATCTATCGTCATTAAAGGGCCCTAATCTTCGTCATTAAAGGGCCCTAATCTGTCGTCCATTAAAGGGCCCTAATCTGTCCATTAAAAGGGCCCTAATCTGTCATTAAAAGGGCCTAATCTGTCGTCATTAAAGGGCCCTAATCTGTCCGTCATTAAAGGGCCCAAAACCCACTAAGCAAGCCGACGTTGAATCAACGTAATTTGAACGTCGTTGTCCGACGTAGAATATAGGTCACTGGTGGGTGCAGAATGAAAGTTTTCTCGACGTCGTTTCCCGACGTCACCTCAACCTCCAAATGTTACGTTGATGGCACGTCAATTCAAGGTTTGAATGTGGTACGGAACCGGTCGGGTCTGACGTCCTATCAACGTCTCATATATGACCAAAATATTGACGTTTATATGACGTTCGTTTTCAGTCGTTCCCACTAAGCAAGCAGATGTCAAAACAACGTAATTCCAACGTCATCTGGACGTTCATTCAAGGTTGTAATGTGGTACAGAACCAGTCGGGTCCGACGTCCTCTCGACGTCTTATATGACCAAAATATTGACGTTTATATGACGTCCATTTACAGTCCTATTGACCTCTGTAGAATGACTTAATAGTCGAGACATACTTTTTGCAATAGGCAAGGCAAGTTTATTTGTATAGCACAGTCAAAACAAAAGGAAACTCAAAGCACTGAACAAAAGATAGAAACAATCAAACAAGGCATTACAATTATAAATATTGACAGTAAATTAAAAAGATACAAATAAAATCTCTCAAAAAATCTCTCAGTTGAAGCAGAAACAGAAGTGTTTTAAACCTGGATTTTAACATTGTCAAAGAAGAAGCCTGTCTCACATTTCCAGGAAGACCGTTCCAGATTTTAGCCTTGTGAATCTGAAATGCAGCTATATCATGTTTAGTTCTGACTCTGGGCAATAAACGATAAACACAGCATTCAAAAATCATTAGAACAACTGTAGTAGAAGGATATCAGTCATTATTGCAAATGGAGCTGCATTAAAAATCATGTTTCTCTACATCAAAGTACAAGTTAAACCACACAGGGCACAGTGTTATGAACACTACTGTACTGAACAGTTCATGCCAAAGTAAAAAAACATGATTGTAGCACCTATGTTTGGATCAGTATTAAAACAGGCACAAGCTACACTCTAGGTTCCTCAGATGTAAAAACACAATCTGAAAGGCAGAAGAATGCATTTATTGAATGTTGATGTTCCAACATGTGTCCTCTCTTGGTCTTCAGTCTCTCATCACAAGGTCCAAGCACAGCACCTGGAAATGTGGAACATGTTTAGTTTCAACATAATGTGGCAAAGTGATATAACAACACATAACTTTCTATTAATGCCTCAAACCACTCGATCCGTCACCATGTGATACAAACCTTGGCACTGCACTAGCTCGAGACACTGGAAGACACTCAGTCTGAGAAACTTGGGATAAGGCTTTGGTCATTGGAGTAATTCCATGTAAAAAACAATTGCAAATGTGCATTTGTTTTGCACATGGACACAAATGAGCCCTGAAAGCTACTTACCCTGTATTACTCTACACATGTCGCATTTCCGAGGGGGCATTTTCCCCTTGTTGCTCTTTTCCCTCATCATGAGTGAGTTGCTGAACAATCTGAGAAAAAGATAGATGTTTTCAAAGAGAATACACCAAATAATGGTTTATTCTAAAAACAACATATTAATACAGAACAACAATCAATGTGTGAGAGTGTGATTCTTACCTTTGAACACCTTCAACACAGTCTGACACCTGTAAGACTCAAACACACATGACACATTAGGAATACACATAGAACATTAGTTATTGCAACAATCATGAAATTATACTCTATGGATTTCACAAAAAATTGACTGCATTAGCAAAGGTAAATGTATTTTAATTATCATATGGCTGGTTTTAATGTTTATAAGAAAAAGTAAGAAATTGAATAGAGTTGCAAGCGCTAGTTAGCTTGCTACCAGCAGATGAATGGATGTTTAATATTTGCAGCTAACAATAACAAAAATAACGACTGTAGTGGCTCATTTAAACAGCCACCAGTGAGAAGAAGTGAAAGTCTCTGACATTGAAGACCTGGGAAGACATTAAATCCATTTATTAAACAAAGCAATACATGAACATTAAACTCTCTTTCTGCAGCAGGTAACATCTGTGTGCTCCTATGGTCCCTATGGTCCCACATGGTCCCACACCTGAACTCAACTCCAACTGATGACATCACAGGTGTCTAAATGATGGGAGTGTCCCAAATATTAAAGCTGATCTCCCTGTTTTTAAACTTAGTTTACTAAGTACTGTTGTCTTTTTGCAGTTTATAAACCATTGTGAAATATACAGTAACTTTACATTTTAGAATTGAATTATTATTTTAAAACTCAAGAATCTTAACCTTTTTTAACACATAGTTTGTTGGACAGTCTAACCTAAGAATTCTAATGTGTTAAAAATAGTTTGAAATATGAAAAACAATATCATATTTTAAACTTTAACTTAAAAACAAAAAATAATAGGAAAAAGATAACAGATAAGTAATTCCAGCTTAAAAGAAGCCGTGCAGATTTGTACATTAGAATAAAAAATATTCAAAAGCAGCTGAGAACAGGTGGGTCTTTAACCTGGATGTAAACAAACTGAGTGTTTCAGCTGATCTGAGGCTTTCTGGGAGTTTGTTCCAGACATGTGGAGCATAGAAGCTGAATGCAGCTTCTCCGTGTCTGGTTCTGACTCTGGACTCGGATCCAGATGACATGAGGGGTTCTGGTTGGTTCATAAGTTATGAACAAGGCACTCAAACAACACTTTTGCACATGTTCGTTAAGGCACAGCAAACAGTGACAATCTTATCTAAAGGCATTAGGTTTTCACCCTCACATTTGAGAACATATGCACAGGTACAGTTGAGTGTAAGAATTTGAATTTGTTGCGCACAACACCAATCACCCTCTCAACGTGAATTCTGAGATGGAAGGTCTAATCTGAGGCGCATTACAGTCAATAGGACAAGCTGGAAGGGTGAGAGCTTCCTCATCCTTCCTTGAGGCAGCTGCTGGGCCGGCGATGGGGGCTGCTGGGCTTGGGCTGGCGATGGAGGCTGCTGGGCTTGGGCTGGTGATGGAGGCTGCTGGGCTTGGGCTGGTGATGGAGGCTGCTGGGCTTGGGCTGGCGATGGAGGCTGCTGGGCTTGGGCTGGTGATGGAGGCTGCTGGGCTTGGGCTGGTGATGGAGGCTGCTGGGCTTGGGCTGGTGATGGAGGCTGCTGGGCTTGGGCTGGTGATGGAGGCTGCTGGGCTTGGGCTGGTGATGGAGGCTGCTGGGCTTGGGCTGGGAGTGATGACTGCTCCAGATTAGAGCCCTGCACTTGAGCCCTTGGCCCGAGGGCCCCGACGGCCCGACAGCCCGAGGGCCGGGCTTCGGGCCGATGACCGCATAATGACCTCGGACACGGGCTCTTCATTTTCAGAGCGGCAGAATAGATTTACGAACGCACCCACTGAATATAGCGTTCTATCACGCTGTAGTGTTTGTTGTTCTGTGTAGTGTTGTCATTGACGGCACATAGCATTACTTACAGGTGTGTTGCAGCATCTGGGCATCATACAGATGCGGCCGTTCACTCCGCACCCCTCCGCACACACAGAACTCATTGCAACACATCACTACCATGTATAACTCCGCCCTCTAGCTAAGTCTGCGTTCATATCAGTGCGCGGCACTATATACTACGCTAAAACATTGTTATGGGAGGTTAAAAAAAAAAAAAAGGCGGGCTTGATGCGGGTTTCGGGCCTGAAAATTGAGAAACCATATCGGGCCGGGCCGGGCTGGGGCGCCACCCCCTCGGGCCAGGGCCGGGCTCGGGCCCAGATAATAGGCCCGTGCAGGGCTCTACTCCAGATGCTGGGTACTGCGCTTTACTTGCCGCTGATATCGCGCTCCATCTGTTTCTTTAACATTATTGTGGCCTAACCGCAAGGATGGTGTCCAGTCAGGGTGATTCTCCAACATCTCATATGATGGTTTACCTAGAACAGAATAATGTATGTAGTCAATGCTTTAAACTGGCAACAAGGTAGCATAATGTCATGAACAGAATCTCAACTATTTTTAGCAATCTCATATAATGGTTTACTTACATCAGATTAATAAAATTATTAAACAATCTGGAATCTAAAGAAATATTAAACAAGAAGGTAACGCTATTCATGGTTTCATAAAAGGGCTCAGGGGGTAGTGGAAACACAAGACAAAAAAAAAGTTTGGGCACCACTGGTTTAGAGAACATAAGAGACAGAGACAAACACACTTTGAGTGCCCATATTCCACCAACAAGGTAGGATAATGAGCAGAAACTTAAATATTCTTAGTTAACATTAATGGTTGGCCATTAAGCATTTTCATAGAGGCAACAGTTTGTTAGATAGTTAGCTAGGCAGCTAACTTAAGATGCACTTCAGTGTTTGCAACATTAACAGCTAGGTAACCTACACTTCTTAACTTTAAAAAAACAACATAAAGACATTTTAGGACGTACCCGAGTGAAAATGCAGAGAACACACTCTCATCGACTGGGGGTGAGATCGAAAGTAAGGTCCTTTCTTCTTATTGCAGCCAACCAAGCCATCCGGCGTCTCTTCGTCAGGTCAGACACTTGCGCTCCCTGATGTTGTATCCATTTTGGTGGCCTAAAAAATTGTAAACCGTTGTTCCTACGTTTTCCTTTCTTATTGTGTGAGGTACTGGAGCAGTTTTTCACACAGCAATGAGCTCCAGGCATGGTAAAACAGAAATAGCGACGACCTCCTTTGCTACCGAGTTAACAACAACAAGTGTTTGCCGCTGGGATCCTACCAACATGGCGGAGACGGGGAGGGGCTCTGTGCTATGACGTCAGCTCCTCACTCTCAATAGATTCATGCACTGGCAATTCAAAATACAGATAATATACAAAATATACTTAACAAAATCCACGTATACGTGAGAAAACAACTTACTTTCTGTCTCCAACTCTTTTCAATGTGGAAATGATACATCTATATCTAAAAACTGTGCAGACTGTGTACTTACTAGAGAGGGTGATTCCAAGTAGCTAAATAAAGCAGGGCGACAGCGTTGAGTTTCGCTGATCGCTCTCATTTGTCGCCTCCCGTGTGTCGAGCCCTTCAGGCTGTAAAGCCGTTATACTCGCGCGGCGCATAAGTGTGCGTCGGTTGTTTAGGGTGTTATGTATTTATTTTGTCACAGTAGTCTGTATAAATGCCTGGCCGTGGTGTAGCGGTTGCGTAATGAGACTTCAGTCCCAACGACGCAGGTTCAAATCCCCGTCGGAAAACTTTTTACTTTTTACTTTTTAGCGAACAATTTTTCTGTTTGGTTAAAAACGAATAAACACTCAACATAAGATTATGTAGTGGCTAATAATAAAACTTGTGAACCCATGCATTTGCATACAATCTCAAGTGCTCACCCCTTATTTGCAAACTTGAGATTGTTAGCACAACAAATGCATACATTCACAAGTTTTATTATTAGCCACTACGTAATCCTATGTTGAGTGTTTATTAGTCTTTAACCAAACAGAAAAAAATTGTTCGTTAAAAATCAAAAAAATATGTAAAGATAATAATACACACACGTGGGCTCGAACTCACGTAACCAAGGCTGAACACATTTGCTTAACCACTACACTACCGTCAGATACACTTGCACCGCTTCACAGCCTATATATTGTATTGCTAGATCCAGACGTACTGCGTCGGACGGCCGATGACCTGTTTTCGACGTCTAAGGGAGGTCGGGATTGAACGTCATATCCACGTATATGGGAGGTCATTGTTTTACGTCCAGATGCGCACCTTGCACAGACGTCGTTTGGACGTAAATAAAAGGTCACGACCGACCGACGCGATATTGACGTGATCTGGAGGTTGAGTGGACGTCGGATGTTTAGTGGGTTGCGTCACTTTTGTTCACTCTTACACTTTTACTTTTTAAAATGAATATCCACTCAGTTATAATCGCCCACGCCGATATCAGCTGGGGCCTTTTTCATCGTCTCCATCAGTGAAGCTCAGCATGTCGTTTTGAATGAGGAAAGTTTTAATGTTCATTTCCCAAAGCTCCAAAGGTGTAGTCACTATAACGATCAGTCTCGAATTCATGGAAAAGACAGAAGACCATTTCAATATTCACCTCAGCAACTGCAGAATATTTAAGAAAAGAAATGTCTGGCTAGTTACAAGAAAGGAATTCTTTAAGCGAATACCTTTGCTAATGAGCCATGTCCATTTTTAGAACGTATTGGTAAAAAGTAGTTGCCGGTAATAATAATTTGACCCGTCACAATGTACGTCACTTTACATACTCCAGAAACATGTAATATTCTTGTGCACATTTGTTTGTCTTGCACTGATAACATTTAGGTAGAAATAACTTGAATCAAGGAGAAAAAACATGACTGTCTTAAGAAGATAAACCAATGGTACAGTCCTGGGGTGTCCAAACCTTTTAGTAACGGGGCCACTTTAGTTCACCAGACCTGTCCAGGGGTTTTGATTTGGGCTGTTCTGGACCTTAAAATGGGGTTTGATTTGACAAAAATATTCCTCAGCACAGCTACATTAGTGCAGCTGTGTGTAGGTGCAACATTCCTGGTATATCATTTTATCAAGCGCAGGCACATTATTTTCATTTATTTATTTATAAACAAGACTTGATTAAAAAACGGCTTAATTCTTGATCACATTTCATGGTGCAATTCTGAAGAACATTGTTTTTACGTCGCCTTCTCTGATTGATCAGTTCCACATTTCCCACTAACGCACACCGCCTTTCTGCTCGTGTGGTTTTATTGTGCATGTGAGCTCACAATGGTGGCTTTCATATACGCACCGTTGATCCCTGCGTTTGGAGCCGACGGCGCCTCGGCTCGTCTGTCTCTGCTGCCGCTGTCCTGATGTCCTACTGTCTACATCCAGATTATTCTATTCTCACAAATATTATCTTATTATTTTTAGATTGTTACTTTAATGTTATTTATTTTATATTTTTTACTATGCAAGCTACTGTGACAACGCAATTTCCCTCGTGGATCAATAAAGTCTCTCAAAGTCTAAGCCCTGAGAAAATTCAGCTTGATAAATGGATCTGGTTTGTGTCAGACAGAGAGACAGTATCTGACTGTTGTGGTGAAGAGGGAGCAGCGGCTGCAGTCAGAGCTGTATTCGACTGTTGTGGTGAAGAGGGAGCAGCGGCTGCAGTCAGAGCTGTATTCGACTGTTGTGGTGAAGAGGGAGCAGCGGCTGCAGTCAGAGCTGTATTCGACTGTTGTGGTGAAGAGGGAGCAGCGGCTGCAGTCAGAGCTGTATTCGACTGTTGTGGTGAAGAGGGAGCAGCGGCTGCAATCAGAGCTATATTCGACTGTTGTGGTGAAGAGGGAGCAGCGGCTGCAGTCAGAGCTGTATTCGACTGTTGTGGTGAAGAGGGAGCTGCGGCTGCAATCAGAGCTATATTCGACTGGTGTGGTGAAGACGGAGCAGCGGCTGCAATCAGAGCTGTATTCGGCTTTTGTGGTGAAGAGGGAGCAGCGGCTGCAATCAGAGCTATATCCGACTGTTGTGGTGAAGAGGGAGCAGTGGAGGCTAATATCCACCTGTCGCTCAGTTGGTAGAGCTTGTCTTCTTTGTGTTGAAGGTTGCCGGTTCAAATCCTGGTGATTGCTGTTGTGTCCTTGAGCAAGACACTTAACCCGCTTTGCCCCCAGTGTCTGCGTACACTGTGTATGTGTGAGTGTGTGTGCGTACTGTATGTGTATGAGAGAGGGTTGTGTGTGTATGCGTGGGTGGGTGAGTTGTTCCTTGATATGAAGCCCTTCAGAGATATATTTACGTAACCATTTAATTTGCTTTGTTTACCGATATTTATACGGTCGCGTTGCATTTTCAAGACCTGATTTACCACATTTCCACTGGATTCAAAACATTGATGTGTGTTAGTCTTGTTCACTCGTTCATTATGTAACTTTTCTTCACGCAGAGTTTAAAATCATTCCCTCTTGAAAACGTCATGACAGAATGCACTTTTCTTTCGCCAGGGCCAAGTTACTCCGAGGAAAGAAAGTGTTCGGAGACTACGACCTCAAAGTGGAGCAGGTTTGTCCTGAGTGTTGGATTATTCATTACAGAGAACATTTCACTCATGCGTCTCCACTTCTCTGTCCCTCGTTTTCAGGCCGAGTTTAAGGAGATCAATGTGGTGGCTAACGCTAACGGCAGCTGCAGCGTCAACATGCAAGTGCTGAGGAACGGCACCAAAGTCATCAGGTATGAAGACACCGGACACAAAAATTAGTGTTATTATGCATTATTTGCACCAAAAACAATATATCTTGATTGCAGTTGTTTTTCAAATAAAGATATATTTAATGCAGTGCTGGCAAAGATGGTATCACACTTATTCAAGCACTTTAAACTCACATTACAAAATAATCTTAATGAGTGTATAGGACTTCAAAAATATTCAATAATTTAATTTGTATCAATTCATATATTAAAACTATATGATTTGTATGTGTTTTTTTTTCAATTACAATTATTAATATAAATGAACCTACTCTATGGTTTTCTTTCTTATATTGGATAGCATTATATAAGTTTTATTTAAGTCCAAACACAATATTAAACAAACAACGCTTTTGAAACAATGGAACAAGAACAGAACAGAATAGTACAAATATATAGTATCATTTAAATTGTCAAGTTAAACCTGTATTACATATATTTGTTTAAAGCTGCACTAACTGACTTTGGGATTTTGAAGCCGCGGACTCTCTGGCCTCGCTCTTTCTGCTCCCCTCCCCGCACCCACGAAGCTATCGCCCCCCACACACACACACTGTTGAGACGGAGCTAGCCTCTCCCAATATGGATAATACATGGATATGGATTTTCACGTGGATGGCGTGACCATAGAACGATAGAACCGGGAAGCGCGGAGGAATGAGACTTTCTTTTGGATGGCTGTTTCGCTGTGTAAGCAGTAACCGGTGACGAAGACGAGAAAGTTTCAGGTTAGCTCCGCCGCTTGTTGTGCTAACTCAGCTGTCTGTGCTAACGGACCTGGAGATTTCTCACGAAAGTGGGGGCTAGTGGTCCGCTGTGATTGGTCACAATCTGCGACCCGAAACACATTCTCTTCCTTGTTTCATCAAAACTCGATCGAAAATATAATGTCAGGCCAGCACAAATCTGCGCTACTTTTTCTTCAAAAGGACGTATATCCCAATGCACTACATGGACATGGATAGCATTTTAGTGATGAATACGAAAATAAAGTCAGTTAGTGCAGCTTTAAGTCTGCAGTTTAACTCCAAAATGAAAAATCCGATATCTGGTTATTTTTAGAAGCCATTCTGAATAGACACAATTCGACTGATCGAGGGTGGCCTTTTCTTTTTCACTTTTTTGTCTGAAAAATATGATCTAAAGATGTGACAAAGTTTCTTTTTGAATGTTTGTGTAGGTCCTTTAAGCCCGACTTTGTCCTCATCCGGCAGCACGCCTTCAGCATGACCCAGAACGAGGACTTCCGAAACATGATAATCGGCCTGCAGTACGGAGGAGTCCCCAGCATCAACTCCCTGGAGTCCATCTATAATCTTTGTGACAAGCCATGGGCGGTAGGCACTTAGGCACCATGGGCGGCTCCCTGCCCTTCCTACTTTCTCTTATTCAGACACAATGTGGCGGCGAGGCCCAAAACAACAGGCACCACACAGAGGAAATACAGGGATCCAGGTCATGAAGATGTAAAGGGGACACCACTGTGCTGCTCCAGGATTATTGATGGATTTTAGAAAAATAAACAGTTTCCGATTTACAAAACTTGAAACGTCAAAAATATCGACGGGTATGGAGTACTAAAGCTGGTATCTTATTTGAGAAAGTAATGATATTAAAAATAATTACATAAACAAGACAACATATTTTAAACTATGTCACCAAGGTTTTTTATTGAAAAGCCAGAAATATTTTAGTGCCATACATTTCTTTAGCAAATCCTTTTCTAAAAGCCTGTGAAGGTGTGATGTCATTGTTCCACTGTGACATCACACTCTGCAGTTTTCTGACTTTAAAAATAAATAGAAGTGCACATTAGTTAGATTTGGCAATATCTCAAGAGTAATGACATTCTTTTCCATCAAATGACAGTGTTTGCAGCCAGTAATTTTCAAATTGGGAAAAAAAAGCAATTCAACCCCTCTCTCTGGTGGTAGCGTAGCGACAGAGCAGGATGACAGCATTTTTCACCTTATAATTCTATCTGAAGATTGTCATTCCATGTTTTAGAATGCAAAATACTAAGTAAAAAGTCTCATCAATTTTATCGGCCAAAAGCAATGCATGATACTTCTTTGTTTGACACCAACACCAACGATTCTTGTGTCTGGATGGTCATACAGATCTGGTAATAATCCCATGGGTCTAATTACTGTCTGTTTTGTCTGTCCAGTTCGCTCAGCTCATCAACACTCACAGGAAACTGGGGGCAGAGAAGTTCCCTTTGATCGAGCAGACATTCTACCCCAATTACAAAGAAATGGTGAGGAGTTTTATTCTAGCTACAGTCTGATGATAAAGATAATGATGTTAATGATGAGATAAATGTGCTTGTTTTCAGGTCAGCATGCCGACATTCCCTGTGGTGGTGAAGATCGGACATGCTCACTCCGGCATGGGAAAGGTACGATACAAGACCTTGGCATACCTTCTCAAAGCTAGGATACCCAATGGTTTCCTCTTTGTCCCAACAGAAAGAGACTTGTCAAAGTAAAATATAAACATGTTATCTTTTGCTCTCTTGAGTCTGTCACTATTTGCCTCTTCGGGCTGAGAGCTGATTGGCTGAGTGAGGGTGGCCGCCTCTTTTTCACTTTTCTGTCTTAAAAATCCTGATCTAAAACTGTGATAGAGACCACAAACTGTTTTTAGAGCGAGGATAGTAGAAGAGGATTGTATTGCATAGGGAGAAAAATAGGTTTGAAAGTTAGGCACAGCAGCTTTAAGGAATAAATGTCTTAAATTAAGGTCTTATATCAAGTGCAGTCACATTTCATTGTTTTTTTAATTGCAAATTGTAGAACCGAACAATTTCAAGGAACTAGTTAACCAGGATTATATTAGGGTACATGGATTTTGTGTTTTAAAATGTACGTACCCCAGTTTTAAATCTTGTTTTTGTTCTGTCCTCCTTGCCTGTGCCCAGGTGAAAGTAGACAATCACAGTAAGTTCCAGGACATTGCGAGCGTTGTGGCGCTCACCCAAACGTACACCACCGCAGAGCCGCTCATCGACTCCAAATATGACATCAGAATCCAGAAGATCGGCACCGACTACAAAGCATACATGTAACCTCAATTAAATACATTTATACTGTATATAATAGCAATAGGCTGTGCTCATGTGACATCACAACCCTCCAAAGAGGGATAAATATATGCAAGGTTTTGTTATGCGAGGCAAAAGCAGGATTTATTTATTCTTAATGTTTAATTGCTCTGATGAAATTAAATGCTAAAAAAGTTACAAGATGCTGTGTGAATGCATTTACCAAAAGTGTCCTTATGGTGTGTATGCATAGAACAGTGCCTTGCGAAAGTATTTGGCCCCCTTGAACCTTTCAACATTTCGCCACATTTCCGGCTTCAAACATATAGATATAAAAATTAAATTTGTTGTCATCAATCAAAAACAAGTAGGACACAATCGTGAAGTGGAATGAAATTTATTGGATAATTTAAACTTTTTTAACAAATAAAAAACTGAAAAGTGGGGCGTGCAATATTATTCGGCCCCTTTACTTTCAGAGCAGCAAACTCACTCCAGAAGTTCAGTGAGGATCTTTGAATGATTCAATGTTGTCCTAAATGACTGATGATGATAAATAGAATGCACCTGTGTGTAATCAAGTCTCCGTATAAATGCACCTGCTCTTTGATAGTCTCAGGGTTCTGTTTAAAGCGCAGAGAGAACCATGAAGACAAAGGAACACACCAGGCAGGTCCGAGATACTGGATTTGGATTTGGATACAAAAAGATTTCCCAAGCTTTAAACATCTCAAGGAGCACTGTGCAAGCAATTATATTGAAATGGAAGGAGTATCAGACCACTGCAAATCTACCAAGACCTGGTCGTCCCTCCAAACTTTCATCTCAAACAAGGAGAAGACTGATCAGAGATGCAGCCAAGAGGCCCATGATCACTCTGGATGAACTGCAGATAACTACAGCTGAGGTGGGAGAGTCTGTCCATAGGACAACAATCAGTCGTGCACTGCTCAAATCTGGCCTTTATGGAAGAGTGGCAAGAAGCCATTTCTCAAAGATATCCATAAAAAGTCTTGTTCAAAGTTTGCCACAAGCCACCTGGGAGACACACCAAACATGTGGAAGAAGGTGCTCTGGTCAGATGAAACCAAAATCGAACTTTTTGGCCACAATGCAAAACGATATGTTTGGCGTAAAAGCAACACAGTTCATCACCCTGAACACACCATCCCCACTGTCAAACATGGTGGTGGCAGCATCATGGTTTGAGACTGCTTCTCTTCAGCAGGGACAGGGAAGATGGCTAAAATTGATGGGAAGATGGATGGAGCCAAATACAGGACCATTCTGGAAGAAAACCTGTTGGAGTCTGCAAAAGACCTGAGACTGGGACAGAGGTTTATCTTCCAACAGGACAATGATCCAAAACATAAAGCCAAATCTACAATGGAATGGTTCACAAATAGACGTATCCAGGTGTTAGAATGGCCAAGTCAAAGTCCAGACCTGGATCCAATCGAGAATCTGTGGAAAGAGCTGAAGACTGCTGTTCACAAACGCTCTCCATCCAACCTCACTGAGCTCGAGCTGTTTTGCAAGGAAGAATGGACAAGAATTGGAGTAGTAAAAAAGTTTAAATTATCCAATACATTTCGTTCCACTTCACGATTGTGTCCCCCTTGTTGTTGATTCTTGACAATTTTTTTAATTTTTATATCTTTATGTTTGAAGCCTGAAGTGTGGCGAAATGTTGAAAGGTTCAAGGGGGCTGAATACTTTCGCAAAGCACTGTATGTATGATAGCACTTTTTATTTTTATTTTTTTTAAACACTGCTCTAAAGATCACGAGGCTCCAGCTTTGTGGGGACCTGAAAATGGTCAGAGCAGTTTGAGTCTGTTTTTTCAACATTTTGTGTATGTAAATGTACTTATTTGTGACTTATTTATTTGGTCTATTTGTTTCAGGAGGACCTCTGTGTCTGGGAACTGGAAAACTAATACAGGGTCTGCTATGCTGGAACAGGTGGCTATGACAGACAGGTAAGTACACGTACGTAGAAGACTTGATCTGGAAAGTAAGAGGAGTAAAGCTAACACATGTGCACGGCTTAGGTACAAGCTTTGGGTCGACACCTGCTCGGATATTTTCGGGGGGCTGGATATTTGTGCTGTCAAAGCCATACACGGGAAAGACGGCAAAGATTACATCACAGAGGTAAGACTTCAGCGTTGTTAAAGAGCTGGGTTCTCCTTTCGAGTTTCACCATTACAACACAACACAATATTTTAGTTAGTTAAATTCACTTAAAACCTGCAGAATATCTTCCTATATCTGAGGGACACGGTGACACACTTTTTCATTGTCGTTAGTGGTTGTGTCTCTATGTGCATGTATTGTATTGTCAAATTATATCATTATTGTGGCACTCTAGGGAGATCTCAAATGTGCGGTTTATGTAAGGCAGCAGAGAAATTCAAAGGAACTGGAGGCTTTTTGTACAGACAAATGTGCATCAAAGAGGATACAGAACCTCCTCCACAATTACCAAAGTAAACTCCAAGAAGTCATAGATGTTGAAGGGAAATACTGAGAACTGGGGAATGGAAACTTTTAATCAGGGTTAGAAGAGGAGTTTCTGTTGCCATTAGACACTGAAAATAGAAAAAAGTATTTGATAATAAATTGTGACCACTAATATGGAGTGAAAAGAGTTCATAAATAATTGGCCAATTAAAATAAAAAATATATACATATATCTAGATTTTTTTTCCTGTGTGTGTACAACTTAAAGCACAATGAACTAAACTTGCAGACAATGTTTCTCCTCTTGACTCCATAGTTACATGTGGATTTCAGCAGACATTTCAGCAGTACGGCGTCAGGGGTTGTCTCTGTGGCGTTTGCATGTTTTCCTGCTGTCTGTAACTTCAGTATTTTGTGTATAGAATGCAGCAGTATCAGCTCTGGAGGCAGAGAGGGGGCCGGGGGAGAGGGGGAGAGGGGGGGAGGATGTGTCTCTGCAGCGACTGTCTCAAAACAAACAGAGAAACTGGCGCATTTCTTTACACACACAGAATTTTAATATATCATTTACATATATATAGTATTTACCACATGTTTATAACCTTATGTGCATCTTGTGTAAATAGGGAAAAGTTAAACAAAAGCAGACAGAGCTCTTGGCCATTTTTATTTTTGTACACACATTTTCAACTTTATTCTAACTGTATTTTATCTGCTTTTACTGTGAAGCGCTTTGTGGCCTTGATCTCTGAATGCCGCTGTATGAATAAAGCATATTCTCTTACTGGAGATCTGCCACTCTGGACAAACAGCCGATCCGCATCCGAGCCAGAGTTACACTAAGACCTGGAAGGTATATTTCTGTATCGGACAAATAAAAATGGCATGATTGTGTATAAAGAGCCCGCACTCCGGAGATTACTGAGATAAACTCTGAGTAGAAGTACGAGTGTTCATCACAGTTTGTCAATATGTCTTTGGTTCACCGTGAATGTTATTTGAGAGCTGCAGTTTGAGACGCTCTGGGTGAATCTGTGGTTTATATATTACAGTCTACAATACATCATAATTTAGTAAGAGACTTAACCAGACTGTCCAGGGGTCGTTTTTGACTGGATTAAGGCCGTTCTCAGTTTTAAATGAGGTATGTCCATAATGATTCACATTTGACGGAGCTGAATGTAAATAAATAATATGAATGAATGAATATTAATTTATTTTTGTGTCTTTTATGGGCTTATAAGACACCAATACAAAGAACAGGATCAGATGACTGACAGGATACAAAAATAACTTATTTGAATAAACAGGATTGCCGGCGCTTCTAGGCTTTACCAACATAAGTAGCCAATTTAAACACATTGGAATTAAACAAACATTTTAGCTCCTCATCATCACTGCTCCAAAACAATTCAGGCTTTATAACAAACAGAAGATTACAAATATCGTCATACGAAGGACAATACAAAACAAAATGTGTTTCCTTTTCCACCTCTCCTAAGTCACAAAGTTTACATAATTAGCTACATGAGTAAAATTGGATTGATTTTTGTGCCATGACAAATGTTGGGAAAGTCAGTGACAAAATTGAAGAGGTTCGTAGCTGTCTGTGATGTCTGTGTTAGCAAAGATGAAGTTGACTGACGCATGTTTATGATTACAAAGAGTCATTTTGAGTTAGCAAAGCAAAGGGGCATAGAAAATGACACAGTGGGCCGCAATTGGCACCTGGGCCCGAGTTTGGACATGAGCCTAGAGATACCTTATTCATCCCACAGTATTCATCCATGTTGCAGCGCACATACAAGACAGTTGTAAAAATCGAACATCCTCCAGGTGTCAAGACAGAACATCCAAGTCCTCATTAGTGCTGGGTCCTAGTGTTTTACCTGAGAGAGTTCGATGTCCTGCTGCAGTGGTCGTCATGACGCTGATGTATGTTCACAGTTCGTGGGCTCGTCCATGCCGCTGGTGGGAGAGCACCAGGCGGAGGACAGGCAGCTCATCGCAGACCTGGTGCTGGACAAGCTCATGTCTTTAGCAGAAAAACAAGCCAACGCTCCTCCCAGACCCACCACCGTCCAGCCCACTCAGGTACGACTGCTTTACATGTTTCATTCACTGTGGACATCATTTCATAGATACACTTGTTGGTCTGGTTCTCTTAACTCAGGGGTGTCAAACCTATTTTGGTGGGAGGCCAAGTTTAAAAACATAGAAGCCAGTTTGGAATGAATTCAATCAAACTGGGCCATATATCAAAAAAGACAGAAAAGGAAGTAATTGAAGATTCATAGTTCCATCTTTGGCCAAACATTTGAAAACAGATTCAATTCCACGGTTGTTTTCTTGGGTAAATAAGCTTTAAAATTAAGTATAAAATGCAATAGTATTCTATTAATATCAATGCTGCAAGTTACTGTAATAATAATCATCATTTCATCGGTCCCTAAAAATGGTCTTGCGTGCCAGATTTGAATCCGAATTTGACATCAACCAGCCTGGGTTACCTCGGGTAAAATGTGACAGATCTGTTTCAAAAGATGTAAACTGCCAATTAACACTTGTTTTGTGGTTTTACATTCACACAGGAAGCATTTTTGTGAGCCAGAGTTGGTCCAGTTAAAGTGCGAACACGGCTGTTATGACTGTAATCTAGTTATGGCTTCAAATATTAGGCATAAATAAAATATGGTCAAGAGAGAGAGAGAGAGGCTCTGGCCGTCGGCTACAGTACATGGTGTTGTCAGAGCGGGTCCACAGACAGAGAGACCCCCCCCCCCATGTATACATGAGCCGTGATGCCACCCACATGTCACAGTGGATTGGTCAGTCAGGACACAGTGTTGCCCAGCAGCTCTAACTTGGTCACTGTTTCCTCAGGGCACTGGCCTAAAAGGGGAGACCGTGGGCGAGCCCCTGAAAGACGGCCATCCTCCCAACAGCTGCCTGCAGTACATCCTGGACTGCAACGGCGTGGCGGTGGGACCCAAAGCCGTGCAGGCCAACTGAGCTCCACGCAGAAGGGTAGAGGTTTATAACTACAGAGCCAAACTAGCCACTATTGTACAGAGGAAGGAGGAGGAGGAGAAGGAGGAGAAAGAGGAGGAGGACCAGGCCACGGAGCGTTGGCCGCAGCCTGACTGTGTTTGAACTCTATGCAGTGAGGAAATGTGCCGTCCACATGTGGGTTTATGTGTGCTTGTATCGGTCCGTCTGTTCGCTATGGTCTATGTTGAAGTCTGAAGCGAGATCGTGCCTACGCTAAGTTCAGTGCTGCTGTGCGCTATTCCCAAAACTTTCCCCTGTTTTTTGCGTTCCCCTTTGAATCCTAATGAGTTGGATATTGTCAAAACTGTGGAACATGGTGCACTTATGTTTGAAGTAGCGTGTATGGGTTTTGTAGTGGTTCTTTTATCTTTTTTTAAACACAGTAGTGGTTTCTTTTGGTTTTGCATGATTGGTTAAAGATGGGAGGTTGTAATTGTGTCCAAGTGTTTCCGCCTATGTGTGCTCCTCGTGAATGTGTCGTTGCTAAATGCTTTTCATTAACACGCAGAGAGATCTATGTATTCTGAACTAACAGAAACCTATACAGATGACTAATATATATCCATTATAGTAAGAATATATTTAAAACAGTTTAACAAGGATTTCCACTATAAGCCGCATTGTATATCGTTAATGTATTTGTATCGTTTTGAACCAAAGATTTGATTTTTGTTTTTACATTATGGCCTCTGCACATACTACTGTACAGCTTATTAAGGATATAGTCTATTTATTGCGTTTTACAAATATAGGTCTAAAAGTTATGTTAGAATATTATTATTTTTTGAGGGATAGAAAACGTGATAGAGTAGAAAATAGGAGGAAATTAGCAATTTAATTTGCTTTTTGAATCAAAATTGCAATGGTGCTGTTTATTAAGAAATGACAAACCAAAACTGACACAAAACCTGTTTTTCTGACAAATAAAATAATTCAAAAATTGGGAATATGCAACACAAACAACCAGGAAAGACTCTTGTTTTCAGGCAGACAACATGACTGAATGAAAGCAATCAAATCAATACTGAGTCATTTTATCAGTAGATTTGCCAGAACCAGCAAAAGGCCTTTTTGTGTTAGGATTATAGTACTTTTAAGATGTAAAAGTATATATGTGCATAACAAAATTGTCGAAATACTTTACTAACAGAAAGGCTTTTAAATACATTTTAAAATTGAAAAAAATATATAAATATTTAACATTCGAGCTTATCAAAATAGTTTTTACATATTAAAAAAATAATCTCATTCCATTCAAGTGAGAATAGTTTTGTCCATTTTCACGTGTCCCATTGGCAATTCTTGTTTTAATCCTTGTGCAAAGTGATTAAAAATAGAAGAAAAATACCATAAATTAGGGTCTAAAAGTAAATGACCCTGAGGGAAAAAGGATCAAAATTCAGCTAAAAATCTATTATTATATTATAATAAAAGTCTATTATACCCAAGGACAGCACAAGGGTTAAAACTGACTAATATCATACAATTTAGTATATTTTATTTATTATTGCCTTATTTTATTTTTTTCTTTGGCCGTGTAGAGATAACAGAACATTGTGAATCCATAAAAAAACAGGACACGCTGCTTTTTTGTGTTACACTTCCAAAATAGTACGCCTATTTTTACCCGCGGAGAGACACGGGCCTTCTGAACCGCCGAGCGCATCAAACAACCACAACAAGCCCGAGCTCCGCCTCATGCTCTGATCTGACTGCAGGGAGGGGGGGGCGTCTCACCCAGAGACCACCGCGGACCACTCTCCTCTCTGCCCCCTTTGCAGCGTTACCATGACAACAGCTGCTCCGAGCATCTGTGTGCGCGCGTGTGGTGTTGTCACTCAAAAGCAATCCCTTTTTGCTTCCTCTGTCCGGGAGCTGACAAAATGTGCAATATTACCTGTGTTTTTTTAAATTTGTTTTTAATTTCACTTAAATCAGATCTTCCGCGTATTTACGAAACAGCTCAATCATGATATTATTTCAACCACCTGCTTACTTGCGAACAAACGTGTGCTGTGATCGTATCAATAAACACAATATTTCTTTGACTAAAACTTTGTGTCTGTGGGCGTGTCCATGTCGAAGCCATGCTTGAGGCTTCCGTTGCCATGACGACGTTACCGAAGGAGGAACGCGCTGCGGCTCTCCTGTCGGTACTAACTGCATGATTTGGCCCCAATTTGGTGAATCATTCGTGGATATTTTTTTTTTATTAAATATTCCAAAAATTGTGTGAAATTGTACGTGTCAAAATGTCCTGTGTAAAAGTGAGAGCCATAAAACGTGCGACAATAAACGCTGTTGTACTGTTCAACATCTGAATTCAATAAGTTGTGGGGAAATAATTTTGTTGTGGGCAATAAAGTGTCATTTTCAATATGTGAGTGTTTGTTTTGTGTTTCTTTGTGCAGGTGAGATTCTTACAGATTATAAACACGTGTGCTACATGTGCTTCCTACTGACCCTGCTAGAACAACAGGTGCTCTTTGTTAGCACTTTGTTTTCTGTTTATGGGAGGATTTTCGACTTCCGGGTGGATCATCAAAACTATTGGTCCTCCTAAATGTCAATCATTCTGGTGATGCGTGCTCGTCGATCAAGACCAGAGAGTTTTGGGTTTTTTAAAGTGAAGAGGGCTGTTCTTTTTCTAAAATTGGTGAAAATCTTCCTTAAAATCTTCAAAGTGAATATGGCAGATATAGTTTTCCAAGAACAGTCAAGATGATTATATTTATATTGATTTTTATGTTTATGATTTAAAGCAAGCAGTTAGAGCTTCTGTTTCGCAGCAAGAAGGACCTGAGTTTGATTCCACCTCCAGGCCTTTCCGTGTGGAGTTTGCATGTTCTCCCTGTGTATGCGTAGATTTTCTCCGGGTGCTCCAGTTTCCCCTACCACTAAAAACATGTACATACATACAGTAGGTCTGAATGTAATGGATGGTGTTGGTTGGTTTTGATGCGCCAAAGTTCGGCATCTCGCTTCTGTCGTCACCGTGGGCAGAGAGAATGGAACAATACATGAACTCTGAACATTGTAAAGCGCTTTGGTGACCTTCATCTGTGAAATGCGCTATATAAATAATTACTTCTTGGTTGTAAATTATGACATCACGGTTGAAATATTAAACTAGGAACAATAAAACGGGTCCAAACTCCTCCACTGTAACAGAAGCTAGATGTCGCCAACTCTATACGAATTTATTCGGATTTAGTGGCTTGAATGAGCCCAATTTCCACTGAACAAAAACACAGGGTCCTTACAGCCGTGAGAGTGTTGCTGTGTCAGAAGGACTGTATTTAACCCGCCTTGTGGCTGGAGATGGAAGGGTTTAGTGACAGACGTGAATGTCTGTCCAGGAGCTGACGAAATGTGCAATATTACCTTTTTTTTTTTTTTTTTATTTCACTTAAAATCAGATCTTCCGCGTATTTACGAAACAGCTTAATCATGATATTATTTCAACCACCTGCTTACTTGCGAACAAACGTGTGCTGTGATCGTATCAATAAACACAATATTTCTTTGACTAAAACTCCGTGTCTGAGGGCGTGTCCATGTCGAAGCCATGCTTGAGGCTTCCGTTGCCATGACGACGTTACCGAAGGAGGAACGCGCTGCGGCTCTCCTGTCGGTACTAACTGCATGATTTGGCCCCGATTTGGTGAATCATTCGTGGATATTTTTTTTTATTAAATATTCCAAAAATTGTGTGAAATTGTACGTGTCAAAATGTCCTGTGTAAAAGTGAGAGCCATAAAACGTGCGACAATAAACGCTGTTGGACTGTTCAACATCTGAATTCAATAAGTTGTGGGGAAATAATTTTGTTGTGGGCAATAAAGTGTCATTTTCAATATGTGTGTTCTTCTATTGCACTGAAGAACAGAAGCTAGATGCCAACTCGATAAGAATTTATTCGGATTTAGTGGCTTGAATGAGCCTCATTTCCACTGAACAAAAACACAGGGTTCTTACACCCGTGAGTGTGTTGCTGTGTCAGAAGGACTGTATTTAACCCGCCTTGTGATCTAGTCTTTTAGCTGAGGCGTGTCCAGTGTTAACACTTTGGTTTTACTCCTGTCTAAATTACTGCTATATTTGATCAATCTGTGTTATAGGCGGTAGGGAAGAAGGATATAAAACTACACAAGTCACACCAGGGACAATAGTTTGCAGATCGACAGCGTAACAAGAGTGAAGCTCTTACCGACAGAGTTTGGGATGTTGCACACTGCTCTTTCCTTTGTAAAGTTGTCCTTTAAAAAAATCCATGTGAAAATGTTTACATTACTTCACGTGGATGATAGACTTGCCGTCGTAGTAGGTATAATGTGGTTCACGGTGGCGCTTTGAAGTTATTTCAAATTAATTAGTTCTTACAATTTTCTTTTTGACTCATTCCCGTCTTCCTTGAGGTGAAAAGCTGACACGGGTCCAAAACAACCCTCCAATCTTTCCCACTACTGTCCCCAGTTTCCACACGCATGGAACAGGTGTCATACCACCAGAAAAAGATCACAAATGCCATAACACGCACTTTATAATGAAGTGTACAGCAGCTTCAGTTTGGGTTTAGCACAAGTCTGGTCTGGTCTGGTCTAGTCTTGCAGATTCTACAAGAGCAAGAAGCAATCACCCACTGGTAAAATGTCACATCATGAACCACTTTCCCGAAGCTCCGACAAGTAGCAGAGCCAATTCTCTACCTGAACATGTAATTGCTCGGATGGCATTTAGAATCGGACCATCTGAACATCTGGGACACATATAATTTATGGACAGTGGTCATCCTGCTCCCTCTGGACAAATGACTCTTATGAGTTTGTCTCTGATCCGTCGTTGGTGAATAGACAATTTTGTAAAGTCCTCCAAGATGACTGCTGTTGTGATTAAGGGCTATACAAAAATAAACAGAAACATGTGCATATAATAAAAGCAAAAGGATAAAGATCGCCATGTGGGACTACACCAACCATCTGCTGAAATTAAAATGAATAAAAAGGCAAATCTAATGATAAATAAAGCTTTCATTTATCATCGAGCTACATGATGTTCTTCAGTGCAATAGTCAGGTTTGAACATGTTTGCACATCACTGGAGGAGACTGGAGGAGACTATAGGAGCACTGATGCCATCTGCTGGAGACTTTGCACACGGCTCTATTCCTTCTTCCAGAGTTATGTAACATGTCACATACATGTGGCATGTGCTCGAGAGCCAGGAGCAGGTGCTAATGAGGAGCTACAGTGTCAGTCAGTAGACCTGTGAGGTTTCCAGCTCCTGATAACGCTGCTGTCACCTTTGCCACAGTTACTAAGGGATTTATCATAGGGTTTATCATGAAGACTCTATTCACTTCCACAGGTTGATTTTGACGTAAATACAAGTCATTGTTGGAAACAGTCACGGCTTGAGATGGAAGGGTTTAGTAACAGACGTGAATGAGACGTGAATAATGAAGTACATGTGAAACTTGCTTGTGTCACAAAAATGGCATTGAAATTGACAAATGATGCTTTTAGTGCAGGATATAGGACCCAATTGAGTATAAATTGTCTGCACTGCAAAAAGGGACAAATAACAAGCAAGAAATGGCTTGAAATAGGCAAAATGTGTTTTTTGGGTTCATACATACATGTTTGGCCCAGCAGAAAGTCTCGTTCAAGTAAAATGTTGTGAACAAATCAGACCACAACACGCAGTCTTATCTCATTATAAAACATGTTATTGTTAGACTCTGGTTCTCTTTCACTGAAAAAGCTGATCTCTGACAGGGGTCAACATAACATCTCTGACAGAGGTCAACATAAAAGCCGGTTTTTACCAGTGATAAAACCAAATTGTTTTGAGAGCAAGGGACGACTTATATCGCTTGTATTAGTTAACTAGTTGTAGTTTCAAAGTTAGGTACTGCAGCTTTTTTATTCAATTATAATTTCAAAACAAGTCATTCAAGCATTTATTAGCCTATATTTTATCATTATTTGCAGGGCATTTAAACAACAATTTACACAACACAGTAAGTACAGAAGAATTGCAGACATACGATAGTGGGCTGGAGCTGACCAGAGTCCAGGGCTGGTCTTTGTCCCAGTCCTCCTCTGCACGGACTCAAATGTAGTGCTGTGTGCAGAGGACTGTTGAGGCTCTTCTCACTACAAGCATGAAACGGCCCAATATGTGATGAGGACAAAACTGTGCTGTTCTAGTCCGGACCGGCTGGAGCGCTTCTGATCACCCTGGACCTCAGATGGGGGCCGACATTATCTCCTTCATCAAGCCAGTACTTGTTATAATGTTGATAATTGATCCTAGCTTGTAAAAACCCCAAATGAAACATCTCAGAAAATTTGAACTTTTTGAAACCGACTGTAAGCCATAATGAGTAATGAGTCTATATCACATACTGATTTCAGACTAAATTAAATTGCAGAACCTTATTTTAGTTTTCTGAGATTCACCTGTGTGTGTATGCGTTTCCATTGGAGCCTCCTCTGCTTCACTCTGCTCCTTGGGGCCCGTGTGTGGCCCCTGGTGACGTCCCCTGAGCTCACACTGCGTTGCTGGTGCTACAGACAACATTACACTGGAGCTCTACCTCTGCGGCACTCTGCTGAAAGAACGTACAGAGAGAAGCCCGAGAGAGAGCGCAGAGAGAGAAGCAAGAGAGGGCAGGAGAGAGAGGGCAGGAGAGAGAGGGAAAGAACGTAGAGAGAGAAGAATGAGAGAGGGCAAGAGAAAGAGAGCACAAGAGAGCAAGAGAGAGCACAAGAGCTAGAGAGAGGGCGCTAGAGAGCACAAGAGAGCACGGGAGAGAATCATGAGAGTCAGAACTCACCCTACAGACAATGTTGGCACAAAAAATTAACTTAGATTTATTAAAATAGTGAATAGAGAACATTCCCGCCCAGTTACACATTTGTTTAACCTCTTCAGAGAGACATGATGGACAGTACATGTTAAGTCTCCGTGTGACTTCCACATTTAAGACAACAGCAAAGGTCCAGCTGCAGAGAGAGCGGGCCCCGACGGGGAAAAACGCGTGGCATCTACATATCCGCGCGTAACCACGGAGACTTCGGATTTTCAACTTGTCGCTTTTGCAAAAAAAAAAAAAAAAGTGCAAACCGTATACTCATCCTCCTACTGCTCCGATCGGCCTACGCAAAAAGAAACGACGAAAAAAAAAAAATCTTTCCACCATTTTAAGATTTCCTCATTTAAGACAAGAATCAAAAATCACTAATGAGCTACACAAAAAACAAAAAAGTTTGTAGAGTCTGTGTCGCAGCGTTTGTACGGGGATCCTTCTCGGGATGGGTTCCTGTAAAGCCCAGTTGTGCAGTCTTTAGTTTAGGTAGATTTACAGTACCCCAGAATATTTACAACCGCGGGGGAGAGACTGAGTAAGGCACCTTTAAAAAAAAAAAACAAAAAAAACAAAGCATGATCCTGCCAGTCTTCACGAGGGTCCGGTTTACCTTCATGCCGTGTTCTCTGGACGCGGCCACGCCCTGGGCCTGTTCGCGTCTGTGTGCGGTTTGCTTTGGGTGTGTTGCCTTTGGCTCCGGGGGACGGGCACGCAGGGTTTTTCATTTCATTTTAGTAGACTAGCAGCCGGGTGGAGGTGAGCGTGCAGGCGTTCATGTCCTCCGTGTGGGTGGCGCGGTGCAGGGACGGCTCCGATGTGCTGCGGTTGATCTTGGGGAGGGCGTGCTGCAGGAGCTCGATGGACGACAAGATCTGAAAAAACACACACACAGGCGCAGGTTTGACGTCAGCTGAACCGAGCGGGACAGCAGTTGCACCTGGGTGACGTGTCCGATCTGATAATGGGCTTTCGTGCGACTTCTGTTATGAGCAACGACTTCCTGTGAGAGACTGCGGGACAGATACGAGCCAAGAAACCTGATTGTGAGGATATAACGTCCAAATGTGTTGTCACCCGTTATGTGTGTTCATGAAGGAAGACCCACATACACATTTTAATGCTTCTGCTTTCTTCTTTTGAGCCCATGTGGTGTAATATGGATCTATAATATTATCAGGATCGGGTATTACTAGGTTATAGCTGAAAAACCCATGTGCTCAGGGGCTTCCAGCGGTACTGCACACCAAATAAGACTAAATTCATATGGGCAACAAAGACTCTTTCCTCATAGAACTCAGACAGCTCAACCTCAGCTGACAGAGAACCTACAGCTTTCATAAAAGGTCGGATTTTGTGGCGATTAAAGTGTCCCTTGTCATCCTGAACTTGTCATCTTGTTAAATCCATCACTTTTTGTCTTTAAATCCACACTTCAGTGCAACAAACTGATAAATGGAACAAGAATCTTTCATCTTGTTGTCGGGCAGACGCATTATTTTCTCATTCTAAACGAGCCGTCTCATTTTATCTGTCGTTGGCGAATCGATAACTTTGTAAAGTCCTCCGAGACGAGACGCTGTTGTAAAATCGGGCTTTTTCATAACGAATATTAACTGTCAGAATGTGTCAAAATCAGAAATGAGTGAGATATGAAAACTACTTAATTCAAGCGTTCCTAACATGTTTGTATCTTCTACATGATAATGCTTGTACTATAGGTTACAATTCTAAACGCTTTCTGAAATGTATTATGTACGTAAGTAAGTAAGGTTTATTTATATAGCGCATTGTACAGACCAAGGTCACCCAAAGCGCTCTTGCAGTTGTTATTTTACTCAAAAAAATTTAAAAAAATACCTATTCGAATTTTTAAAACATACGGAATATTGAAAATTGCATCTGAATTTCAACGTGGCTCAGGAATATCGGCGCTTCATACTTTGCTGAAATGGTGCAGCTCTCGTTAGAAGCTTCTGGGAGCACAGGGACTTGCCTCCTGCTGTGGCCCAGAGTCAAGACTAAACAATGTGGAGGCAGCGTGAACATTTAAGCAGCTAAAAAGAAAAAAGTCTGACTGAAAATGTGACAAGTTAGCCTTGTGAATGAATAGATAGAAACACCCTAGTCTTAGTTTCCATAAAACAGGGCAACGATGCGGTGAATACATGTGTTAAAAAACCTGTACCTGTGGAAAAAGAGGCCTCTCATCTTTGGATTTCTTGATGCAGTCGGCGACCAGTCTTTTCATGGCTTTGGGACAACTTTTGAAGAGCTTACTGAGGTCTGGCGACAGGTATCCTCTGCCCACCATGAAGATGATCTGAGGGAGAATGTCCAGATCGATCAATAACGCGTGACAAAGGCGTGACGTGAGCAAATGTAAAAAGGTGCCAGGTTCTGTGTGTGCTGCCAGGATATTTAACGGTTAAGGCGCTCTGTCGGGGATGGGACGCACTGAGGGCACACTTTGTCCCGTTTGAGGGCAGGCGGATTGAACAGAATGGAAGCATGAGGGGGGAGTGTGTCCTGGGGTATGTGAATCTACCACAAAGGCACACGCACGCACACACACACACGCGCACACACAGAGACACGCACAGACACACGCACAGACGCACTCGCACACACAGACACACGCACACACACAGACACACGCACACACACAGACACACACGCTCACACAAACGCACAAGCAGACACAGACGCGCACACACTGGCCCTGTTCTCATACACCTCCAGGCTTGTGTTACTAAAGCTAAAATTAGCCTTGTGGATCCAGGCCAGCTCCACAAAACCTTCAGGAGCAGGCTTTGCTACTGGCCTTTCTGAAGCAGCTTTACCCGCGCAGGACGTCACACATTGTTGAAATGCACAATTGACTCAATCTTTTACACCTGGGTTGCTCCTCTGACCACAGTTTTTTTTACAAAACTCATCTAAAAAGGTCACATCTTTGGATCAAATTTTTCAGACAGAAAGGTCACGTCAATCTGATCTCAGCTGTTGGTCTCCATTAAGCTAGTGACTTAGCGTTTGCCTATCTATGTAGAGTCCATGTTAGTACCTGATCCCTGTTGGCTATCTCAGCGTACGGCAGCTCCCCGGTCATGAGTTCGAACAGCACGATTCCGTACGAGTAGACGTCCGACTGGAAGCTGTATGGGTTGTTGTCCTCCATGCGGATCACTTCAGGCGCCTGCAACAGACCCGGGTGTTTAGGAGAAGATTCCACAGTGTGCTCGGTCAATCCTCCATCGTCTCACCATCCACAGAATCGATCCTGAGGGCTGCTCCACCTGCTGCGACCCGCTCCATCTGGTTTTTACCGTGGCCAAACCAAAGTCGCCAATCTTCACTGTTAGGCCGTCGTGCAAGAAAATGTCTGTGGAATCATTAAGGAAACAGCGCTGTAGAGATTTGGAGACTTAAGGCTTGTAAAACGCTGCAGACCAGGGTTGAAACCGTGGGAAAGGGAGGATAGATGTTTGAACCTGTGTCGACAGAAAATCACATTATAGTGGACAACAGCGAGCGAGTATGAGTGAGTTGTGGGAGAGGGATGTAGGGTCGGAGAGTGTTTGGGCCCGCCCCTTATAGACCAATAGCTCCAATACGTTAATTATAACTGCATTTCCTTTGTTTGTATTTGATTCTATCATCCATTAACAATTTTGAACACAAAACAAGATTAGAATTGTGCGACTCTGATGTGCGAAAGCGCCATCTAAATAAATGTACTGTGAAAAAATAAACAACTAGAATTGACTGAATTCTCAGTGAAGTGAGGGCCTAGCTGAGGTTTCTCACTTTTCCCCCCCATGTTTTTTGTATTGTTCCTAGTTGACGCAGGGAGATCTAAGGACAGTGATGATCCGGAACATTTAAGCACATTCATCAACATTTCTGGACAGTGGTTATCTCTCTCTCTATGGACAAATGGCTCCTATGTGTTAGTTATTGGATTCTCTAATCTGTTGTTGGTCAGAGACGGGCTATAGAATACATAACATACATTGAAAAGACTTTATAACTTAATGAATTTGACTAATGGAACTTTTTGCAGTGGACATGGCCTGAGGGCTGGAGTTTCACGCTGAGGGAAGGATACTGTTGGACTTCATATCGCGATGGATGATGTTCTTTGCGTGCAAGTAGCTGCAAAAAAACCAGGACAGACAGTATTAATAATGCCATTCGCGTCCACTCCCTCGGACACCATAGACGAGACATACTCCATGCCCTGCGCCGTCTGCCTGGCGATGTCTATCCTCTCGATCATCTTGATGTTGGTCTCCAGGACGTGGATGTGCTTGTACAGGCTGCTCCCCTCGCACCACTGCGTCACGATGGCCAGGTTGTCCTTCGTCATGTAGCCCATAAACAAGAGGATGTTGACGTGCCGGGTCTTCCTGTGGGCAGATGAGGTGAGGTGAGAGTGTGACAGATTGGCAGTTCAAAGTAGAGGTTGTAGGAGAGCTTACCGCAAAACTGCCACCTCGTTTCTGAAGGCTTGAAACTGCTCAGGGGTGGGGTCTTTGACCTTTAAGATTTTCACCGCTACGTCGCCTGAAATGGCATGAAAGAGATGGATTTAGAGTAGAATAAAATGTTACTGTCCCCCTGAGAGAATTGAGTCTTGGACAACTGTCGTCACAGAAATCATAAATATATTCAATATATAAAACAATTTAATACAATTTAATACAATAGTACAGCAATTAAAACAACTAAAAGGTGCCGGTGTCGAAAAGGTGCAATAGGTTTAGCTTCAGGGCAAACAGGGTAGAGCCATACAGGAGCGCCTGCGGCTGGAAAGTGCCAAAATGTTGTTGTGTCCTTTGGCAGGAAACTTTACCCACATTGCTTAGAATGAGCCTGGTGTGTGTGTGAATGGTTAGTGGTGGTCGGACTGGTTGGCTCACTTCTGTCAGTGTGCCCCGGGGCAGCTGTGGCTACAATAGTCGTTGAACACCATTCTGTGTGGAGTGAATGAGTCCGAACATGTGAAGTGTCTTTGAGTGTCTTAAGCACTAAATAAAAGAGAAGCATTATTATTATAAGACAGCTTGAAACAGTTAGATACACAGTTGGGACCTGCTCCCCGTTGGTAACATGTTGTATTGAGTGAGAGAACGGAGGCGTTGATGCACTGTGTTGGCTGTCTCACTTCTATCATCACTGAGTGTGGAAAGAATGGAAAATATTGGTTCTCCCAAACATCGTAAAGCTCTTTGGGGGACCTTGAAATGCTCTGTATAAATAGAGATTACTCACTCTGAGAACAGGGGGGGTCTCAGGGGCTTGTTTGACGACAGCCATCTCGTAAATTGTCAGCAGTTGTTTTGCGGGTCTGGAACAGTTTGTGTTTTCACTGAACGGTCAGGGATCCATGCCATTCTGTCACCAACTACAACTGCAGCTCTATAGAACATGGTCGCCGCAGGCTTTGGCACACGGTTCAAAGGAAGAACCGTTTCGGCGGCTGTAGCCTACTGCAGAGAATGTCCATATAAAGCCCGGTTTCCACCAGCCCTACTCTACTTGGCTCTACTCTGGCCCAATTGGGAGCGTTTCCACCGAGCCCTGTTTTGCCAGTACCTATCCCTCTTGGACCTGGTTTCCATTCAGGCCGAGCTGGTACTAAAGCGTTCTAACAGACAGGGATTGGACAGAGGGCCAGTGATTACCAAGGAATTTCCGCGGATACTAGTCTCTTGCTACAATACAGTACCAGATACTAAAGGGTAATAGAAACTCAGCCAGGTAGGGTAAAGCAGAGAAGAGTGGAATCTTATGTTGGGGCTTATGTGTGGCCGAGCTGCCCTCCCAGATATTTGGATTATGCAACCTGGGTGACAGCTTGAATCTTACATCAGCACTGGATCACATTTTGCGTTTAATTTTTGGATCTGTTGGTAAGGAATTGACAACTTTGTTCTCCATGATGACTGCTGTTGTGATGTAGGGCTACACAAAAATCCATTTAAGTTATTGCCAATACTTTTTCTTTCCAATGGACAAACGGTGTTGCCCAGGACAACGTTATGTAAGGATCTGCCACAGTTTGAGCAGAGGGGGGGGGATTATTATGCACCGATCAGTCCCACAGGTTTCCTGAGGGTAGCATGGATGGAGATAAAAAACAACCCCAGGGCTGTTCATGGTGAGGGAGCAGCCATATTGGCACAGGGCTAAAAGTCAAATGGTTCCTCAAGTGGGTCCTTTAATAATGTGTTTTGTGTTGAGAAGAAAAGAGAATCTAAATGTCCGTACCGTGCCATTTCCCTTTGTACACAGTTCCGAACGAGCCTGAGCCGATGCAGCAGTTCAGGTAGACTTCACTGGCCTCGATCTCCCAGTAGTAGCTGGAGTCTCGCTTGTCTCGAGGTCTCTGCGCGGTCAGCAGAAAGGGTCAGACTGATGTATATACGCAGAGGGTAAACGTGGGTCATTTCAGAGGCCTTACTATTTTATTCTGAGCAGGGGGTTTGGACGGGGCCCAGCCGGTGGGACTCTGGTTCGGAGAGCTCCCTGCTGCAGAGGTAGAAATGGAGAAAGATCAGGGGATGATCATCAGCACATTAGCACTATCAGAGTGTGACAGGGTAGACTTTAAAGATAAAGATCACATTTGTGTATTATGATTCATATTATAAAGCAGGGGTTCCCAAACTATTCTGGCCAGAACCCACAAAATTAGCATGAAAACGACTCACGACCCCCTCTCGTGCATACGATTTAATATAATAAGTGTGTAAAAAACATTCTTGATTTGTGGTAATGTTGTTGGGCCATTTGATTTTACTCATCTTAAAATAATGTCTGTATCAAAGTATAAAAAGTGTGTAAAGATACTAAATTATTCTGGAAATCATCTTAAAAACCCCAGCTCGTGTCCCGCAGCCCCCACTTTGAGAACCAACGTTATAAAGCATTATCAAAGGCAACCGTTTTTGCCCTTACACATTAATGTTGTAATTCATGTTTTTGTGAAATAATTTCTTAATTAAAATCGGATGACAGATGCAATATGGAGTGGTATAAGTCAGAATTTACATGACGCTAAATTTGACTCTAAAACAATTGTGATTTAGAGTGCATCAGAAGAGACACACCTTCTAACTTGAGGGACACAGTCGTTATGAATGTAATTTTACTGGAGAAGCTAAATTGTCTTTTGATGCATTGGGTCTGGGAAGTGTAATTTGAATTATCATCCCTCTCAGTGAATTCTAGTTTGTGGTGTGGCCTTTTCTGCATATAAAGTATCGTTTTTTGACATTATCGTGGGAAAACGAGCTAATATGCGTGTTGTGACAGTAAATGCACTTACCAGAGTTTGGATCACACACCTGCAAAAAGAGGGAAAAAAGAAAAAAAACATTTACAATTTGACTTGAAGGCCATATGCAGCATGGTCTTATGCTTTGACTGGTCTATTGTAAAAGTGCTTCTCAAAACAGGCTGTTTTTCTAACCTTGTCGGAAAGCTCGGGTGTGGCCTCGGCAAATGACTGGGAGAATTGCACTATACCTACTTTCCTCTTGAGCCAGAATCTTTGACACCAGGAGCTGGGACAGGCATTCGGGCCGTCGAGCTAACTCCCCACCAGGCCCAAAAGGAAAGGAGAAAAAGGGAGAGAGGTAGAGGAAAAAAGATGAAGGGAAATTGGCAAGAGCAGCGCCAAAGAGTGCCATGCAGAACTGGTGGAAGCATTATGGAAGAACAGAGTGGAAAGGGGAAAGTGGGCAGTGAAAAACATGATGTAAAACAAGAATTGCTGTCTGGGCCAATGACTAAACAGAATACAGACAAGTAGAGAAAAGTGACAGAAGTAAAAAATGCTTCCAATTTACATTGTTTGGCCAAAAATGAAGAGCTGAACAGTATTTGTCACATTTATCATTTTAGGTGTTTATGTGAAATGATCTGAATGAGAGAGTCAACTGGTCTGAATTTCTTTTCATAAATATGATGTGAAACAGAAAACGTAGAGCCTCAAAACTGTATATGAGAAAAGGGGGGGGGGGGGGGAGATTTGAGGGGGGGAGATTTGAGCAAATGGGTGGAGTCTGGGGTGCTCCTGCTTGGTTGGAGCACTTCATTAATAACAGAAAGAGAAATTATTACTGGGTCTATCCACATAAACCAAAACTTCAGAATCTCCCGTCACAATAAAAACCAAATAAAATTATACATTTCTCAAAGTCGGAAAGTGGTGCTGTTGTGCGACACGAGTGTGATTGTTGTTAGTTTGTGAAGTCAAAGCTGGAGTACCTCACATTGAAAGAAAAATAATAAATGTAATCAAATCAAAAACAGATCATTAACAGATCTCGAAATAACTACATTTGTAATTGAGTGACAGATGTTTTATCTCCCTCTCAATGTGAGCGTTCTCTCTTTTTCCAACTAAGCCGATGCAGGAGGGTCTAAGGACAGTGATATCACGAGACATTTATGGACATTGGTCATGCGCCCCATGAACCAATGGCTTCTATACGTTTGTTATTTTACTTTTTGTACATGAGCGGTTTGATTCTCTGATCTGTCTTGGCAAATCAACAACTTTGTAAAGTCCGCCCTACTGTTGTGATTGTGATTCACTTTACAAATGAATGAGGTATAGCAATTTACTGATTTCATAATTCTTCAATTCAGGGGAATATTTTTTTCTGTCCATTGTTTAGATTTCATCATTTCAAAATGTGTCTGAAAGACTGATCAGCTCTCTGTATCTTATATAATAAGATGAAGAAAGCGTGTGTTTGTTCATGATTTGTTAAACAACACTCCTTCTGTTGGGACAAACAACATCTATTTATGAAAGCAAACAAAAGTGAAGTACTCCAGCTTTAAAAGAATGAAAAGCCTCCCAGCCGTATATGAAAGCCCTTTAGAGTTTGTGCAGACAGGTTTTGCCTCAATGATCGGCGCTGATAATAAAAGACGGCTACCTCCATCATGCTGCTGTCGATGGGCAGGGTGGTGCTGAGCATGCTGACGTTGGGGGTGGAGGTAGAGCGTTGCCTCTGGGAGAGAGCGCCCCCTGGACTCACGGAGGACGTGTTGTAGTTGAAGGCGTGAGGCGTGGAGTATCGGTGCGCCGAGCTGTGGGAGGGAAACATCACAGTCTGTTTGGTTTGAGGAGAATGGGCCGCTTTAGGACGACACCTATATTTAGAGCATGTGGGAGTCGATTCAGAGCTTCAGACAGTTGCATAATAAACCACAACCTCATTTGAACAAATACAAATACAGTTGGCTCCAGACCAGGCCTTATAATCAGAGGACATTTTATTGTTTCAAAATTATACTGTACATATATGGGCCATGCTAACCCACTAACTCAATGAAGGCCAACAGGGAAGGACAAACTTTAGCTTCAACTCCCCCCTTCTTCTAAAAAGTTTACTCCGCTAGCTCAATAACAGATTGTGTCACACTCCCCATTTTGAACCTAACAAATCTGTGGTTTAACGCCCCCATGATCCTAGTGTTTATATTGTGATAATGTTTTTGTAAATCCACTTATGAGCCTTAAGGGTTGACCAATTCACAGGGGAAACGCCAGCTTGCATTGCAACCATGTTAGCAACACGTTAGTTTGCATCTGTCCCTGTTACTGCGCACAGGTAAGGAAACGGTCTCAAACTTGCAGACGTCCAACCCGGCTTCTTCCGCATTCAGCAAACACAGTGGGTGACGTCAGCACTTGGTTGACCCCACTCTAATTGATTTTGCAGGCTCTCGGTTCGGCTTTGGGTTAAAGCCGAACCAAGCTTTAACCCAAAGCCGAAAAAAACCAGGACAGACCCCCCCACACTCAGTTAATCAGCAAGTTTATCGAATATTATACGTTTTCCAATAGATGAAGACGGCTCATTGTTGTCTGATTTGTTCTTAACAAGAGGTTGCTTACATTATTCTCTGTCAGGAGGAACTGAACGAATGGTATCTCTGGCATCTTACAGCATCAATGTAATTTAAAGTAGATGTCACTGTCCGGTCTGGATTGTTTCTCACTCTGACATTAAACATATCAATCTTTAAGTAACATCTGTGGTTTTATTTTCTCTGCATCAACAAATATAATAGTAGTTATGATTTAAAGCCAAATTGTGGAACATTTAATGCAAAGGCAACAACACATGTTTGGAACCAGAGATGTGTCTCTATCCTGCCAGAAAAGCTATGAGATGTTTTTTATAAATGAGACTATAGCACACATGAATAAAGTAAAAAGTAAAACTCCAAGTCTCAAACTAATTACTGCACCGCGTTTTGGTTTTGAAACCTTTCTAAAGCCTATTCACTCAAAATGACATCAGCCTTGGACATGTAAGGCCCAAAAAGGCAATCAAGAATGAGCATTTGCTTAAAACACCACTCTCCAATTAACAGCTCAAAATGGCTCATTCTGAAGAAAAATAATGTTCATATCGTAAGTAAGAAATAATATGCTTTAGTTCCGGCCTTTCAAACTCATAATGAGTCCATTTGTCATTTGTTGCGTTAAATAATATCTTCACCGCCCTGCCCTACCTCTATACTACCACCAGAACAAGGAGTCAAATTACTTGTGTTTTTTGTTTGTTTGTTTTTTTCCAATAATTTGATAATTGCCGGGTGGAAACACAGACATGTGATTGTAAAGAACATAATTTCACCTGAGAAGTTTCATGGGAAAAACTGCTTTATAAGAGACTAATTTGCAGTTTCTTGTGCGTTGTCCTTGATCAAATGAATCAATTCTTTTCAACATAGTTAATTGTTGGTTAACTGTGACCCATCCAATTCCACCCAGCGGCTACTCCACCCAGCGGCTACTCCACCCAGCGGCTACTCCACCCAGCGGCTACTCCACCCAGCGGCTACTCCACCCAGCGGCTACTCCACCCAGCGGCTACTCCACCTCTGCTCCTGTGACCTGAAGTACTGTTGCTTTTTATGACTATAGCTAGCTTTTTAGAATGATCAATATGGATGGATGTGTTTTTGCTGCTACTGGACACATGAATTTCTCCTAAGGGGGTTAATAAAAGTATCTATCAATCAGTCTATCTAAAATCTCAAAAAAAGTCAACGATATGTCTCTGTTAAGATTGAAATGTTCCAAACCTGGGAAACCTCGTTAAAGAATCCCTCATTCTCCGAAACGTCATTGGTGGAAATGGTGCACTGCCCTCACCAGGTGTGGGACAGAAGCTGCAACAACAACAGACCACAGACGTCATACCAATTCTCTTCCATGTGATTTTGAGATGAGAAGCCAAGGCCACTCTGGAGTCCAATCACCACACTCCTTTACTAGACCGCAGCTGAAACCACCAGACAAGGTTAAACCGCTTTTCCATTGAACCTTTATGGCTCGGCTCGACTCAACTTAACTTGGCTCCTATTCAGAGCTTTTTCACTGGGAGCTGGCCCCTCAGAGCTGGAACATTTTGTGCACCTTTTCGCACTCAGGCCAACTGGGACCAAGTCGAGTCAAGCAGATACTAACTAAACGTGACGTGATCAGATCGGATCGAAAAACTACCGGGTGAGTGAGAAGCTATTATGCATGGGTGATTATTTGTGATTTAAAAAAAAAAATATCACAAATAATAGATTAGGGGTGGGAACCTCAGGGTACCTCACGATACGATACGATGTGCGATACAAAGCTCACGATAACGATTATCTCACAATATGACGAGGCAGTGATTATCGATTTATTGGTCAAAAATATACCTACGATAATATTTTTCTTATATTTATGGCATAAATTAAGTGAAAAAATACACTTTATTTCAAGATAAATGGATAAAGTGTCATGTGTAACATTTAATTGAACAAGCAAAAATGCCTTTTAACCTGCACATTTTAGTAAAAATCTTACTTAATCTGTCTTACATCCAATAAAATCAATATGAACATCCTAGAGAAATTGTAGAATAGGTAATGTAGCTTTTTTTTTTTTATAGATACTTAGCAAAAGCATATCGATAATCGATCGCGTGAGAAAGTATGACGATACATCATATCGATATACTGTCACACTCCTAGAATAGACACAATAAAAGTGATGCTGAAAGTAGCACACATGGCATCAGCTGTGACCTGTTGAGAAAGTAAAAGCAGCTCTTGCTTTAGGACAAAAACGTGTTAAAAAAGATCAGATTTATGTACGCGTTATCTGCGTATCATCATTGGTGAAATGTGGTCCGGAATTTCCACACTGCAGACCCGTGTTTTTGAGACCCGCGATGAAAACACAGATTACGGAGGTGACCAAACAAAAGGGCGATCTGGGGTTTTTGGAGCTACACAACAGCATAATGTGGAAACTCTGGATCCATCTTTTGTCACTTTTACTTTTAAATGAACTAATCAAAATGGATTAAATAAAAGGACGGAACTGGAAGTAGTTTGTACTTTTATCTGATCAGAAAGTTCTAATCTCACTCTTCACACCGAGAGTAAGCGTGAGAGTAAACAAGTCATAATCAATGCTTTCACCATTTCTGTGTTTGTGAATATTCTCCTTCTGCTGTTAGGGTTAGATCTGGCTGCTCTGTGATTTAACGCAAATTAATTACAATAGCAGTGTTTCCCCCTGGATCCACTCAGCACCAGTTTGCAATGGGAACATAAGCAGGGCCAAGTGGGGTAGAGGCGTGTAGAGGCGAATGAGTGCAGAGGGGCAGAAGAGCAGGAGGAGATACTCACAGGAGCTGTCGGATGTTGCTCCAGTCCACACACATCGTCGGGACTTTGGTGCTGCAATGCTCATGGAACTTGTAGCCACAGGTTTGGCATCGGAAACCGTTTATAAGGAACTTCTGGCAAATGTCACAATAGGCTAACTTCAAATAAGTCTTACGAACCTGCAAGGACACAAATGAGAGTTAAATGACAGCGTTATTGTGATGTTTCCTTAGCTACAGTCATAATTTAGTCAAGATGGTCAGTTTGACTGAGGGAAATGGTATTCTGCTTTTACAATGAAACATCAAACATGGCACAATCTAAATAAAGGCAGTGGGAACTTCATTTGTCAAAAGAATCTCCGGTCACTACTTGAGGCAATGCTTTTGTTGCAGGGAAGCAAACAGTTGTCCATGATGTCATAGTTTGAAAAAAGAGGATTTAGACAGAAGGGGCGGGGGCGTGACTGTGGTGTGACTGATTGTAAACGTGAAAAAGACACATTAGCATAAAATAAGCTGTGTGTGCGAGCGTGTGCGTGAATGAATAAATTAATAAATGATCTAGAAATACTTACAAAATTATGGGTTGTCAAGGGCACATGGTCTAAAACTTCCACAAGGAGCTCTTCACCGATCAGAGAGGTGGAGTCTGTGTTCCAGTCCATTCTGAGCTTTTTACTGAATCAGAGAAGGATCGTGTCATTCAAAACATCTCATTTACAAACTCAGCAGACACAAACTCAGCAGACACATCCAGTTCTATTTTGGTTGGATTGTTTGAGTTTGAGAGTAGGATAAGGTTCCAAGTCAATGATTTTAATTCGTCCCGGATCATTCATATTTGAACTGACTGAAGGGCAAGAGCACCAGTATAATCATTACAAAGTGCTTAAAAGCTGGGGTAGCCCAACTTTTGCTTTTATTTTCTTGATGTAAATTATCACATGTAAATTGCAACAAAAAACCTGATCTAGAGCTCACCTAAAGATCTGACAGAGGCCAAACATTTTCATTTTATTTTTGTATAGCCCTAATTAGTTACAGCAGTCGTCTCGAAGGACTTTACAAAGTTGTAGATTCAACATCAAAAGATCAGAGAATTAACAGTTTGACACTCACGGATAAACACACTATAGATCCAGGACTCAGACTGTAGACGCTATAGTCCTGCCTTGTTTTTACAATTATATGCTTGTAAAACGAGCAAAAGAACCAAACTTCTTTAGAGCTAAAGTGAGTGGCATGGACTTGATAACACATCCCATTGTTGTGGTTTGAAACAAAGCTACACCAGCCTTGAAGTTGTATTTAGCTTTTGTTTAAAAAGGGTTTGTAAATTAAAATGCAATTTCTCTTGGATTGTTGGACACGCTGCATTGTGAGCACAGGTGACAGTACTTGTGCTTACCTTCCCTGCGCCGGCACCAGCGCCGGCTGCAGCTTAAACACAGCACAGCACTGGGGCTGCAGACCTCGCACTTTTAAGGCTTTTATCAGGCAACTGTGCAAAGTCATGCCCGGCCGCACGTTTACCTGTGGAGACAGAACAGACACAACACACTGACAACAGCTCGAATTGGGAGGGGGGGTTCAATTTGAGGGGGATTCAAGAGGAGCAGGGTTTACTTATGTCATATTCATCACCAGAGAAAAACAGGGACATTAAGTTACATTCAAAGTGAAATCACATTACATCGATAGAGCTGTAATACTCACCACGTCATCCCCATGTAATACAAGGTCACTAAAAAGGGGGCGCAACAAAAGCTCTGCAAACTATTGCCATTATTTGTTTCTTACCTACTACAACATAACTACAGCAACGAGAACACCATAATGTTAAAATAAAAATGAATTAATTTTCTGCCTTAAATCCAAAATATTCTACTAATTTGTTCCATAGATTATCGGTCGGGAAGGATGATTGAAAATATGAACATAGTGGATCATAATTTGATTCCAATCCGGTTCCTCAGACTTTAGATCAGTCTTTAGATGTCCACCTGGATGGATACAGATGGATCTGGGTTTTCCTGGGACTCACCACAGTGCGTTGTTGGTTGGGGAGGTAGACGCGGATTGTGCTGCTTGTCTTTGAATCAGGCATCTTGCTGTCGTCGGAGGAGCGGCGCTGGCAGAAGCCCTGGACCAAGGTGGGTGACAGGCACGGGCTCTCGAAGCCAGGGTCCTTCATGCTGAAACCGTTACTCAGGGACTTCCACGCTCCCTGGAGGTGCTCCATTAGAACAGCCAAGTGCTATGGACGGTCTGCAATGGAAAACAAAATCATATGTAGAAGGAGAATCAAATCAGATATGAGCCCTGTTTTACCTAGCCCTACTCAGCTCTACCCTGATTGGGAGCCTCTCCACTGGCCAAGTTTTACCAAGAGATTTCCCTGCATACTGGTTTGTTGTGGGTAGGTTTGGTAAGAAAACAGTCCCAGAAAATAAAGCGTAATGGAAACAACCAGGAGACTAGAGCCTGTGTAGAGTAGAGAAGAGCCAAGTAGGGCCAAGTGGGGCTGGTGGAAATAGGGCTATACCTTGTTATAGGGCAAAAGAAATGCACCTTTTACAGAACAAGAATATTGTAATTTTTATTGAAAGGATACAGTGATGATTGCATTCAACCTGCCATCCACCTGCAAATCTCAAACACTTCTAGATCTCTCATTTTAAGGTGTACTGCGCAACCTTTTCCATGACCATTTATCATTAGTTTTCCAGGGATGTACTGCAGTGTGATACAAAACTAGGACATTATGAATTACAGATATGTTCATTCACTGCTATAAATGAATGACGGCTCACAGATATGGACTGTCTGTAAGTTAGCCTCATAAAGTCTTTCTCGTCTCTGTTCTGGGAAACATGCCAAGCAAAACAACATTTTGATTGGCCCAAGCAATTAGCACAACCTCTATCAGGAAAGTTGTATAGTGGGGCTGCCAGATGAATCTCAAATCCAATTGCAGTGTTAGTGCTAGCAACTTCAAAATGACCCACAGATAATTAGTAGAATAAAAATACCCTAAATTAGATTCTAAAGGGGTCTAAATGACAGCACAAGGTTTTTGATAAATAAATATTGAGGCATCTCTTGTCATAGTCCTAGATATCATTAGTTCATCAGGGTGGACAGTTATGGTCCGGGACATTAAATTAATATTAACATTTATGACATTTTTGGTCATCCTCCTATGTGATTGTTAATAATCTATTTTCTGTGTTAGAAACTTCTCTGAACTGATGTTGAGAAATCAAGTTTGTCAAATCCTCCGACATGACTGCTGTTGAGATTTAGGGCTTAAATAAGAATTGAAGTAGTTGAGGGGTTACAATATATGTAGACTGGCCTTAGCCATCCGTACACGCCACTCAATTAAATTTTCAATGTAATTTGTACTATGGTGTGGTACGACCAGGCTACAATATATGCAGTGCACATTTTTTAGTAGTAGTAGTCTAATTTTCAATCTGTTTCTGTAATTAAACCAACTCATCTTAAAAATTACTCATTGCCTGAAAAGTGCTAAGCCTATTTGTAATGTTGATGATTATCGCTTACAGTCCAAAATATAAAACATTTTCTGAGATGTTTTATTTGGAGTTTTCAACGGCTGTGAGCCAAATTTATAACTATGAGTCAATCGTATTATATTAAATGGACTATAAACTATATTCTCCTTTATTGAACAACAATGAAAGAGTCGCTTCCCTTTCAATAAACTTAAAACAATTATATTTCTTTTTCTCCCACTACACATCAAGCTACTATGCACTTTTTAAAAAATGACAAAACCCAAAGTGGTTTCAACCGGAGTAATTGTCTTTTATGCAAACTGAAATTCAGGTTGTATAAAAAAAAAAATATATATCTAAAACTGCTGTTCCATAACACAGTGTAGCGTGTGTCTCATAATGAAGGGGGAGCGTTTGTGTGGTTGCTTGGAAGGAAGTACAAGATTATCTGTAGTTTTATTTCAGCTAAAGCAGATTTAAAAGATGAAATAAACACAACTTTGATCTTTTTGTAAGAGGGGTATCATAGCCTTATTGTGGGGGTATAGTGTTGCTGGTGCCCAGAGTCAGGACATAACATGAGGAGGCAGCGTTTCAGACTCAGGCAGCTAAAATCTGGAACAGGCTTCCTGAAAATGTGAGACAGACTTCTACCCTGACAATGTTCAAATCCAGGTTAAAACAGTTCTGTTTGGCTGTGCATACAACTGAAGGATTGTATCTTCGGCCCCTCCGACCACCATCAACCATTCACACACACCAGACTCATTCTAGGCAATGGGAGTAAAGTGTCTTGCATAAGGACACAACGGCAGTTTGGCACTTTACAGCCGGAGCCGCCCCACTGTGGCACCTGGTGTTCCCAGAGGTTGAGTGTCTTTCCAAGGACACAACAACACCTTCGACAGTGGGAGTCGAAGGTGAAAGTCGGGCTCGAACCCACGACCCTCTGGCTCAAAGGCCATTGCTCTACCAACTGAGCTACTGTCATTTATGTTTTGAATGCCTTGTGTGATTATAATGTTTCTTGTTTTCAAAGGGCGCTTTGAGTTGCCTATGTACAAGATAAGATAGTCCTTTATTCGTACCAGTCGGGAAATTTCAATGTTGCAACGCGTATGCAGGACAGTAGTGAGAGCACACAAAATAAGATAAGATAAACCTTTATTAGTCTCACAGTGGAGAAATTTCAGTGTCATTGTTGCACACATTACAGCAGAGAAAGGAAATAAGAGCACTCAGATTGCACACATCAAATATACAGTATAAGTAGCTGATATGTTTCTTCTAGCTGTAAATGCTTCAATGTCAACCTTTCAAAATAGCTCTAATTATATATAATATATATATATATATATATAGTGCAAAGTTATATACAGGATAAGTAGATACAGTGACATTCAGTGAACATTCTGAAGTTGCACTGTTATGAACTTGCTATACAAATAACCTGGCCTTGTCTATAGTGATCAGACCTTTATTTTTACTATTTATCCCAAAACACGCCAGTATAGAGAGATGGCTTCATGCTCAATGTACCAGACGCAATAACTTTCACTGGACGTGCTTAACTTTTACAAGTCTAACAGGTTAACATGTAATCAGCCATGCCCTTTTCACTGCTTTGTTTTCAATACAAACTTCCAGGCGAGAATAGCTATTTTCAGTCACCTCTCACTACAAAAGAGCACGACCTCCAGAGACCCACAGCAAGCCATACATACAATAACACGCCAACACAGCCCATTATGCCAGTTTGTGGTTGCCATTTTGGGCTATTCCTGGAGAAAAGGAAAAAAAGCCTAAATGCAGGCGTTTAACTTGGGAGCTTTTCAATTGCACTGTGCATAGGCAGAGGACTGGAAAGTGCTGATGTGGTGGTACATTGAACAATTGTTTATTTATTAAGCAAAAGGTCAAAAACGCTGCACCGACTCAAAATACGTGTCCTACTGTAAGCAGTGTTAGCATGTCGGTAGTGCAATGTAGCCACGCGTGCATAATTATCATCACACTTAAGTTTAGCAGTTTAGCTTGGAGAATGCACTTAAACAGGCATAAAAAATAGGTTTGGCAATTGCACAAAGTTTTAAAGCTAATTCGCAAGTCTTGTTTTGAAGGCCTGGCTAGCATAGCATTGAGTTTTCCTATGTATTTGCCTCGGCCCTTTCACAACTACATAACAAAGTGTACACAATCCATTTAAAGTAGCTTTCTTCGGCGAATTCTTTACCACACTTTCAAAGCAATTGTGGTGTAAGGTTTTAAGCAATAACCCAATGCTCGACAGTTGTAGCTAAGTGCTTACCAAGAGAAGTTGGAAAAGTTGTGCTGCTCCGCCATAACTTCAGGAAAAAGTGGCGTCGCTGACATCATATTTGCGAGGCGTTCAATGCGCGCAGGAAAAAAAACTTACAAGTAAAAATGAAGTGCAAAACAATAAAAGTCCTGGTTGGAAATGTTTGAAATGCACGTAAATGAATGATATTGTTATTTTTTGTGTTAAAATTATTAAATAGAAGGTGCAAAAATACGTCTTTTATTTAACGTATTTAATCCCAAACACAAAACTAACGCATGTCCTTAAAATAGCGTTCTTAAAAAGTGCCTTTCGCCGAAAAAATACGCGCATTTGTATATTTTTGGTTGATATACATCGTAATAGATTCTGTCTGGAGTAACTGTGTATTGTCTGAGGTCTGAAGTCAGTGTATGAGAGAAGCAGGACATTCAGCCACCACTATGTACGGAGTAATGATGAGCCCTCCTCTATGACAGCATCAGAGGTTTTATTGTTCTTATTGAGCATGGAAATAGTTTGCATGGGTATTATTTGCAAAGCGTAATGACGAAGCAAAGCATGACTGCATTTGGTTACTACGAGGCTGTAAAAGTGTTATAAACAGAATATGGTGATGTTATTTAAAAGTGTTCCATCTTCAAAGGACATGGTAGTTCTATGAGGAGCACAGGGACTGGCCTCCTGCTTGGACTCTGAGGAGCACAGGGACTGGCCTCCGGCTTGGACTCTGAGGAGCACAGGGACTGGCTTCCTGCTTGGACTCTGAGGAACACAGGGACTGGCCTTCTGCTTGGATTTTGAGGAGCACAGGGACTGGCCTCCTGCTGGGACTCTGAGGAGCACAGGGACTGGCTTCCTGCTTGGACTCTGAGGAGCACAGGGACTGGCTTCCTGCTTGGACTCTGAGGAGCACAGGGACTGGCCTCCGGCTTGGACTCTGAGGAGCACAGGGACTGGCTTCCTGCTTGGACTCTGAGGAACACAGGGACTGGCCTTCTGCTTGGATTTTGAGGAGCACAGGGACTGGCCTCCTGCTGGGACTCTGAGGAGCACAGGGACTGGCCTCCTGCTAGGACTCTGAGGAGCACAGGGACTGGCCTTCTGCTAGGACTCTGAGGAGCACAGGGACTGGCCTTCTGCTAGGACTCTGAGGAGCACAGGGACTGGCCTCCTGCTGATGCACAGCGTCAGGTTTAAACATGGTGAGGCAGCATTTCAGATGTTTGCAGCTAAAACAATGTTCGAATCCAGGTTAAACAACCAGTTTGTTTAGCGGCACACAACTGAAGGCTCTTTTTAATGTTTTGTGATGATTTACAATTTTTATGCCTTGTATGATTATTTGTTTCTCTTTTTGTAAGGCACTTTGCGTTGTCTTGTTTATGAACTGCGTTCTACAAATCAGCTTGTGATGCCTTGCCTCATATGTACATTGAAATTACATACATGTGTCAAATATTGGCCACTAAATAGCGCCATCGCCTGGTTCAATAGAGGAGGTGCAGGTTTCAGGGCTATTATACTTTGTCTATTCTTACTTTGTGGCGATATTAATCTTCATTTTAAAGTTAAGTAAAGTGAAAGTAATATTGTACATATTTAGATCTACAGTGTTTGTTTATATACTGTAGATAAAAATATAACATATAGAGTAAATATGCATTAATAACACACTTACCTCAAGTTTCCATCCATCAAGGTTGTTTAGGTCCAGAGCTGAGCAAATGAAAATTATAATAGCCTCCATTGGATTTAAGATACAAAAACAGCTTTATCAACATCCCATGGAAAATGTTTGAACAGCCCCAGCCTCCACTGTTTCCGTAAGCAGCAAAAGTCCATTGTGACAATGCTGGAACTGTCTTTCCAAGCGTGGTCTGCCTATAAATTTGAGCTCACATTGCTTAAGAGATTTTTGAGATAACTAATGGCACACATACTGTTGGACTATCTGAGAGGATGAGGGAAGGGCTATGTCATTGTTGGAATTTAAGGTGCTCCATTTTATCTGGCACAAATACACATGCAATTCAAAACAATGTTACGTCCAGCAGTAAGTCATTTTAAACAGAAGTTACAGTTTATTTATATTTGTCAATTATCCCAGTATTAATAAATGTGCATGCAACATTTTGACTTCTGTGCACTCAATGAGAAATCCACCTTAAGACTGGGATGAAAGCTATTGATCTCTCTGTGCCTTTGGTGATGGGATACTCCTGCATGTGCATGTGCTACACTGAGATAGCTGTAACACTGGTACAAAGAGGACACCTATGAAAACTGTAAACATTATAGCCTCTGTGCGTTTTAAAAAGTACATGCATTTAAAGATGTGGTTTGAGTTTGTTCCGCTGTATCTTGCAATCATGCAACAGCACAGTTAAAAGAAAAAAAACACCAATTTTGCAATAGGATTCTTTGTTTTTTTTGTTTTTTGTAAAATCCTGCATACGTTTGTTTTTTTGCATTTATCCTTTGGTCAAAGCCTCTTATCTTATAGACAAACCTGTTCCACCAAAATATGCAGTTTATTGACATAGGGACGAACACCTGAAATTGTAGGGAAATGTGTTCCCAAAACAACCCAGAAAGCCATGTCACGTCGTCATTATTTGGGAGAGAAATATGCCGTAACAAAAAATTAATTCTCATTTTCATATTTGAGGGCATAAAAATGAGGACATTCTCTTCTTTAGATGGCTCTAAAATAATTCATTTGACACATCTGATGACTTGTAACTAAAACAGGCTATAATTCAAAAATACATTGTATTGGTTGTAAAAATTGGTTATTGTCTGCACACTCATTAGATGAATTGGTTTTATATAGCGCTTTTTGGACACTGAATGCTTCCAGCCTCATTCATTCCCTCTGTACACAGTGGTGAAAAGCTATTACTGTAGCCACAGCTGCCCTGGGACAGACTAATCAGTATTTGCCATCAACATCTCTGACCACCACCAACCGCCCACGCCACACCAGACTTATACCTAGCAAAGTGGGGAAGCATCTTGACCAAGGACACAAAAACAGTTTGGCACTTTACAGTCACCCCACAGTGGCACCTGGGGCTCCTATAGGTCTGAGCCAAAGCAATTTCCTAGTCTGTGACCTCCTGTTACTTACGTGGCAATAAAAATGATTCTGATTCTGACATCATAGTTCTAACCAGGCCCTGTTCTACTTAGCGGAAAAGGTCTGACAGGATCTATGGAGTTATTATTGCTATACAGTGTACTTTTTCCTTGGGTAGCCCAGGTACGCTTTTATAGAGCACGTATTTTTTTCATTCTTCAGCCTTAAAATGTTTCAAGCCTAGATGTGATTATTTAGGGGGGGTTTCTGCTCTGTACGGTGCACTGCAACATTTCCGTGAGACAGAATAGTTTTACTTCGTTGAAATAAAATAAAAAACTGACGCAAATAAATAAATAAGTAAAACATGAAAAATAATTAAATAAAAAAGGACAACAACACTACCACATTTGACGTCGGTGGTAGCGGAGGGGGGGTCGGCAGTCCCGGCTCGTGGGATTGGCTGAGCGACAGGGGCGGTGCCCAGGCTTTCCCTGCCGTGGATGGCTGCTGGAGGAGGAAGGATCCAATCACCGCGAAGCTTTCCAGTGGTTACTGTGAATGACAATCGCGCTGCTCTTGCTCACCCACCGCATGCAGCGAAAGAAGAAGGCGTAAACACTGACACTGCTAAGGTAGCCACTGAGGTAAGCACCAACAAAGCAGCATTTTAAAACATTCTTTCCCATGCACAATGCTTAGAGTCGTGTCTATTATATGTATTGCAATGCGAACCAGCGCGTTGTAACTTTCAAACACCGCTGCTTTCGTTTCTCGTTGCGATCTCGGCTGAGTTGTGTTTGCAATACGGAGTAACGGGATCACGCTTTGGCCCGCTAAATGCTAGCTTTGCTTCAAAATGGCAACCCTGGGGAAATGTGCGTGCTGCGCGGGAAATGAGTTAGGCTCGCAAAACGGGCTAGAATCCGGGGTAGTGTGTGAGATAAACGGCCGTGTAGAGTTTCGTAGGTGGAATGATTTGTTTTGAAGAAGATTTTGGGTGAAAACGTCGAGCGTGTGGTGCTCACGGGCTGGTGTTAGCATGGTGGCTAGCGTGTAGCCCGCGAGCACGCAGTCTGATCAACGTGACTAGGCCAGCGCGTGCACCCCCAGTCTCCACAACATAGCCTGTTTAATAATACGGCAAGATACAAATAACGTAATTGGGAGAAGTCGTGATTGACGAGTCCCTATGAGGTTCCCGAAAGAGCATTCACTTGATGCTATGTTTTGTCCTCGAACGAGTGCAGATCTGATTTTAACACGGTGGAAATGACTGCCCTCCGTAGCTAGCCCCAAAGTTAGCACACAATCCCAGCATGTTTTCGCCGTGGTCAGCATGGGTTTCAATAAAGGCCATTCCCACAGTAGACATAAAAGAAAGTCATTGTCTTGCCTCAGCAATGATCAAGTGATGTTTCTTGAACGAATTAAAGGTATTCTGAGATACATTGACCCTTATGGATGACTGAGGGGCGCCTTAATCATTAACTATATTTTACTGACCCGTCAGCAAACACTTGGAGAAGTTTGACCTATGGCGATCACAACATGATGCCATTGAGGAATTCGTGTAAGTTAGCCAAGTAGTAGATCCTTTAGTTAAATATCTCCCTTCGTCATTAGAATAGACTAGATCCAAATATATTGTCAAACTCTGTGGGTTTTGAAATGAGAAATATGGAAAATGTAAGTTCATTAGAAAGCCCCACAGAGGCGATAGTCTGTGTACCTGTTGTTTGGAAGAAATTAATGACTTGACAAATAAAAGATGTGTAACAGCTTCTTTTGTGGTCAGGTAATGGAGATGAGCAGCAACGGCGAATGCTACGGATGTGGCCGTACAGGGCATTGGATCAAGAATTGCCCAACTGGGGGTGGACGTGGACGTGGCAAGGGCCGAACACGGGGAAAGGGTGATTTCCTGTTTTTAAATGGCACATTGTAATGATTATTTTATTATAAATAACATAAATGTTTGTCTTTGCAGAACTATTCTGTTATCGGTGTGGAGACCAAGGACACATGGCTCGTGATTGTGAACAAGTTGAAGATTGTATGTAGAACAGTCATCTGCCGCGTTAGTTCGTTTGGATTGTTGAACAGGGCTCAGTGGTTTCCTTTTCTATATTTTTAGCTTGCTACAACTGTCGCAGGAGTGGTCACATTTCTCGGGACTGCAAGGAGCCCAAGAAGGAACGAGAGCAGGTCTGCTACAGCTGTGGCAAGGCTGGCCACATGGCTCGGGACTGTGACCATGCAGAGCAGAAATGTTACACCTGTGGTGGTTTTGGTCACATCCAGAAGCTTTGTAAACAGGTGAAATGTTACAGGTGAGTTTTCACGCCACTCCCACTTTGTAGCCTGTAATATTCACAAGTTGCTATGATCTGATCGCTTTGCATATTTGATCCAGATGTGGAGAGATCGGTCACGTCGCAGTGCATTGCGGTAAATCCAGCGACACTAACTGCTACAACTGCGGGAAGGCTGGGCACTTGGCAAAGGACTGCAGCAGCATTGAAGCCACAGCATAATCAGTGCCCTCTGTTGCCCCTCCTTTTTCAGATTGATGGTTGGTTGTATTATTTTCTCTGAATCCTCTTCACTGGCCAAAGGTTGGCTAACAGAGGCTAGTCCCAGGCCAGTGAGTCTCGACATGTAATACAAAGAAAGGGGTGAAAAAATATCTTTCTGCATTCAATACAAAATGTTTTAGTTTGGTAGCGGTGTTATGTATAATGCTTTGTTAAAGAACCCCCCTTTCCAAGCCACTGGTGATCAGAGATCAATAAATGGGACTAAACACGTGGGAACCTATAGGACATCTGAGCTTATGGAATTGAGTCTCAGTCAAATGAGATGGAAGGGAGTAAATGGAAATTGAACTTCCATGTATGGTTATTTTGGTTTGTTTTAGTGGGGTATGAGTTGGCCAAGGGAGTATGACATGGAAATAGTTCATAACATGCATTTCAGCCCAACATGCAGCTACATGGGCGAAACAAACTACATGTTATATTGCTAAGATATATAATTATGGAGGAATTAAAAGAATCCAGTTCTTTTATAGAAAAAAAATCTGTTTACAGTTTAAATATCTCTTGGTAATAATCCAAGGTAGACTTTCATTTTCAAATGGATTTCATTTTTGTTTTTTTAACCTTATGTAACAAGCGGTTGTCAGAACAGCAGATTTAGAAGTTATTTGGGGATGGAAAAAAGTTTTCACAGAAATCAAAAAATGTTATTTTTGTACAATATCACTTAGACTACTGTATAAATACCATTTGCTTGTACTCGGTTTTTAAGTCGGAAGGAAAGTGCAACTGAAGTCCTAGAAAATAGAAATGTAATTTTAAACTCATCAATAAAGCTGGAGGAGCACGGGGAAGACGATTGTTTTGTTTTTTCTTGTGTATTAAGTTCTAACTAAAGTTTTTGTTGCATGAAAACTGCTGTCGTTTAGTTTCTTGATTTAGGTCATTGACCATTGCTAATTGCATGACTAATTCTATACAGCAAGGCAAGAGATGCCCATACGGAAGATCTTTGCACTTTCCTCTTCCCATTGGAACTAGTAAAATCCCAATTCAAAATGGAGACTGATTCACGAAGTGTTTCCGTTTGTATCTGCGCGGGGAAATATGCCCCTACACAACACACCACCTGAAAGACTGACATGTGGCGTTAGTTCCACCCTGTTACGTTAAAAGCAGTGTGCGCTAAGTGCAGCGGCTCCTGCTGCAGTCTGCACACAGCTCAGGGCTCCCTCTGCGCAGGGAGCAGCAGAAACAGACTGGAGCATGCATAGTGTAAAATGGCAGCGCACTGCTCTGCTGCAGAGGGAGGCCTTCCTCTTACGTCAGCGCGTCTCCTCGCGCATGCTCCGCTCGGCCCGTGCAGCCGTGACAAACATGAGCGGTGAAAACATACCGAGAAAAACAGCTGCTCACTGACCCCGTTCCTCCCGGTGATATCCCGGTGAACAGCGGAGATGCGGGGACTGCTACCTTTCTCCCTGGGCCTTAGCGCTCTCCGGACCGGACAACAAGCTGCCAGGGCGGGCGGCTTCAAGTGCGAGCTTCACGGAACTCGGTCTGTAAACAAGGTATTGTGACCCTACAATGCATTTACTGTTCCTCTTTCCATATAGTACTATTCCCTGTAGATATTATAGCAGCAACTTTCAGACGGATGCGCTGTGATCTGCAGCCAGTGACAACAAGAATCCCCCTTCCCTTGTATTTTAACACATTAAATATTCTCACTGCACGTCACCTCAGCTTCAATTGTATCTCATCTGATAGTTTTTTTTAGGGGTCAGACTCCGGCAGCATCCCTTATGCGTTATATCCTCCCAATCATGGCTCTAATATGAAAAGAAAACACAATGGTCCTGTAATAAAACATTGGGACACTACATTAACATGTTGTAGATTACTTCTTGAAAAGCTTAAGTCTTTCCACAATGTCTTAATCCATGAACAGAATTACGTGTAAGCAGTTTAAAAGAAATCTCATAAAGAAATGCACCAGTCCCTTCCCTCATAAAGTATGCATGAAAGACATTTATTAAAAGATTATATATAAGCAAACCAAGAAGAAAAACTCAGTTTTATTTTCTCCACAGGCACAGCCAACCTTTGGGCTGTTGTTTGACATAGATGGCGTCCTTGTCCGAGGAAGAATGCCAATCCCTGCTGCTAAAAAGGCCTTTTCGAAGCTAGTGGACTCAAAAGGACAGTTTGTGGTGCCCGTTGTGTTTGTCACAAATGCCGGGAACTGCCTCCGACAGACTAAAGCCGCACAGCTCTCGCACATTCTGGGGGTGCAGGTAAGAGTATACACAGACACGTTGATGCAAAAACAGACCTCCTTTGCATGAACTTGTCTTCAGATTACAGCGGACCAGGTGATCATGTCCCACAGTCCTCTGAGGATGTTCAAAAAGTACCACAACAAGTGTGTGCTGGTGTCAGGACAAGGGCCGGTCCTGGAGATAGCAAAAAAGTATCCTTCAGCATTCCTATGGTTGTTGACTGACATTTCATACAAGCATTGTGTCCTTAACTGACCCTTCAGTTTAGGCTTTAATAATGTGACCAGTGTTGATATGCTGAGGGAGACCTTCCCCTTATTAGACATGGTGGACCACAACAGAAGACCCAAACTCCCAGTGAGATACTTCACTTTGTCTTCTTCTCATTCATTTACTGATAGGCTTAACAACTCAATATGTTAACTTGTTTTCTTTCAGTCCACTCCCATCAGTAATCTCCCTCAGGTTGAAGGTAAATAGACTAGCTTCATTTTTCTGTCCCACTAAATAAATTAAGCAAATCACATGTCATTTTGCACACAGCTGTGATTCTGTTTGGGGAGCCCATCAGATGGGAGACCAACCTTCAGCTCATCATCGATGTTCTGTTGACCGGGGGAAACCTGAGCCGGGTTCACCAAACGCAGAAGACTCCTCACTTGCCTTTGCTGGCCTGCAACATGGACCTCATGTGGATGGCAGAGGCCCATTCACCACGGTATGAAGGCGCTGTTTATACTTTTTATTTAACCTTTATGTAACTAGGAGAGTCCCACTGAGATCAAGAACCTCTTTTTCAAAGGAGTCCTGGACGAGAGGCAGCAAAAGTTACACACAGTTACATACAATTACAGATTATTAAAAAAGTTACATGTCAATCCGGATGTCTCAAGTCTACTGTGAAGTTCACTGTTGACACAAGGACTCCCAGAGCAGAGCATAAAATGAAATACTGAAAATCTAAAAGTGTGTTGCTATGGTAACTAACACTTGCTCTGCGTTGGGGGAAAAAACAGCAGAACCAGTCCAGAACCAGCCCCTTGGAGAAAAGGGGCTTTTACTGCCATTGAATACTGGTTGCCAAGCAACCTTGAAATGAGTTGCGCTGTAAAAATGATTCCACTGGGAGTTAACAACAAGTGTGAACAAGGGGTAGGAAACATAAGTTTCACTTCTACCTACTCCTTTTCGAATTGTGTATATATATATATATATGTTCTTTTTCAGTGTGTTGCACAATTAATTCGAAATAAAGACTACTACTACTACTAGTTAAAGATGCAGTTAGCGATTTTGTTAGCTTAGCCGTAGCAGCAACTGGAAACCACTCCCCCCTCGCCTCTCCAACATACCAAACATCCAGCATTTTCTTTTCTTTATCACAACAGGGAGAGTGGGTGGCAAACGTGAAATTGGCATTTTCTGTTCAGCCCTTTTAGGTTTAAAAAAATAATCCAATAACTCAGGTGCGCACACTCGCGAGAAACGGGAAGAGGGTGAAGGAGGTAAACACATCCCATTGGTTCGTTGGGGATGAACGAATCCCATTGGTTTGTTTTTATCGGTCCGCTCAAATATTTTTTATTATTTCTGGAGACTATAGGCATCTGGTCAATTCCAATACTATTTGAAAACACATAACTTAACTACTTTTAGGGTTTAGGCACGTTTTCCCACAATATTAAAAAAAAAAACTGTCTGGAAAAAATCACTGACCGCATCTTTAACAGTGCTACTTACATTGAAAAAATAAAAGATAATTCCATAAAAATATTATCAGTAAAGAGAAATTAGCTACTTATATAAATAGAAACGGTCACAGTTATGAAGACCACAAACATACATTGGCTCAGTAATTTACGCTTCCAAAATTCAAAGCCGTCAAATTGACTGCTATGGGAGTTCCACAGAGTTATGTGGGTTTTGTATCATTGACCAGCTTCTCTTGCGCAGGTTTGGCCATGGGACATTCCTCGTTTGCCTTGAAAATATTTATAAGAAGATCACTGGTGAAGAGCTGAAGTACGAGGCCCTCATGGGGAAACCGAGCGAGCTGACGTACCACTTTGCAGAGTACATGATCCGCTGTCAGGCCACGGAGCGGGCGTGGACCAGTCCCATCACCTCACTCTATGCCATAGGGTAAGACCAATTAAACTGGCTACTCATTCAACGGAGAAATCAATTGAAAAGGGGCTGGACGAAGCAGACGCTGATTTGGCTCCAACCCCTCACACTCTTTCAACACAAAACACACACAATGTCCTCTCTCAAAAAGACGCTTGGGCTTTAGATGTGACATTGATCCAAACAGACTCCACTCAGTCCTTTTACATATTTAAACAGGACACAATGCCCCTTTTGACAGTTTTACAAAGGGCCTTTTTTTGAGCTATAATTCAAAGATGGTGAATGTGACTGATAGCATCAACACTTTCTTTCTGGCCAAATGTTGTCAAATCAATTTGTAATATATTGAAAACGATTCTGTTGTCTGTCTGATAATGACAACAGAGGTCTCCATCCCCCAGTTTTCTGTAGCGACATCTTGGAGACTTCTGTGGTCGTTGTGGATGAGGTTCTTTCTCCTCTCTAAAGACAAAGCTGCACATTCTTCTCGGAAAACATTTGCCTGTTGCTGTAAATTCCTGGGCCACATTGCATGAACTGTATGTTTGAGATTTCCACAGATCAGGTCAATCAGGTTATGACAATATCTGGCTTTACACAACCACTAACAATCATGTTGGCGTTATGATCATTGCTCTGGGAACACCAGGTGCCACAGTGGGGCGGCTGTAAAGTGTCAAACTGTTGGTGTGTCTTTAGGCAAGACACTTCACCCACATTGTCTTGAATGAGTGGTGTGAGCATGAATGGTTTGTGGTGGTCGGAGGAGCTGATGGCACATAAGATAAGATATTCCTTTGTTCGTCCCACAGTGGGGACATTTTTGTGTTGTTGTTGCGTACATTAAAGCAGAGAAAGAAGGAAATAAGAGCACTCAGATTGCACACATCAGTCTATTACCTACGATAATATACAGTAGAATTGAAATAAAAAGTTAATACAATGGTAAAATGGAATAAAATAAACTCTGGAGCTAAAATTGTATTTACAGATGTGTAATTTGTACTTTAGCAACGGTGAATATGAGCAGAATAAACAATTGTAACAACTTCTGTCAGTGTGCCCCAGGGCAGCTGTAGATACAGTAGTTTATCACCACCATGTATGGAATGAATGAATAATCCCATGTGAAGAGTGTCTTTGAGTGTCTAAAAAGCGTTATATAATGTTATAATGATCCTTATTATTATTATAAAATACTTGAAAGGCATATACAGCATTGATAATAAAAATAATAATTGTGTCGGCCTTTGATCAATACTTAAATGGGGAAGTGAGAAAAGTTTCAAAATCTGGGATTTCACGGAGGAAACGTGGCCTATTCTCCATCAATATCTTGCATACATTGTTAATTTTTCTCACAAACCTCCACTTGTAGAAGGAAGTCAAACGGCTGTAATAGCCGTTTGACTTCCTTCTAAAAGTGGAGGTTTGCCCTGCTTTTAACAGATAAAAAGAATAACTCAGCAGTAAGCGGAAGTGCTTTGTGCATGGTCAGGAGTGAGAGAGAAAACTGAGCATCACACGTTTCCCATTCACTGCCATGACACTGGGCAAACTACTCTGAATGGTACCATTTATGGGCATCCCAGAACACTTAATAATAGTTTACTGTAGGAAGATTCATCTTGTCCTCTTACGCACTTTTATCCCGAGACTCTGCTGAACAGTTAATGAACAGTTATTAAAAAAACACTACTTTTGAAGTTATTTGTAGGGAAATTCTTCCTCCGCATTTAACCCATCCTGAATGCCACTCGGGCCTCTGCGTTACGAGAAGTGGTTGCTGTAGTGCAGTGTCCAAGGACCCAGCTCTAGTTGTTGATCCTCCGGTTGGTCTGGACCAGAGCTGGAGGATGTTGCCCATTTGACATTTTTTTTATGGTAGACCTACGCAGACACGGGGAGAACATGCAAACTCCACTCTGAAAGACCCTATTCCGACTGGGATTCAATCCCAGGAAAGGATTTCTGAGAAGCAAGCTCAAATTATTAATGTTTTACAGAAAAAAACTTTATTGCGGTAAATGTGATACATATACATGTTTCCTTGCAGGGATAACCTCATGACCGACATATACGGTGCCAACCTCTACAACCGCTACCTGCAGGAGCGACTCTCCCGGAAGAACCCCAAAGCCGTGGCGAAGCTGGCCACCGCGGCGGGATCCACCACGGCCGCCATTCCGCACGTGGAGGAGGCGGAGAACATGTGGGAGAGCGAGTTCGCCTTGCCCTCCGCCACGTCCTGCAAGTCCATCCTGGTCTGCACCGGAGTCTACAACCCCCAGGCCGAGGTGCCCCCCGACGCCAGCCAGTGCATCCAGGAGACGGTCTTCCACGGCCACAGGGACTTCAGGTTCGACCCGGCGCTGGTGGAGCCGGGGCAGATTGTGAACGACGTGTTGGAGGCCGTAGAGGCGGTCTTTGAGAAGGAGAAGTTTTTGCTTCAGTAGTCACACTGCAAATAGAGAAAACATTTGAGAAAATAGCTTGAATTAGGGGAAATATTCCAGGATTTGAGTATAATTTGATTGTCTTAAAGCAGCGTTGATTTTAAGTATTTTGTATATTATTTTTAACTGTAATTGTCAAATACAGTACTTGCTGGACTACTAAGCACACCTATATATAAGGCACACCAGCCACATCCTAAGGGAGCATACAGTTTGGCCACATGGAGGCCGCACTTAAAGTCAGTTTTCATGTTATAATATAAAATAATAATAAAAACGAATAGATAGATAACTGTTGTAGGGTGTGGTTTTAACTGTTTACGTTATGGACAAAGTCAAACACAAACTCTCAGTCGGGACTCATTTACCAATTCATTTTGACACTCCCTGTGCGTCCTATAGCTACTTAAACCTGCATGGAATGAAATACTTAGACTCTGCTCTGAAATCTTTTCCCTGCATGTCTCCGCATCGCTATATGGACCACAAAGTTTAAAGAAGGGGAAAACATTAGTGTCTTATAGTCCGGCAATTGCGGTAAATCAGTTTTAGTTTTAGTTAATGTCCTCCTCACTCGTCCCCTGAATCCATAAGTTGTTTTTTTCCCCAATTTCCAAGAACTGTTTGTTTATGGCCTGGTTTGCAGCTCAGGGATTGAAAAGTCAGTCGGGAGCTCAGTCAGGCGAGAGGAGCATGGAATAGAGCCGCTGAGGTGACCCAGGGGAAGACCCAGGACACGCTGGAGGGTCTGTGTCTCTCAGTTGGCCTGGGAACGCCTCAGGATTCCGCCGGATGAGCTTGAGGAAGTATGGGTGGATAGGGAAGTCCAGAATGCAGCAACGGTTAGACAGAAAATAAATGGGTTGAAAAGTCGTACTTGAATTTCATCATCACAATGTTTTTTTATTTAGTTTGTCATAAAAATATGTCACAACTACAATGAATGACAATATTTTGCATGACAATATGAACGCTGCCAAAAAGTAGATTTTCCAATGGAACAAGCAGTTTTCTTTCAAGCACAATAGTATTTCTTTTCACATTGAAGTGAAAAAATGCTGGATTTTTTATAATGTATATACAACATGAGGCATTTTTTGCTTGTTCCATTCGCAAAATACATGTTTAAGACAGTCACAAGGTACTCCAATCTAATCAATCGCTTGAGCATTTCTTGTGTATTATTTGCAGTGTGTTACGGAGGTTGAATAAGCAATAGCGATCGGTGCCAATTGAAGCAAAAAGTAACACTGTGTTATAACTTGGGAATAGCAGTATGGCCCGAATATCTTTTGCTCTAAAAATATACGTTTAGACAAGTTTATTTCAGCTGTTACTCAATTTATGTTACGTTATCGTGGCCATGCATTAAACCTGTTCCATTACTGCCTTATCCTCCCTGTGTCTCTTAGAATATAAAGTTTTGACATATCCTTTTTGACCTGGTATTTCTCAGTGTTATGATGGAGCAGAGATCGTTTTTAACCTTTTGAGAGATGACTTTTATGCCACATGTCTGCAGTCATGTCGTTTACCCGTTTGTGCTGAGCATCTATGCATGAGTTCCCACGTGCACTGTATACGAGTCGAAATGTGCAATATTGTCCCAGTACTGTCTGCATTGTCTCCATGTTGTGAGAAGCCATCATAGTTTCACCCAGCGCTGATTAAACACGGTGCAAAAGAAACATTCTGCTGCTTTTATTATTCATTTTTGTCCTCTTTAATTCAAGTCACAGGTTTAACTAAGTACAAATTCATTTATTCACTTATTATGCAAATTTACTTGCTATGTTACAACATTGTTCCCTCATCCGTCACACACCTGGAGTTGTATTTAGATCCACCCACGTTAATGTGAGGGACGTATGGCACAAACATGTAACTCTGCCACTTCTGTCTAAAAAAACTCTTATTAATTATTAAATTATTAAAACAACTCGCCGACCTTACCCATTATTGTCCCGGGTAAACAGCATTTCAGCTAGGGTAAAACAAGGCTGCAGTGGGGGTTAGGATTCATAATAGAAATATAGATAATTAGATGGTATTAGAGTGTTTGTGGAAGAAATACTGGCTAAATATTGGCTTTAAACTGAAGTGTTAAGCTAATACGTTTTTTTAGTAAGGGCCTTTCATGGGACTGCATATAAGCACCACTAATTATAGAACTATTATCCACAAACCAGGATTTGTAAGCAAAACTTTTATTATTATTATACTAGTAGTAGTAGATGATCTGTTTTGTTTCATAAAGAAAACAATGTTTAATTCAATTTATTGTTGAAATAAATAAAATGCAATATTTAGTGACAAAATCAGGCCACAATGAGCTGTCATGTGCAAGAATTCATGCTATATTTTCAAACAGAAACCCGGAAGCCAATAATGTGGTTATCCCTACTTTATTTTCTAGTCATTCACTCATTTTCATCTCCTGAGTCCATTTCCGGGTCTGACAATTTGAGCTATCACCCAATTCACATAACCACTCACTGATCCTCCTGCAGGTGGTGAGTCCGCAAGAGGATGGCTTCTCCGTCACCGACAACACAGCCTTGTCGTTTGAGCAGAGGCTTCAGGCAAAGTAGGGTTTGGTGTCATGCCTAAGGACACAACAGCAGCAGACAGAAGAGTCACCGTCACCCCTACGTCAATTGTGAAAAAGCTGATCTAAAGCAAAGAAGCAATCCCATTGATACATCATATAGCTTAAGAAATGTATTTAGGTCTCTTTCATCTTTCTATTTGGCTTTTTCTGCAGTGTCTGTGGCAGAAGCTCCATGCCCAGAAGTGGCCTCTCCATCGGCTCCACCGGTTTATTCAGAAACCCCCAGCTCCTTCTGTGTTTGGGCTTTTGTGATCGCAGAGAACTGGCTTCCAAAATTGCATGCCTTTCATCTATGTAAAGCGTTATCGTGGATTCTTTTGCCAATCTGAGGGCATAAGCACACAACAGGACCACAAACACCAGAGTCACCCCTGTCATAACAAGATAAAGTCCATGTACGCAGCTAGATTTGACACACGACGAGAAGAAATCATCGTCTAGTTCTCTTATAGCTTTTTGGGCCATGTTTATTGGACTGGCACAGGTCGGCTGCTTTGTCACAACATCTCCATTAACCATCAACCAGTTTCTCAAGTATTGAATCTTGCAGTCACAATGGAAAGGATTCCCAGAAATAGACAGGTTCTTTAGGTTGAGGCTGTCGAAGAGGCCTGGAGGAACCGTGCGGAGGCCGGTGTTGGACAGTTGCAGTTGGGTGATGTCCCGGGGCAGGTGAAGCCGCAGAGGGGGGTCAGGAGAAGAGCAGTTTACCATCAGACCTTGGGTGGGGTGGACTGTGCAGCGGCAGGGGGGGTCCAGGCCGGAGATAGGGGTGAGGAGGAAGAAGCAAAATGTCCAACGAGAAGTCATCCTGCAAAAGCGAAAGATTGAAGTAAGTAAGTACGTAATGTTTATTTATATAGCGCTTTGGCACTCTCGCTTTTCAGCTAGTAAGTCCCGGGTTCCCGGTCGAAACAGGGTCTTTATGAGTGGAGTTTGCAGGTTCTCCCCATGTCTGTGTTGGTTTCCTCCAGATGCTCCGGTTTCCCCTACTGCTGTGGCATGTGGCCATACTTAAAGGCAAAAGCCAGAACCCTTCAGACCTCTCAAACTGTGCAGGGCAGGGCCTGGTTAGTACTGTGATGGGAGACCTCTGGGAACACCAAGTGACACAGTGGGGGGTGGCAAAATTGTTGTTGTGTCCTTAGGCAAGACACTTCACCCAAATTGCCTGGAATAAGTCTAGTGTGTATGTGAATAGCTGTGGCTACAGTAGTTTATCACCTCCGTGGATGGAAGGAGAAAGAAAAAAGACATGTGAAGCATCTTTGGGCGTCCAAAAAAGCACTATATAAATCCAATGCCCTATTATTCATTATTATTAAAAAGGTCTGGCATGAGCCTCCTGTATGGTGACCTCGCTGCCATCTCTGTCTGGTGTGAGAGACAAACGCCCACAACAATTGTGAAGCACTTTGTGACTCTGGTCTGTGAAAGGCGCTTTATGAATAAAGATTACTTACTTACAATGTCCAAACACACTGGCGCATTAAAGCCCCCAACCAACGCCATCCATTCTCTCACTCATTCCATTCATGCCTATTGTGCATGTTTTTAGAGGTAGCGGAAACCGGAGCACCCGGAGATAACCTAAGCAGACACACAGAGAACATGCAAACTTCACATAGCAAAGTCTGATGAAAGGCATGAGAAATCAGAACATTCAAAATACACATACTTTATAGTTGGTCAAAGGTTGCAGTCTCCAAAAATTGGTAATGTTCGTACGCGTCCCACATTTTGCAAAAGCCTGGAGGAGATTGTGTGGTGTCACGGAGAATAATTTGCCTGCCACGAATGCACCAATGACAAGGCAGTTTAATTCTGCATGAGGAGATAAGGGCTATCTCATAAAGCGGTGGAAGGGGCCACAGCTCACAACACAACTAAACACTCTCCCAGCTATTTTGGATTCACCGGTGAAGATTTAGCCGCTACAGTTTGTTTTGAGCCTCGTCTGTCTTAGACTTTCTTTCACTGTCCACCCAGTCCCAGGTTACACACAAGCTTCTAGGTACACACAAGGTACTATAAACACTGACTCTTGTGAAACTGGGGAATTTTTCCACCAAGAACAACACTGTGTTTGTCTTGACAGAGAGACTCGTAAAAAGTAAAATTAATTAAAAGAATTAATTAGGCCACAACATTCTGTCCTCATCTAAGTAAAAGTTAGTTATTGTTCATGTGAATATAAGAAAGAGCCCTTTGAGTCACTACTTGAGGCTGTGGGCTGAGAGCTGATTGGCTGAGTGAAGGAGGTAGTCTCTTTTTTCAAAAATTTTAGGGATCTAAAGATGTGACATTAGACCTAAAGCAGAATGTTATTTCCACTGGTACCACTGTTTAGGAAAGTTGGTGCACACTTATATGTTCAACTTGAATAGTATATAAATCGTTAATTTGCAAAAAAGTGACGTTAGAAAATATTGGAAAGGCCTACAATGTGCTATTCACCAGGTAAGTTCTACTTCAAATCCTTTCAAATGTACAGAAAATAACAAAAAGCCTGTGGAAAACAATCTGCGTAAGAGCCATGAACTAATTTATTATATAATTTTATTTTTTGTGGTTTAAAAAGTACCTCTGCTGTAACTAAAAGTAAAAAGTACTTTATTTTGTGTGTATCTTTACCCTTAACCCCTGAATAATAGACGCTTCTATAAAGGTATAAAGGTAGTTGATGGCAGAGACATGGCCCCAGCAGCAGAATGCAGCTGTTATCTTATACTGAACTTAGAAGCAGGGTTAACCACAAGTAATCACAAACTCAGAAGCATGGCTAATCACTTCAAAACTATCTGTTTTTCATAATGTGACATTAGACAAACATTCACTCAGCCAATCAGCTCTCAACCCAAAACATGAAATAATTACCTTTTGCATGACAAAGATGGAATATTTTCTAAGATGAAGACAGCATTTTGTGGTTTGATCTATTCACAACATTTGACTTTAGAAATACTTTATTTTGGCACAAATAGTATGGATTTATGTGAAAATAAAAGTTAGGTAGCTTTAAGTAAAAATAGTAACTTTAAATAATTTACTTTTATACAATTGAATCTTATGTTGAACAGGTGAGTAACCTCGCTTTGATCATCTGGTTCCATTTCACTCATAACGACACATCTGTGGAGAGGTGTCCAGGCAGAAGGAGGAGGAGGCCCAGGGGACGACCCACACACACTAGAGCAGAGGTCGGGAACCTATTTTGCTGAAAGAGCCAAAAAAAAAGTCTCCTTTTATTTCTATGGAGCCATAAATGTGATTATGTATGTTTAAAAAAAAAAAAAACATATTTAGAGTGTAATAATAGTTTTAAACTGATTTTTTTTGTTTAATAACATTTTATATTGAAGAATATACATACAACATCTTACTATGAATAACTTCTAAAATTTGTCTGAGAGCCAGACAGTCATCAAAAGAATCATAGGTTCCCGACCCCTGCACTAGAGGGACTGTGCTTGTGCTCGGGAATGCCTCGATCTCCCCTGGATGAGCTGGAGAGAGAGTGAATGTGACAAGAGGGAAGTTTTTCTGCTCAGATCGCTGTCAGCACCAGATACACAGGAATATAATGGATGGATGGAACATTAGTTTCCAAACCCATCGATAAACGAATGATTGAATCTAAGGCAGGACCTGTTTGAAGTTAGTTTGTTAAAAAAAACATTTTAATATAATTTTCCCTTATTTCGAGTCAGAATGTGTTTGTCTCCTCTTCAAATCTTGTGTGTATATGTTTTCAGTTGAAGTCTAGTCCTATTTTCAATTCTATGTATTTTTGTATAGCCTTAAATCACAACAGCAGCCTCGGAGGACATGACAAAGTTGTCGCCAAATCAGATAATCAAACAGTTAAACAGTTAGTCTTGTCCTGGTATAAGACTGATTTTGTAAATGTTGTTAAATAATAAATTAATGATATATGTTCTACCAAAACATATGTCAAATACATTTACAGTGACTCCAAACTTTAAAAGTGATGATGTTTTGGACAATTATCCAGAGAAAAGATCCAAAAGTAAAACAATAAATACAAAATCTCCACAATAACTCATAATAGGTCCACAAAGATATCAGTTTTTAGATCAACTCACAGCTTGTTCTCTGCCCTCTAGTGGCAGCAAATGTAACAAGGAATGAAAAACCCAAATCAATAAGTCATATATTTGTTTATTTTTGCGTTCAACATTGTCACAGTTGAAGTTTTACAATAACTGGGGTTTTAAACTGACTCACTACTCACTGTACAAACAGAATGCACACATAATGAGGCCGCTCTCGTCTCTCTTCCCTTCTTTTTGTCCCGTCCTCTGCGTGCTTTTGACGCCACACTGAACAGCTTGCAGGAGCGCTCTGTATACGTCCCTGCTGTGTGTTTGTGCAATGAGCGAGAATGACACGTGTGAGCCGAGCTGGGATAAAAATGGCATCTTTCTGTATAACAGTCTGTGTTTTTTTTCCTTCTTTCTCATCTCCAAAGCAAATGTCAGTCCCAGGAGCGGCAAAGACAGCGGATATGTTTCACCCTTTTGATCCTTGCTTGAGGTGATGTGTCCTCCTCTTACATTAGAACAGAGGATTGTTATATAGAAGTATGTACATCTCCTGTATGGTGTTGGTCCCTTTAAACTTCCTCCACATTCAAACATCCAAACCTGTATTTACAAGATGAAAGCCCTCAGCAAACAGAAGTGCAATGTTCTCCGTAATGTTTACAATTTACACAATGGCTTGGTTGATGAAATGCATGCCGAGCATCAATAAATATCACTCCAACATGGAATAGCCGGGACATGTCAACATTTTGTTAATTTCTGGATGAAAAAACAAAGCGATAAAACATAGACAGGCTGATTAGTTTTCTTCTTCTATCAGCTCACAGTGAAGTGTTGCTCTGATCGGATCCATGCCGTGCATTGTTGGGGCCGTTTGGAACATTTATGACAGAAAACATATGAACACACATCACACTTATTCTGTTGCTTTCATGTTGTGTGGACTTTTAGCAAAAAAAATATTGTAAAGACATTCAACTGATCACATCGTCCTATGATATGTGTGTTATGCTTATGCCTGACCTTGAAATACATTTACAACCTGAATATCGGGACGAACAGTTTACTGTCACTACTTTATACACTATAATAGACTCTTATTTGTAGACTGTAGAAAGTTAATCTTTACATTTTACCAGATCTTTGCTTTATATTACAACTGCAGTTCCTTAAAAAATGAAAGTGTTCTTTCACATGTGCTTATCCAGCAAAATATTTCTGTTCAGCTCAAGGAGTAGCATATTCCTATATTAAAATATATACACACATTCCTCTTCCCACGCAGAACTACTTCTATCTTTTCAATGTCAAAATGTTTTTTACCTGAATCTCTCCCCGAACTCTCGGACTTCAGCCCAAGTCTGCGTTTGGAACATGATTGCACGTAAACTGGGTAACAACACTGATTTTGTTTACAATGTGCAGAGGAGCCTCACAAAACAGTACATGCAAAGAAATCACTAATCGGACGTTCCACTGCACTTCAAAGCCTGGCTCTCATTGGACCACACGACTGTCACACAGGGTCTAGACACTGACAGGGGCGGGACCTAAATAAATAAATAACACAACATGACGACGCACAATTCGGGGCTTGTTCTTAATGTACAAAATGTAAGAGTATTGCACATGTGTTTAAAAAAATACTACGTTTGAACTGATTTAGGCACTCACTAAATAAATCGTATCGGTGAGTCAAAGACAAAGGCAAAACAAGATGTCAAAAAGGTTTCAATTTGGGATGCCGAGAAAGTAGCTGTTCCACTCGCTTTTGTGCAAATAAATAACTGATAAATACATGTTTTGTTGTTCATAACCATGTAACTAGTGTGATGCTTTGTGTCGCTGTGAGTGCCGTGTGAAATAGCTGCGATACACGACAGTTTCACCAAGTCTACCGCTCTTCATCCTCTTCCCTCAGCCTAATACTGATAAAAAAAATATCTTTGCTGATAATAATTGTAAGTATAATCTTACAAATTACTTTTACGCACAATATACTGTACATGAAGTCTCGACTAAATAGAAGATGCATTAATAATTGGCACATTTAAGTATGAGAGACGACACTAATCGCTGCCACCTACAATAATTACAGCACTAAAACTACGCTCAATAATGAGTCTTTGAAATGTGAAAGCTAACTACATATGACAGAAGGAGGCTACAAGAACATAGCATTCATATGTAGTTGGAAAACAAGTGCTGGAGTTATGCCATCAATGTGACAGATAAACCGGGTGAGTTTTTTTTGCGTCCTCCATTTTTTTGTGAAGCTTATTGGTGTGAGGAAGCAGCAGCAGCAGCAGCAGCAGCAGCAGCAGCAGCAGCAGCAATGCGGAGTGGCCACAACACCCAGATCTGTGCGAAGGCCCCGAGTGGAAGTCCAGTCCAGCATATATATATATATTAACTGTATATATACTGTAGTAACCAGAGGTGTGACGAGTTGTACCGCAGGTGATTTTGGTTAGCGTCACCGCAGCGCTAAAAACACAGTGGACAGGCCATAGAGTCACGTTATCTGCAGTCCCTTTGGTGTGTAAGCTCCTCCTCTTTCCTCTTCCAGCCAAGTCTTATCCTTTCTCTGATTCATCCCCAACGACAACATCACACTACGGTGCTGATTCCACTGTGTTTGGGTTTGGGCGCGCTTGAGCTGGACGGCTGGCTGTGGTGGTGTGTGGCGTGCTCTCTGTGATGCGCCCCGTGCTCTCTGTAATGCGGGTGTGGAGGCGGGTGCGCCGAGGGGGACGACCCGTAGCCCGGGTGCTGCGACTGGTGGTGGTACTGCGTGTGCGGGGGCGGGTGGTAGTGGTGGTGGTGGTGGTAGGGGGGCGGGTTCTGCGGGACCTGACAGAACTGCGGGTGGTGGCCGTGGTGCGGGGCTTGCGCGGTGTGGTGCAGGTTGGTAGGGTGCGGCTTGTGCGAGATGAGGGTGGGGTGTCCCGGCGGGGGTACGGTCGCGGGGGGAGCGTGGTGGGACGAGGACGACGGCGTCTTGGCGCGCTTGCTGCCGAATAGAGAACCCAGGATGGAGCTGGAGTTGGGCATTGGCGGCGGTTGCGGCGGTTGCTGGCCTCGCGGTGTGCCGTCGCGTGGAGTCGTGGCTCTCCGTCGCGTGTGCGGGCTGCTAATGATGGACCCCTGGAATGAACGGTAAAAACAGGTCAATCCCAGCCTCTTCAGTCAGACACTTCTTACCAGCATGGTGCGGAAACCACTTTTGATAAATAAGTAGCAAAATGTTATAGTGCATGCAAATGAGAAATAAAAAAATGTCTTCATGAGGAAATTGCAGCAGTATGTCATGGCGTAGGGAGACTACAGTGAAATGGCTGTCGAGTAGAATGTTATTGTTTGTTGCGATCAGTGTGCCACACCTCCAAAGACTCACGCATGCAGCTGCTTTAAAATCTACAAAAGAAGAGCGTCCGCATGCACAGCTCGGACCAGGTTTCATCCACAGCGTAGCGTCGGACTACCGATGGAAGTCACCTGTGTGTAAAATCCACCACAGCCCTAAAAAAATCCCACTGCTTTTGTATTCATTGTATTTATTGACCCTGCAAAGCTGCTGTCACACATGCGGTAAACTATAGAAAGAGATCGAAAAAGACACCTTGACATGAAACCTGCAGGGGCCTTCAACCCAACAATGACCGACACATGGAATGATGGAAAAATGAATGAATGAAAATGTATAGATGTGAACTCCAGCAGTTCGACTTTAAAAATCTCCCTAATCTTTGAAGTGTTTGAACAGAGGATAAAAGGAGAAAAAGCCCAGGCAGGAAGGAGGGGGAGAGGACTGTGGGAGCGGCACAGATTTGGACTTCCGTCGTGAGATAGCCTAATACAGAGGGAGAACCAGAGGCCAAATGAACATCACACAAATGACAGACTGAGACACGGGATGAGGGGGATTAGTAGAGTCATGCTGGTCTGAAGGTATGCGTGTATTGGCCATATCTAGCATGACCACGACAGGGGAGTCCTTGCGTCCAAAACAGTGGGCAGGTTCAGAGGCAGGCAACCCATGCATGCACACTAACTGAGGCAAGCAGGTTATAAGGCATCCCAGGAAGAAAATAAATCATCCAAACAAATGAGCTGAATCTATGAAGCAAAGAAGGCTACAAAACAAGAAAATGGTGTGTTTTCACAGTGCACATAATCACATAGAGAGGAGCTTGGATACCAGCTGCTTCCAACTTACTTCCATATTGCTGTCTAGTGATCCTGCACTGCTGCGACGCCCCCGCTTGCCTGCCCGAGACATGCAATACCACAGATTAGAGATGGACAGCACTCTTGGATCACTACACAGGTGTGAGGTGCCCACCGCTCCCGTAGGGGGCAGTGCACTGGATTGTGTGACTGTGAGTGCGGGCGATGGGCGGGACAAGAGAAGGGGAGGCGTTCGGGTCTGGAGGTGACTGGGTGGGTGACTGCCGGCACTTTGGCGTTTTATTTTTCCATTGCATTGTGCAAAAGGTGTATTATGCGAAATTCTAATGAGGTCAAAGACGATTAAACTATTAGTGGATAATCTGAGGCCCTGTCCAGACGGTCATATCTGTAAAAGTATTCAGCCTGGTGAATCCCACACTTGTAAACTGATACCCAGAGCGCACAAGTTTCTGTAAATTTTTCTACAATGGCATCACCGCTCCAGCTCTGGCTTAGTCTGTGTCCTGTGCTGACCTGAAATATGATGTCTACTCGTGTTTACTGCAGGATCCATCGCTCCTCTGCTGCTACAGGTGTCGTTCGCCTCAGAGTTTCTTCTCATTTTAGTCAAATCTGAAGAAAATATCTTCTACTTTTCTCCTCCTGTGTATTTAGGGTTTAAGTATGGATGTATTATATTATCTGGATAGGGTATTACTAGCTTAAGCCACTCTTCAGCAGCGCTACTGCATATAAAGATTTTCACATAGGAGGCCTATGTTAATGGGCCTCCATTGACATGGCTCGTCCTCAGCTGACAGGGGACAGCATATAAATCCATCAGTTTTCTATAAACCAAAACTTTTGTGCAATAAACTCTGTCCGTTCTTGTCCTGCTCTAGCTCAGCTATGATCAGCGTATTTTTTGTATGCGTTTGGACTGACCAGAGTCGACTGAGTGATGTCTGTCAACACCATAGTATTTGTCGAATTGCGGAAGAGGCCGATTCGAACATAATTCGGCTGCCAATTTCCTGATAAGGGCATTGGTTCAGATGGATAGTAGCTTTGTGCCATAACAGGGGAAGAGGAGGACTAATGTGTTGCTAACATGGTTGCTAAGGCAAGCTGGAAATTCCCCCACAAATAAAGACATTGGTCAATCCGATACAATATCATCGGCCATCTATATACAGTCTATATGTGTTTGATGCACGTTTCTTTGTCTAATTTTCAGTTTTTTCCTGTCACAGCCTCACATACATTACACTGCTCTCAGATTATTTGGATTAGTCTTCAGCTTCATGGATACACAGAGCCGGTTCTGTCCGTACAAAAATACGTTTTCAAAACTATGAGCCGTATGGCCTCAGTGTGGACAAGGCCTTATAGGAGCTATTTGAGGAGAAACATCGAAAGCAGTACTCTGGCCGTCGCACATGGGATGTACAGGCATACATAGATCTGAGACTGCTGTTAGAAACATTCAGCCAATGGAACATGACCACCATCACACATAAACAGGAGCAGACCTGATGTGTTTGGACACAACAGTAAAAACACATGGGATGGAAATGACTGAAAAGAAAAATAATACACACAACAGAATGACTTCACTAACATGCCACGTCAGGGGTCTTTCCCAGAGAGACAGAGCAGCACAGATTAGCTCCCCGACAGCGAGAAGGCCCTAATGTTACAGCCTTTATATATTTGTCATGAATGTGGCGTGCTCCAGGACCACAGACATATGGACGAGTGGACTAGATGACCTGCAGAGCTGGTCTACACAAATAATTATGAGACAAACGACATCTCAAACTGAAAAAAAAAAACGGAAATCGAAAGAGGGGGGGACCTTCTAAGTAACTCAAAAGCAATTGATAAATTTTGTAAATAAATGTGAAAATGAGCATGATCACATTCTGCTGTACAAATTCATCTCACCTCAACATCTCAACCTAAAGAAAGCTGGTTCCCACTCAGGATGCACCAATCCAGCTTTTTAAAGTCCCATATTGATTCTGATACAAACTGATACTAGAGAAGGAACTGAAAATACCACTCTTCTCCTCTCAAATCTCAATTATCTGCCTTTTAAACTACTACTGTCTATTTAAAAGTTACTGTATATAACCTGTAGAGAAGGTGTAGCTGCAGGTTTTAATCCCCACCCATTTCCTCAATTCTAAATGTTTAAGACTGGACTGACTTGAGAAAATGGGTGGAGTCTGGTGTGCTCCTGCTTGGTTGGAATGAAAACCTGCAGCCACACCGTTTGACACCTCTGGTATATGACATTTTGGCCTAGTCTCAGCCAGGGTACTCAATACATCAAAATAAAGGCCAACTCAAGATATAGACTGAACCGATTCCAGATCCAAAAAAACGTCCCAAATCGGCACCGATATCCCATGACGGTCTTATATCGGTGCATCCCTTGAGCCTACTGCCCGCTGTCCAATCATGAAGTGTGAAAATGTGACTATAGTTGGCCTTAAGTAATGCATTCATGACACAGTGAACCAACATTTTGCTATTTTTATCATTTTGCTGAGAGAAGTGAGCGGTCGGTGGTGTCTGGGGTTACCTGCTTCGGACAGGTCTCGGAGGGAGCTGCTCAGGGCGCTCCTCTTCAGGCCCTCCCCCATGGCGTAAGTGTCGTCCAGGCTGGCCCGGTTCATGCTGCCGTTCCCCGTGTCCTTCTTCAGGCCGGAGCTCTGGGACATGCTGGGCCGGACCACACCCTTCTGCTTCTCCAACTCGGCTGTATAGACACGGGACAGGGCACATGGAGGTCAGTGCAGTGGACAGAGCCTGCTGCCCCATGACCAAAGACGGACGATCTAGTGGACTGTGATTCTAAATCAAGAGTCTCCAACCTTCAATTGGAGAGCTACTTTAATGCAACAAAAGAGGCAGAGAGCTACTCCTTTTTGTAGTCGTAAAAAAATAATAAATAAATACGTCAAAACATGGAAAACACATGTAAAATATACCATAATACTGTATAACCCTATATTATATGTAATATAACCCTATATTTATACTATATTAGATACTGTATGTGATGACTCAAAATCATGTGTTACATTATAAATCCTTTAGGGAGCTACCTGAAAGGGGCTGGCGAGCTACTGGTAGCCCCCGAGCTGCAGGTTGGAGACCCTTTTTCAAAATGAACTCAATGAAGCGAAGACTACTTTGTGAAGATGGTGATTTACAATTCAAATCAATTAAATGTATTCTTGTTTAGCCCTAAATCACAACCGTAGTTATCTCGGGGATTTTACAAAAACGATGAATCCGCCAACACAGCTCAGAGAATCAAACCGTTTAAACACAAGAAATGCAATGATAAAAAAACACAGAGGTATTAGTCCAAAGATGACCAAAGACCATAAATGTTGGTGAATGTCAAATGTCCTGGATCATCACCACTACAGGTGAAACTTGTAAATGTAGAATATCGTTTGGTAATTCAACTTACAATGTGAAACTACTACAGTACTTGCTGGACTATAAGCTGCTACTTTTTGCACGTTTTTTGAACCTTGCGGCCTATACAGCGATGCAACCAATGTATGCATTATTATCTAGTTAAAGCGCCCCCTGGAGGAGCGGATTTGGACACAGCTCCATTTCCAGAGCAGATACAATGACGTAGCACACATTCCTGCTTCCCGGTGTGTTTATGTGAACAGCAGAGAGACACGACAAAGTGCAGAGAAATACGCAGGACTTGTTAATGTGTGATTATGTCATGGTGTGGATTTTGATTTTGTATTTTGGTTTTATTTTGAAATAAGTTCTGTGGTTTTGTTCCAGTTTGACTTCCAGTTCTGTTTTCCCCTGTCTTGATTGTCTGCCCCGCCCTGATGTATTTCACCTGTGTCTGTGTCTATATGTACCCTTTGCTTCTCTCCCCTTGTTGCTGCTTCATTGTTTTGTCATGTTCTGCCCTGGTTACTTTGGATTTCTAGAGTTTGTTTTTTGTCTTGGACTTTGTTTTAGTAAAAGCTTTATTTTGGCACTCCTGCGTTTGAGTCCTCACTCAGCTCACCCCGTGACAGATTAAGGCTGTAGTCAGAGCAGTTTACAGTACTTGCTGCTCTTATGATTTACAGTTTCTTATATTGTATATTTTTGTGCTCTTACTACTGTTCTGTGTGTGCGCTGCAGCATCAACATTTCTCCACCGTGGGACTTAAAAAGGTGTCGTTTCTTATCACCATGAGTCAACTGTGTGTTAAAACAGTCATCTATCATCTGATCGTTTTGCATTGAACTGTTAATGAATGCCTATTGGACAAATTGTACTTCCTCTTCCAATTTAGTCTGGATTATTCACCGCCAGCCTTAACAGTCCATGCAGCAAGTACTCTATTTGACAAACTCATGACAGGCAAAGTGAGATATAACAAGCCTTTATTGATGATGCTGTGAAAATGGAAGCCGTAATCATAATCATTATAACTAACAACGGCTTGGTTCATGTCACTGCGTAAAATGTTTCTCAAAAGAGGCAGATTCAAGTTTTTTCCTGTTTATTTATGCTTTATTTATCTTTTCTTTCTGCTGCGGTCAGACTGTACAATGAGAACAGTCTACACATGTGCCACTCACCTGTTCTGATAATTCACTAGTCACTTTACCTGCTGCTATTATTACTATTGTTTACTCTGGTCATTCTCTGCTGCTAAAGTACAATATTAGCATTTGTAAATACCTCCTGCTGACTACAGAATATACTCCACTAGTGAACCATGTGCTATTATAGCTCCAGAGTTTTTTTTATTTTATTATCTTATTATTTTTGGAGGATTTTCTCAATTTTTAGGAAAGAACCGCCCTCTGAACAAAACTCTCTGGTCTTATTTGACGAGCACGTATCACCAGAATGATTGACAAGTAGGAGGACCAATAGAAAATCCTCCTACATACCTTTAGATAATAGATCCTGTTTGATGTGTGCAACCTGAGTGCTCTTATTTCCTCCCTTCATTCTGCTGTAATGTGCCCAACAATGACATTGAAATCTCCCCAAAGTGGGACATATAAAGAATTATCTTATATGAGTTTTACTACACTTATTACTACTATCACCACAATATAAGGCAAAAGGAAATCTCTCCCAAACTCACACTCTATCCTGTACTTCTCCATCTCCTGCACCTCAGCGATGGACTCCCGCAGATCGTCTGTGAACTTCTTGCGGTCCTGCGGGTTGGGTGCGTTGAAGTTGATGAGGACTTTGGTGTCGGCCCCGGGGATGGCCGACATGAGCCGGATTCCGTTGGGGTAATCTGAAAAACAGACAAAAAGCGGGGGGGACATATTTCACACCACAGCCATTGATCCCGACAAAAGTAAAAAGCGCTGAAGTTTTTTTGGATGAAATAACCGTGGAGTTGGCTCAGTTTCCTGTTTTAGATCTGTGGCTGTGCTAAATCAAGCCCACCCTTGTCTGGTGTAAACATTGTCAGCAGCTCCGAAGAAAGACGGCACCAAAGAAATGGTTTATGCAGTTGGATCTAAACATGAAATGGTTCTCATGAGGAGGCAGATTCTGATAAAGCCCTTGTTTTAACTCCCAGTCGGTTACTTTCAGAGTTACATAAAGTTATGTTTCTAGTTGTTTCACTTTGTTGTTTGATATTCGTTTTTATGCATATTTTGAGGATCCCAGATTAAACAGTTTGGGAATCCATGTCAGAGATCATAGAGGACAGAAGCATGGTATGTCTTCTTTAAATGATCAGTTAAATAGACCAGAAAACAACAGTGGCTGATAGATGACCAGAATGAAACTGTTCCTGGTGTGAACATAGCATTGGTTTACTTAGTTTGAGACTAGAGTAAATAATAATAATAATAATACCCCCAAAAAAATCCCATTTCCCCCCAAATAGTGAATAGGTCAGTCTGAATATGTCTGTTTAAGTGCAATACTGCAAAAATACAAAAATATCTATACGATGAGAATGGGCTTTAAGGCGACGTTAAAGCTTGGGGATTTGATTTCTATCAAAAAAATATTCCATGTTGTTTGGCCCAACATGAAAATATCTTTATACATCTTAAAAGAAAACATGTCTGTTCTGTTCCATACTTGTGAGAAGGTAGGTTGTTTGATTTTTGTGATTTCAAAGTTAGGTATTCCAGCTTTAAATATCCACTGCAGAACATTCTCCTCCATTACTCGCACTTATAGTTTATTATCAATACGTAAAATAAATAAATAAGTACAAATAAGGGAACATATAACTCTGGTGTTAAAAGCACTCCACTGGTAAATCTGTCTGGGTTGAAAGCTAAGATATCCCAGCTTTAACTCATTTTCAAAAACACAATATTTTGCTTTCATAATTAGTCAAAAGCAAATAGTGGCACAGTAATGGGCACAGATAATGTATGCACTTACGCTGATTCTCAAACAGCATGACCTGCATCCCGTACAGAGAGAAGGACTGTCTGAAGCTGTACGTGACCGAATTCTTTTTTTTCTGGAAGATCTTTGTCACCTGAAATCGCAAAACATGAGAATTTAGGAAAAAAAGACCCTGGGTTTAAAGACGACACAGTGGGGAAAATTAAGAGAGCTTTTTCATACCACTAGGAGGTCGTTGAAGAGGAAGATCTCCCGCTGATGCAGGCCCAGTTTCTGCACTTTGTTGGGGTCTGGCACTTCAAAGAGGCGACAGTAGCACACCAGGCGGCGATGGGGAAGGGACAGCACCTGCAGGACACAGCAATAACCCGCTCTTTATAAGGTTGGCCGCAATCTGAACTCAGAAGAAATGTGGAAGTTGTTATTAAAGTAATGCAATCTCTCAGGGACACTGTTTACAAAGAATATGTGATGTTTTTCTTCTTAAATCTGCACTTATTAACACATATTCATTATTATGTCATTGTAATTAGGCCTCAAAAAGTACCATTCAATCAATCAATCGAATACTTTATCTCATAATGGAGAAATTGGGCCATTTATGAGGCTCTTAATGGGTAAGGTGTAGGGTTAGAGAGAGTTAGGGCCTATGTCTGTGTGTGGACCTGTGTGTACCTAATTTTCAAACAATAAAATATTAAAGTTTGGATTCATGTCCAAGTCACTAGTTCCTCACTCTCAAAACAGTTTGTTTCTATCACTATTTTTATTCATTCATTTTCTACCCCTTTATTAATCCATTTCTGGGTTGGGGATCACTATTTTATATATTGTAAGGCGTCCTTAGGTGTCTTGAAAGGCGCTATGAAATAAAATGAATTATTATTATTATTATTACCACATGTTTGAAATTTCTGGGCACATGAGATTTTTCAGACAGAAAAGTTAAAAAGTGTTAACAAGTATGAAAAATATAACACATTTTCTAATAAGGGGAAGACAGTGTGTTGTAATTTGGTCACACACTTTTATTATGACAATACTCTTCCTGTTGGAACAAACAACATGTGTTATTTAGGGGAAATAGAAGTGTGGTACCTCAGCCTTAAAGAATTTCATCTGCACACCAGTATTGAAAACTCTTTCGATCGGGCTGGAAACTCTGAAGCAGTTGTTGTTTTGTGCTTTACGATTATTATTTTTCTTGCTTTTTTCTACCTGTAAATGTTGCTGCAGTACAGTGTTCGTGGTTTCACACTGATCCAGATTCACGGTCAGAGCCAAGCAGACCAAGCATAAATCCACTGGAGGAATGCTAATTGTTTTGAAAAATGCTAATAAAAACATTCAAGATTTCACTCTGGACCCGAGCAGAGAAAATGGTCTGAACCAAGCGGCTACTCCACCTCTGCTGCTGTGACCTACAGTAAAGTGCTGTTGCATTTTAACACAGTTTTTAGCTACTGTTATTTGTTTTGTTTGTGTGGATGGATGTGTTACTGCTGCTACAGGACAAAAAAATAATCCATGTTGTTTGGCCCAACATAAAAATATTATGTCTTTTGCATCCATTTCTGGGTCGGGGATCACGATTTTATATATTGTGATGCGTCCTTAGGTGTCTTGAAAGGCGCTATGAAATAAAATGAATTATTATTGTTATAGAATACCTAACTTTGTGATTTCAAAGTTAGGTATTCCAGCTTTAAATATGCACTGCAGAACATTCTCCTCCAAGATTACTTTGACTTATTCTGATGTAATAATAAAATAAAATAAATGTAAATAAGGAACATATAACTCTGGTGTTAAAAGCACTCCGCTGGTAAATTTTTCTGGTTTGAAAGTTAAGATATCCCAGCTTTAAATCATTTTATTGTGATTGTGTGGAAAATAAACACTTTCCGAGCCGGCAAGAGTCTATAAAGAGTTAGTGTTTTTTTTCACCTAAATTTCTATCTATCTACAGCAGTGTCTCCCAAAGTGGGGTCCAAAGAGGGTACTGCAGGGGGGCCGCAGGAGGTCATAAAAAAATAATAATAATAATATCATTATTTAATGTTAAATTTATAATGTTTTGTTTGTAATATTAAAATATTTGTGTTCATTATTTGACTTGAAGAATCCACTGTAATCATTTTTGTATTACAATGTTTGTAGCAGAGGCCCCAAAATAAAATAAAATAACCAGAAGAGCCTATTCTTAATGTTGTCTTCTTGGTTATTATTTTGGGGGGCCACGCAGACCCGTCAGATTTTTAAGGGGGCCTCGGTGTTACTGAGTTTGGGAATGGCTAATCTACAGTATCTATCTATCTAGTAAAGACTGCTTCATCATTTAATCAAAAACCGTTCCAAACATTTCTACTGTGTAAAAAACCATGAAACTTCCCTTATTTTCCTCAATCCAAACCGTTGTATGACTGCTCTCTGTTCCCCTGCTCTGCGCTGAGGGCCACATCCCCCAGTGCGTGCGGATTTATGCTTCTGCTGTTCTCAAGAGTGATTTTTCTCCTCTCCGCACAGATGTGGAGCTTCAGGGGGGGTAGAGTTCTCGTGCCTGGAGGTAATTCAACCCCCAAACTACCTGCCTGATGTTCACTAAGGACCACTGTGGGCGATGAGGGGGTGGGGGAGGAACGGAGCTTTACGGTGTGATTTATAGGAGCCGGAGAGCAGTACTTACGCAGCCAAGGCCGTGATGGAGGGACCCAATCTGAAAAGACACAAAGTAATCTTACATGAGTGTTTGGATCTAGCACTAGGATTATACAGCCAGGGGAAAATATATTTGAAAAAAAAAAAGTGTGCTCCACAATTGTGGCGGGCAGTTTTCCACTCAGTCCAAATGGTGATGGGAGCAAAACAAATATATTTACAAAATGGAAAAAAAGTAGATAGTAAAAAAAGTCAAACAAAATCTGATAAATCTGAAAAATGGCATAGATGATTAAAGTAAAACAAATAGTGAAAAACATGCAACAATAGCAAATAATGATAATAATAAAAAGCAAGGAAAAAATTCAAAACAGATGCAACAGATGAAAAGATGCTAAACTAATAGTAACGAATGTATAAAAAAATAATACAAAAACTTACATTGATAGTAAAGGGACATGTAAGTAATGGGCTAAACTTAAACAGTCAAAGTTAAATAAAAAAAATGAAATACAATTGTGTAAAAATGTATATTAGAAACAGTACATAGTCGGTCACAAACACCACAAAAAATATTGAGAGCGCGGTTAAAAGCTGCTGAATCCTTAGACTTCAAAATTTTCATTTAAAAGTGCTTTGGAAAGGAACAAATGATGACTTTTTGGTGTGTTCCTGAGTCACAGTCTAGACCCAGGGTTGATTCATAAAACTGGCACAGGCTGCGACAGCAAAGTGCCTCCAATACTTTTCCAACGGCTTTGAGGCTGATAGCTTTTCAACATGTCCCCTTATTACTGCGAGAAGGTGCCGCTAATAAGCCCTCGGTGCCGACTCTCATGGAGAACACCGGCAGAAACGACTCATTCATGTGTTCATAAAACCCTTTAAAGATTGAAAAAGAGTGTATCGGCCTGGGTTTTATCATCACGGATTTTCTTCTTTTCTGTCAGACAAGAGAAAATATCACCCTCAACCTCAAGGAAATGTGAAAAATCTAAATTAAGCACAATCCTTTGTATTTCCAGTTAGATCACACCTTGATTAAGAGCAGTTGGATGAATTGGAACCAGTTAATATAGACCTATTACATGCAAAGTATAATATATGTTTAATTTATTTATTTATTTATTTTTATTTGGTGTTTTTACAGCTACAGTATGAGGCAATCATCAACATTTTAACAATTATTTGTATAGCTTACTGTAGGTGTCATATATTAGTTTCACATAGTAGTAAAGAGTAAATAGACTTTTGAACAATATTCTTTCCAAGTTTGACCTTCACAGCCAACGTGTCATCAGAGGCCAAAACTACAGGGCTTCAGCTTCACACAGACTTCAGACACTTGTTTTAACTCCAAAGCTTTCTCAAACAGTTTGAATCCTTCCCATGTTTTCCTCCAGGCGGTCATGAGACAAAAGCCTTGTTCACCATTGTCTGCCATCGTCGAGGTGGTAAACCCCAAACAGCCCCGAGCCTTGGGTCGAACGATGTGTTGCCTCTTGCTCACCAGACTGGAGACAGTATATGTGTACAAGATGGCAGCCCATTTTTCACCAAGCCGCAGAAAGCTTTGTGTGAGCGCAAAAATCACCAGCGTGAAGGACCCAGGCACAAGTCAATTTTCACACAACAACACCCAGAGGTGCAAACGCTTCAGTTCCAATACTCAACACTTTTTGGCAGGATTATTGATTGCTGCTGAGTTTGGGAAAACATCACAAAACAATACATGGATTTGGTCTCACAAAAGAGGCTGAAAAGGCCTAAAGCTGTTATAATCAGAGTTTTGTTAAGATATCCTTTATTGGTCCCACAGAATACAGCTTTAAAGGTGATGGCTGCAGCTAAAAATGCAGATTTCTGACCAAAGGACACTGTTGTGTACATTACATCCCGTGGGGGTGGGTCCCGGCTCAAAAGTGGCTTAAATGAGTGAAAAGTGGCTGACATGCTTGCAATACCACCCCGGCCGATGGGGACCCGGAATAAGAATTAGCCAATGCTAATAGCATCTTCTTACCTCTCGAAAACGTCTCTACAGGATGGTCCAAAAGTTGGCTCTTGGCCCAAAGCTCCGTTCCACATGTGTGTCAATGCTGAGGGGAGTGAATTTTTTTGGACCAGTCTAGTTTTCTCGCTGTGAATTTAAAGTTACTCGTTTAAACGAATGGAGCTTGTGCCAGCTGACGCATGCGCAGATGCGTTTTTTCACATTTTCCAGCCCCCGCGGCCATTTTGAATCACTCCATGAAAGCCCAATTTTTGGCCCATTAGTGTGAACGGCGGATATAGGCGTGACTACGTCCACTAATACAGTATACAGTCTATGATTACATCTTTTAAAATGAGCCCCTCCCCTTGGCATAACTACAACCAGTACGATTGGCTGGAGGAGAACAGGTAAACCAAGTACAAGAACCCACAAGGATTTGACTTACTTTTGACCAATCAGGAGGCTGCAAGGGTGAACATGGGCCAATTTAGGGTGTGTTTGTCTTCTAAACGTTTCAGTCTCCATTCACAATTTGAAAAGTAACCAACATTAACTTTAGTAAAAGCTTAAAAAGTAACATAATAAATAGGTCAGACATAACTACAATACAGAGTTATGAAAGAAAAACACATATTTACAATTAAAAAAAACATGATCCGTCTCTACCCAGTTTGCAAGCATTTCCACCGTTTGTGTTTAACTAACACCAGGTACTTTTTTAGTACCTACTTGGCCCTGGTTCTATACAGGTCGAGCTGGTACTAAAGTGTTTGAACTGACAGTGATTGGCCAGAGTGCTGCTGGAAGCCATGGTTACCAAGGCATGTCCACAGATACAGGTTTGTTGTGGGTAGGTTGCGAGGATGTGGTAACAGATATTAAAGTGTAATGGAAACACAACCAGGCAGAGAAGAGCCAAGTAGAGTAGAGTAGGGCCGAGTAGAGTGGAGTAGGGCGGAGTAGAGTAGGGCTAGTAGAAATGGTGCTTTAGAAGAACTCACCGGTTTCTTTCCCACGATGAGTTTCTCTACTTTCTGCACCTGGGACACGTGGTCCTCGTTGGTCTTCAGTTCTCTCTTCCGGATCCGTTCATAAATGCCCACGAGCATCTCTCTGGGAATGTCCTCGCCGTCATCCACACCTGCAGCACAACCACAGTGTGTCAAGTCAAACTGTACAACCCCCAGATTACCTCCAACTGCCATCAACCAATATCACAATGTTCAAGCATATTTTTACAAGGACAACTTTATAAAGGAAAGAGCAGAGTGTATGAAAACCTAAATTCTTGACGGTAAGAACTTCACTCAACCAAACACGGCTCTATGGCTCGTTACGTTGTCATTTTGCAAAGTATTATCCCTCTGCCAAAAATCCACCATTCACTGAGCATTCAGGATCTAAATTGATTTATCATAAGAAAAATTGGCTAACTAATTTGTTCTCATTTGCAGCCTTAGTTCTAACACACAAAGATTGAAAAAAGGTCAATGTTGGTGTTTTTGCTCAATGGAACTGACTTTTTTCCTCTTTCAGTGGTTTCATATTGTACCAAAACGTTCCACTTAAGTAAGTAAGTTTTATTTATATACCGCCTTTCACAGACCAGAGTCACAAAGCGGTTTACAATTGTTATTTTTTGGGCACTTGTCCTCTCACTCCACACAGAGACAGGAGTGGGGTCGCCGAACAGGAGGCGCATACCTCTTAAGTTCTTGATGAAGTCCTCCAGCTTCATCTTGCGCTCCGGCTTGACGTTGGGGCTGTACATGTCTGTGTTGAGGAGGATGATGGCGAAGGCCAGGATGAAGATGGTGTCAGGGTTCCGGAACTGCCGTACCACGGTGGGGTTACAGATGCAGTATCGCTGACTGCAACAGACAAACGAGGAACTGAGCGTAAGCGATATGGAAGAACAGACGCACAGACAGGTGTTGGAACGGTGGAAAGCAGAAGCGTGGCAACTTCTCTGAACGCCGCAATACAGAAGTTATGACAGTGTTAGGTAAGTTCTGCAACAAGACGGATTATCACAGACGTTTCAAAACACACCTTTGATTCAGTATCTTATGTGGAATGGGATGTTAGAACATTATGACCTTATGATTTGAGCCTATTATAAAACAATATCAACGATTCCACCCATTACATTCTTATTAGTAGTACAGTAGTATAGTGAGCTCTCCACCTCTGACTGATAAGGCGTCAGTTGAATTTCACATTCAAGGACACAGCAAATATCCTTTTTTGTTACAAAGATACTTTTAAAATACTTGAAAGAAGAAATATTGCATTATGATGGTTTCGGGGCCTGAAACATGAGGGAGTGTTTTCTTTGGAATGCCAAGAGTATTTCTTTCCTAAGTATAGGAAGGATACAGTGTATGGATAAACACACAACATCAGCATGTAAGTCCTCACTTCTACCACCAGGGGAAGATGTGGAATATTTGTTTTGCCAAAACAAACATTACATGCTGTAAACCCAGTGATAGTTTTGAAAAGAATGTCTTTCACCAGACATTCTTTTCATTCATTCATTCTAAACTAATTTAGAGGCAATACTTTTGCTTAAAAGGCAGAATAAGTATGTGATGTCATAGTGTAAGGATTCATCGTTGTGGACCAGGTTTAAGAAAGGAGCATTTAGACAGAACTTTCTCCTGTTATTTGTGTGTGCGAGAAGTTCTAGATGTAAAATCAACTCCAGGTCTGTTTATGCTGAGGGAACAATGTTGTAAAATGGTTACTAACTGAAAACTGTAAAATTCTTTGTGTTGCATTTACTGTATGAAAAGCCCTTTATAAATAATATTTGATTGATGGAGTAAAAACAGATGATATATTTAAAATATCCCAATATGTCTTATTTAATATGATAGTACCATGTAAGGGAGACCTTTTCAACCTGCAGCCCAGGAACCAAATCGGGCCCTCTCAGTATTCTCATCACTGCCCTTTGGCACAAAGACAATGGCCCATTTAAAAACCCCACAATCTGGAAAATGAAGGTGAAAAGCCCTGGTGTGAGAATAGAGAAAACAAATCCATTCTGTATCACATTTCTGTATTAACTCTACAGAGAAAAGTGACATAATGCATGTGTCCTTCTCCCTACAGCTTTTATAAAATGTCAACTGTATTTCCGCGGGTGTCTGATCTGACCTGAAGGCTTCGATGAGGCGCTCCACCTTCTGGGCCTCTCCCTGGACTCTGATGTGGTTCTGGAACTTCCTGAGGGCCTCGTCCAGCTCCATGCTTTGAAAGTCCATCTCATCCACCACACAGCTGCAATGCACACGAACAGATACAGTCAAATATGAAAACAGTAAAGATAGTAACACTGTTATCAAAAGGAAACACAATTATCTTTGTACTGTAATAGTCTAGAGATCATATGATAACATGCCAAGGAATAGAAAAAAACATGTAACTGTATATGTACATTTGTATTGCTAAAGCTGGGGCTGCTAACTTTCAAATCATACAGATAAAAAAAAACACACTTAACTAGTTCCTGGGTCTCCCAACAGGCCGCTCCTATCACTAGTTTTCACATGCATGTATTTTTGGCCATGTCCTGCTCTCAGCCCAAAGCTCCAAATACTGACTCACAGGGCTCTTTCTTACAAGTAACAAATAATACGTTTTCTAATAAGATGAAGACCACAAACGATGTATTATTCATGACAATAAAAGTTGGATACCTCAGATTTAATGTAATGGGTTAAACCAAAAAGAGTTTGCTCTTGTCCGCTCTGTGTTATAAGTTTGTTTGTTTTTATTCATACAAATACACATTATATGACCTATAATAACAGCCTTATGAGCAGTAGTGAAAGTAACTCACTCCAAGACGTCTCTGTTGAACTGTTTCTGCCTGTTGCCGAGGAACTCTCCGATCATCTGTCGACTCAGGCCTTTCCTCTGCAGCAGGAAGTGTGCCACGCCCACAGGTGTGTCCGGGATGAAGCCCCGCTCCGTCAGGTACTGGATGCCCTTCTCCGGCTTCCTGAAAGCCCACAGACCAACATTAGAAACGCCTTTGTTTTAATAACTAGAGTATGATCAGATAGACTCTACAGAATGGACCACGCAGACCAGCGAGCAATAAGTAAAAAAAAGGCTCTCTGTAATTCTGCTGTTTATACTTTCCTAATGTCTTTGTAAATCCAGATATGAGCCGTGACAACTGGCCAATCAGGAACCTTCTGTCCCTGAAATCAGCTTTGGCTAGCGAGCAGCGCAAACAGGAACAGACAAGAGCTGAATGAGTTTCCAAAGCACTACTCCCATTACATTTGATTGATAAAGACGTGTGTGCTTGTGGATAAGCAATCTGTTTGGAAGTGCTGCTGCAAGCTGTTTTTCATTTATTTATTTGTCTATTTGATAAATGCACTCATTGGCTCTCTGGTTGCTAGGTTGTTGCTACTCTTTCTGGCTCCTTCCACAATAAGGCAAACACTATGAGCGATGTCAGCACTCGGTTCGACCACTTTTTCTACAATCTGTGCATGATCCTGGAGATATTTAGGCTCCATAATGTATGCTCTGGATGCAAACATTTTCTTTGTAAACCTTTTTCAGGATCAAAAGTCGAACTGGAACATAGAACACTGCAGCTTTGTGGAACTAAAGTAAATACATGTTTGTTTGGCTGTACGTTGTTCCATATAATAAGGGTCTAAAGAGCGAGACATGTCCTGGGATAGTCTTGTTTGTTTATGCCTATTCCTGGAAAGTCTTTTGAGAGGACTGATGCCGCGGTGTAGGGTTACATAAACAAACTGCACTGAGAATAATGAAAAGCATTGGCTAGCCACAAATCAAATTATTGTTCAGTAGAATCCAATTATCTCTCATGCGAAGATCAAGCTAAAGCTAGATTTGACAGTTGAAATAAAACTTTCTGCTTGAAAGTAAAAATGTGTTTAATATATTGATATTATAAAGGCGTTTGTATTTGATAATCGTATCAATCTAATAACTGGATCATCTGAGTTTATGGTGGAACTCATCTTTCATAGAAAAATAATGATTTCATGGTTTGAAAAATTGTTTTTGGGGTCATTTAACAAAGACATTATGTATGATTTTTGGAAATGAAAGATGATAATAAGACAATTTACTGCTTTTTTTAATTACTTTCTTGTGTTTGAAAGATTTGATTCTGTTATCTATGCCGGCAAATTCAACGGTTTTTTTTCTCCGAGATGTTGTGATTTAGGGATATACACCAATAAATTGAATTGAAAGGATGACACACAATTTCTGCCTGTAACTCTCTTTGCAACCACCAGAGGGAGGAGTTTTTCCCAAAATTGAATAATTACCGACTGCATACACAGCAATGTGATTAGTAATAGTTTAAAACAAATTCATGGAAAATACTTTTAAGCGTGATGTCATAGTGATACAATGACGTCATACTATTCCAGGACTGATGCTTTTGGACAGAAGGGTTACACGTTTGTGCTAGAAGTTCCTGAAATTAGCGAGGAAGTATCTAAAAACAACTCCAGGTCTGTTTTCTTTGCCTCATTGACCTATCTGAGTACCCACTTGTTGAACAGGTTGAGGCCGATGCGGTAGTGCCTCTTCCGGATGACGTCGTTGCTGAAGATGGGCGAGTCCCAGCTGTTCCGCGTCTCCTTGTGGTACGTCTGCTTGCTCAGCGTCTGCTCTCGGAGACTGTCCCGCGACGACGATTCCGAGCTACAGTTAATGGTATCGTTGGAGTTGGACGTGCTGTTGATGCTGTCGTTGTCGCCATCAGAGAAGTCCGACTCCGACTTGCTCTGCCGATTCGCCGAGCCGTTGATGGCCAGGTGGCTCTCCAGTTGCCGGTGACGATGGCGTAAGGGAGCGTCATCTTCCCGCGGGGGGGCTCTTGGCGGCGGCCCGTGGGAGATGTGTTTGGGGCTGGCCTGCGAGGACGTGACGATGTGCCCGTGCGGCTCGTACACCGGCGGCCTCTTCACGGACCCTCGATCAGACCGGTCGCTCAACTCCGCGGAGCTGTCACTGGGCGGCTCTATGGTCAGCAGAGGCAGGTGGTCCATGCGCAGACGCTGCTCCTGACACTCCAGCGAGGGCGTGCTCCGGCAGCTCGTGTCCGTGTCGCGCCCGTCGTCCTTGGGGTCCATTGGCCAGTACTCCTGCGACGAGTTGACCGAGCGCAACCTCAGGTCCGACTCCGTGCTAGACTGCTGCTCCCCGGACCGGAGCGCGATCGGCCGCGTCATGTCCTCCTCGTCGATGAACAAGGTGACGTCGCTGTACGCCATGGTCTCGTCGTGCATACGCCCCCCGGTCCGGCGGTGCGACTGGTACGGTGCGTCGCGGGGCACTTCGGCGCACCCCATAGACTCGGGGTCCGGGCCTTCGTCGCCTTGGAGACTCCGGCAATTTAGTGCATCGTCTATGGATTCGGCTAAAGATTTGACCTGTCTGGAAAAGGCGTCCTCCAGCTCCGTGATGGCGTCCGTGAGGTCCGCCTGCTGCACTGGGTGGGCCGCCATGTTGGGCTGGTGTTGCCTTCGGTCCATGTCCCCGCACTCCTGCATGGTGAGGGGGCTCCCGTCTTCGGTCATGGACACTTGACGGCCCTCGAAATAAGAGCGGTGAACCTTCTCGGGGCCCTCAAACGATAGCTGCATTTTCATGTTGGCCATGACGATGCGGCGGGACATGCGGTTTTCGGACATAGAGCTCCGCAGTCGCTCAAAGTTCTTGTTCATCTGATACTGCCGGAACGCCGTCTGGATGGTGCGGGCGGCATGTCGCGTTATGAAGCGGCCGCCATATTTGCGCTCCAGCATCTCCACCTGCGGCAGACAAACAAGTGAGAAGTTTTAGCATAACACGACACTTTTCTCACACTTCATCACAGTCAGAGCAATTTCAAAGACACTTTGAAGGACGTGCACTTCTTTTTCAACTCGTATTAAATGCTGATAACGTAAAACAAGATGCAAAACAAGACGTATGAGAATAGTGTAACACCTACTGCATGTTTTGTCCGTGGACTATAATGTTAAGTACGTCATATTTCATATATTATTATATATATTCTATTTTTCTTCCTGTGGCCAAAAAAGTAAATAATGTAGTATTAAAATTACACACCAAAAAAAGTTGGTGCTATAACAAAGGGGATCATCTCAGAACCTTTTTTGGTTGTGTCACAATTTTTTTTTATCAAGACAGAATGTATGTTGCCAAAAGTCAAAATAAATTAAAACAAGGTCCTTGTAAAAGATGTTGAAGTGTCCTGCCGTTCAAAAAATCCACACAAGCTAAAAGTTTTTAAGAGAAAAAACGAAAAAGCTGAAGGATCCAACTTGCTGACCACAACAAGCTTATCTTATCTATATTACTAACTTAATCTACACAAGGCTGATTGGCTGAGTGAGGGCTCAGTTTTTCACATGCAAAACTTGATCTAAAGAAGTGACGGAACAAAATACTTGGAAGAACTACGGATTTTAAGAACATTTTTGTGGTTTCAAATGTAGGTACTAGAGTTTTAACTGCCAAGAATTTAAAACTACATCACACAGAACACACTTCAGCTCCCCTCACCTGCTTGTCCTGCAGGTCAGCGGACAGCTCATAGCTCTCAGACAGCGACCGCGAGCGCTTGATGGCCTCCTCCTCTGCCTGCTTGCGGAGGATAGACTGGGAGTGCTGGAGCTTGGCCCGACGGGGTCTCTGTGGGCCCGGCTGCACCCCTCCGTGGCTGTAGAGGGGGCTGTCGTATCGGTCCGGGCTGATGGCTGAACCGTGCGTCACCGGGCTCTGGCTGTAGCCCGCACCTCCGTCCAGGGAAGGCCCGCTGTCGTTAGGCCTGCCATCCCCTTCCACGCTGCAAACACAAGAACAGAAACGGAATTTTTGTTATTAAACAGTTGAAGTGAATGTCGGTTGAGTAATTATCAAATTAGTGCAGTTCTCAGGTCTCTGCACTGGCTTCCTGTGGCTCAGAGAACAGACTTTAAAGCATCTCTGTTTGTTACAAGTCTCTCCATGGCCTCACAAGTACATCTGTGACATGTTAGAGCATAGAACAAAATCTGAAACAGTCTTCCTGAAAATGTGAGACAGGCTTATACTCTGACGATGTTCAAATCCAGGTTAAAATCAGTTCTGCTTATCTGTGCATACAACTGAAGGACTGCATCTTCACTCTTATGTACGCTGACTATTTTGATTTTCGTTTTGATAAGTACTTTGAGTTGCCTTGTGTATAGACTGCGCCACACAAATAAACTTGCTCGGCCTTGCCTTCAGTTACTAGTTAGACCCACCCATGCTCACCCTGGCAGCTGGTTGGTTTATCTTTTCTCTTCTAGCAAATCTTACTGGTCGTAATTATGAATAGGGTAGAGATAAAAGAGCTGTATGATAAAAATATCTTACAGCACATAATAGTACAGTTGCCCCTTGGTCGGTAATATTACATTAATTGAAAAATTAAACACGTTTCAAGTTTCCGACATCCCCTTTAAAACCATGAGAACTTAGCATCACGTTGTGCTTTCACCGATTATCAACTAAATTGTGTGTGTGTAAATCTTTCAGTTCATACAGAGCAACATCAAAGGCCAGAGCCACTACAAAGCCACCAAAACCACACAGTAAACTTTAAATAAGCAGCAATAAAAGGAATCCAGTTTCATGCAGACCAAACGGCTAAAACATTATTGGTGACTGCAATTAGAAGTTGACGGCACGACAGTTAATTAACAGTATTGTTCATATGTGTCTAAATTATGAAAGGAGCAGGATGTAAAAATGTGTTTGAAGCATTGTAAGACATGCACCAGAGACGCAGTAGAAGCAGTCAGAGCGAAGGGACATTTGAGAAACGTTAAATAAGATCCAAATCTCATAAATAGTGTTTACTCCTAAAACAACAGATTAGTGGTTATGGACTTGTAGAATGTGGAAAAGCAAATAGAATGTGTAAAAAGAAAAGTCAAACCATTCTGTGCATGATATAGGCAAAGGGCTGCAACATTATTGCAAAAAAAAAAAACTAAAATAAAAAAACACAATTAGTTAAGCCATTTGCAAACAAACATTTGAGAGAAAATAGTTTAAAAAATATTTTTAGTTGGGGAAAATGTATATTGATTTGATTTTATATTTTGTCTTTTTCTGATTCCAAATGAAAAATGTCTCTGATTTTAAATACTTTTACAAGCTAAAACTGCCAAGCTACATTATTAAATTCTTACAGTCAGACCTGTGTTGTGTGAGTAAAGAAAAATCTATTTCATTCAATAATTTATGAACAAATCATTAATAATGTTTCATTGTTTCTATTGATATTACCAAATATTTCTCGTTGTGAATCAGTCCAGACCTCTGTAAAAAATGTCTGAATAGTGACACTCTTGTACCGGCAAATTGCTCCAAATAATGATCTTGAAATGTTACTAGATATGTCGTTATTAGATATTTAGTTATCTAAATATCTAGTTATTTGATATTACGGCTGGAATTACCGATAGTTTTGATAATCGATAGGTTGTTTGAATTCTGAAAGGTCAGTGAATATGGGAAATGTATGCAAGTGACCAAAAAAAACATATTCAGAAAAAAGACTTCATCAAGTTGTTTGACTAGAAATACCAAACACTCATTTTAATTAATTTTTGCAGTAATTATATATCATTATCTGAGTCAGAAAACTCTTCTCAGTCTATGGAAGGGTTACAACATTACTATATTTTTTATGTCAATTAAAAGCTAAGAAGGACAAGTATTATTTATACTTATGTTCAACCCAATTTTACTTAAAACCGTCAGAAATCAGTAATTCAATATTTTGCCAAATAGTGGAGCCATGAGCAGAGATGAGGAAAAAGAGGTGATTAATCTCAAGGGGAAATCCATAATAAATAAATAAATAGATAAGCTGTTTATGTATTTTTGTCATTTCAGTGTAAGCCACTACAGTAGAGCACAGCATTGTTACAGAAGGCAGAAGCTGGCACACTCCCCTGCGCAGCTACTGTAATGTCCTCTACTGTTTAAACACCAATTCTTCAAACACACAAAATAAAATCAGTAAAGTTACTCACTCACTCTTACATTCTACACTACACGAAGCCGCCCGCTTGCTGCGAACAGAGCGCCTGTATTCCAGAAACTGCCAACTTTTTCTCCAAAGCTTGTCCACCATTCTGTCTATGTGCCTCTGTCAAGTTCAGTCCAGAGTACACCAGGAAGCCGCTGTTTGTGCCTCTCTGGAGCACCAATCAGGAGGCAGGGAGAGTTGCATCATGGGACTCGCGCTGTTTCAATAACCGTTACAAAGTCCAGAAGAGTGACAAGGCGAATAACCCAGGGAGGAATTTTGTTGAGCGGCCCGAGCTGCAGAGTGGGGGTTGAAATTTTCACTTTTTTTATCTGGCGCTGGCCGTATGAACTGTAGCAGACACACCCATGCAGTGTACACAAGCCACTTCCTTCATTACTCAGGGTTAATATCAACACACAACCACAGAGTGACAGCAGCAGAGTGGCAAAACCAAGGCAGATCTGCTACAGGGTGGTCACAAGTTCAAGAAACCCATGGAAATGTTTTAAACTGTCAATAGTGAGATGAGAGCAGTGTCTCAGCTCAACTTGTCACGTTAAAATCTGTTAAATAACATATACTTAATTTCAAACAGTCAATTAAATTCAACTTATTTTTGAAAAGCCCTAAATCACAAATAGGAATATAATATAAGGCAAGGCAAGCTTATTTGTATAGCACAGTTTACAGGAACAATCACACAAGACAAAATAAAATCATTCATAATTACAGTATTTAAAAAAAAGTGAAAATACAATCCTTCAGTTGTATGCACAGCTAAACAAAACTGTCTTTTAGTACCTATAGGTTAGGTTATGCTTTGAAAATGAGGTACCCCAGCTTTAAACTCAGGGAAAAATATTGTGCAATAATTAAAAGATTTCATGTTTTAGTTTTTGAAATAATTTAAGATGAAAATATATATAGCTAGTTGAATTACTAAACATGCAATATATAGTACACAATTAAAATGTCATTTGACGAATATTTTAGAGGCAGCAACTTGGCAGAAAACAGATTTGTGTATAATGAAAAAAGTAAAAAAGTTATATTTATTTATTTAGCGCTTTTCACAGACCAGATTCAAAAAGCGCTTTACAAAACATGGGCAAAAAAAAAGCGCTTGATGTGATTTTTTGCCAGAAATAACTCATATTGGACTGAAAAAAGGTAAACACAAAAGTGACTAAAAGCAAAGAAGCTATTACGCTTTTGCATAATAGACCTTTTTGCTGACATTTCAGATCTGACCGCAGCCCCCAGAATATACAGTAAGTGAGTTTGAAAAGAGAATTCATTCATTTCCAACTTTCTGCCGTCTGCCATTTGAACAAACAACTTTCTCTGGTTCCCCATTTACACTTCATGCTTTTCAGGGCAACCAAATATGGCTTCTATTAGTTTAATCATTTCCTTTTTACAGAGCTCAGAATAGTGCTGTGCCATATTCACACAAAAAGGGGAAATTAAAAGCCCAAAAAAGGAACAAGCAGCGCACAAGACAGTTCCTTTATACACACAACCCCCATGCGTTTAGCAACAACACACACTCCACTGTACTTTTAATAGCAACACAATCCTCTGGGGGATCGCACTCAGCCAAAACTGTTTTCCTGTGTCTATGTCGTCTGTTCAGTCTGTTTGCGATTGTGGCGGCAAAGACTGAACGTGGAAACAAAGAGTTGCAGTATGTTTTCTTTTTCTTTTGAGCTCTGAGGTCATGTGGCAAGCTGCGAGTCCGGATAGACAGAAGGAAACAGAAGGACGGGTTGTGGTGCTATGGATTTGAGTAGAGAGGAGGGGAAAAAGGCGGGAAGCCGCGCAGGAAGCAGCCCGCCACGCTCCGCCGACAATAACGATTATGTAATGGTTTGTTTACAGATCGTTTGCCGATAATGAATCAGGCTGCACGGAAAGGAACGACTCGTGCCTGTGGTGTAGGACAGTGTTTCCCAGCCAGAGGTACCATCACGGACCACTAGGGGCACACGATGGTATTACAGAGTGGAAAGCATGCAGATATTGATATTAAGAGGGTAATATGGGCGACTATGGCCTGTCATTTTATGGATTTTTTTATAATCAGGAATTCAACCATTCAATCCAACCCACATTACAGAACACATTACATAAACGCAGGAATATTAAAACTACAGTAATAAAAATTAACAATCCAGCCACGTCGAGGCCCTGTCTACACTAGTGAGGGGGGGGGGACACCAGGCATAAAGAGTAGGGGACCACCGGTGAAGAAAACATACCCAAACGGCCTTGTTTTGAGCCTCCTGTATTCTATGTATTATAATGTATACACAAAATATTATTCTATAAATCTATTTTTTTACATAATATACAGATGATAAACTCCCAATCTATATTTGCATTTGAGTCAAAAATAAGCGTCCCTGAACATACACTATAGTTTTGACACTCACACCGTTTGATTCTCTGATCTGTCATTGACGAATTGGCAAGTTTGTAAAGTTCTTCGAGACGACTGCTGTTGTGATTTAAGGTTATACAAATACAAATAGTATTGAATTGAGGTTGACTGGAGAACTGCGACAGCCTCCTCTTCGGTCTCCCCTCCACCCATCTCCATAAACAATACATCCAGAACTCCGCCGCCCACCTGCTCATTCACACCCGCTCCAGAGAACACATCACCCCCGTCCTCAAACAACTCCACTGGCTCCCTGTCCCATATCGCATCCAATACAAGGTCCTCCTCCTCACCTACAAGTCCATCCATAACCTGGCCCCCTCTTACCTCACCGACCTCCTCCATCATCACTGTCCCACCCGCCGCCTCAGATCCACAGACTCCAACCTCCTCACTCCCCTCAGGACTAAACACCAAGCCTTGGGGGACCGAGCCTTCGCTGCAGCTGCCCCCTCTCTCTGGAACTCACTCCCTCAACCCATCAGAAACTCAGACTCACTACAGAACTTCAAATCTCTTCTCAAAACCCACCTGGTTCAGCTTGTCTTTCCCCAATTTTGTTTCTCACTGTTTCTTTACACGTTTTTTGTAAAGCGTCTTTGAGTGTCCAAAAAAAGCGCTATAAGTTTGATGTATTATTATTATTATTATTATTATAATAGGGGGAAGGAGGGGGTATGAGTGAAATGTTGACAATCAGATTGGCTCCATTCCCCACAGAAATAGCTTTTGAAATTCCATCGCAGGGGACGTAAATAAATACAGGCTAAATTGGAACACTAAGAGAGGCTTGCAAGGTATTTTCTTCAGACATGGAAGCATGAGAAAACAGCCCCCAATCTCAACAGTCCATCCTTATAAACTCGGTTCTCATATTGACAAATAGCTATAGCGCTCTGTAACAAGCAAAAGTTTTCTCCTTGTTACAGAACTTGTTCAGCTTGTTAGTTGGAGTATCATCTAGTTCTGTCTGATAGAAAGAGGACCAAACAAAATAGGGAACAGTGTAATGCGGTACTTCTGCTGTTCTACTGTAGCCACATTACTTACTAACATTACAAAAGTTGATTACTAATAAACCACAGTGTTAAATGACAATATGGTCATTCTTGAACACAGAACTTTTAACCATGTTACATTGTCCCCCATCAAAAAAATACCAGGGGTAGTTTTTAGCTCCATCCACACTATAATCAGGGACTTCTGGCACGAACACGTCCTCCCGCACCTTCCTTCTCAGGTGAAATGGTGTGACTGTGTTGGCAACAAGATGATTTTAATGTTGGAAGTAATAATAATTAAAAAAAAAAACATCTTGGTAGCAAAGAGAATTACATGAGGAGAGCAATTGTTATCCTTTAGACCAGGGCTATTCAAGTACTTTTTTGAAGAGCCACATTTTCTTTGGGCCAGATAAAGGTTCATTCAGTCATCTCTTATAAAAGCTGGGGTACCTAACTTATGTGTAACCCTAACCCGAACCCAAAAGTGATAGATGTTTAAAAATGTCTATTTTTAGAGAGAAACTAGAACAAATTTCATATATTTGTTTGATTTTGGAAGATGTAGGGCCTAAGTTGGCTCCCGGGGCCGCAAGTTAAAAAGACCTGCCATAGCCAAAATAGCAGAAGAGATACATGAACTCCTAAATCCAGGACACTTTCTATACAGTGACCTGGCTTCCCATACATATTTTGATTTTTACTTATTTTTGTTATGAATTCTACTGATCCTTCATCTCTTAATAAACTTTCAGGGCACATCAGATTAATCGACTTGAGAAATTATTTACCATTCGAAGACATTAAATGCCAAAGTTTTCTTCATATTCATAGTCTCATTATCATGTGTTGAGAGCCCAAAATGTTGCAATTTTGAAAGAAATTCAAAATTCTACTACAGCACAGAACATACATTATACTAACTACACCCAGTGATATTACACCAAATGTCCAACCTGAGAATGAATTTGCATCGTACCATAGCATGTTCTCAAACTCATCCACAACAGCCGTGTGTCTGATCCATGAGCCCACTCCTCAGCTGGCAGTGATTTTCAGCCAGGCTTCCAGGGGAGATTTTGGGGGATACATCTGCATTATAGGGGGTGGGTCTACCATCCTCTCCTCTCTCGCTTGTCCCGCTTAACACATCCTGAACAAACACAGAGACCCCAGGCCCCTCGCCCAGGCCTCAGCCCAGTCCACCGGTGGGACCCCAGGGAGAAACATTCCTCCATCCCGGAAAAGAGGAGTCACATCAGGCTCAGTTCTGGGAATAGGAGCGGGATAATGAAGTGCAGGCCGGAGCTCCACGGTCCAGAGAAGGAGGCATTAAAGTGGAACGGGCCACAGCGAGCATATGAAGTCATGGTGAAGACAGCTCAGCGGTAGTGGCTCTGTGAGAAGCATGTGTCTTCTGTGCTGGAAGGTTGGTGGTTCGAATCCTGCTACTTACAAAAACATCATTCGTTGGGTGGTCAGATCGACTGGGGATCGAGTTTGGAAGTTGTAAAACCAATTCAATTTGATTTATTTTTGTATAGCCCTAAATCACAACAGTAGTTTTCTCGGAGAACTTTACAAAACCATCAAATTTGCCAACACAGATCAGAGAATCAAACTGTTCAAACACAAGAAATGCCAATAATAATAATAAT